TATATTCGTCTGTTTTTTACACGGAGTTTTAAAAATATTAGTATTATATTGAAATGTAATAGAAATAAAGATAAAAGGACTAAAATAACCTTATTAATATTGTGTGACAGAAATATAATAGTATTTGTGTAATATATTGTAAATTGTAAGGGTATTTGTAATGTTAAGCGGATACTACAGTTACTTAAAAAAAAAAAACGGATACTTTGTTATAGGATAGACCAAAATAGAAAAACAAATACTCCGTTGGTCATTCAAATCTATTTTCACTTTCCTTTTTTGGTTGTCATTCAAATTTATTCCAATTTCTTTTTTTAGTAAAAAAAATACCACTTTTCTCTACCAAAAAAATAAAAATTTCTATTCTTACATATTTTTCTTAAAACCTGTGTCCGATCAAATAAGCACACAATTGGATGACGGAAGGAGTAGTTTGTTAACAGACGAAGAAAGTATGTGTATATATATATTATTTTTTTTTTCATAAAATACTCCCTATCAAATTTAAACTACTATTCAAATAAAAATGAAAGGAAAAAAATTATTTTTGGTACAATTGTAAATCACAATTATCAATTTCAGTTTTATTAAAAACTTTTTATTTTTTTTTTATCAAATTTGATCTCATTCAAACTAAAGTTCTAAATCATATTTGCGGTCTTGTTTTGAATATAACCGTATTCAGTTCATGTCGACTATCATAAAGCTAAAATTTATTAATTTTAATTTAAATAAAATCTAATTTTATTTTTTTAAAAAAAACTTTCAATAGAACTAAAATTGATAATTATAATTAATAATCATACCAAAAATGATTTTAATTTGTCCAAAAATCAAATTCATACTTAAAAAATAAAAAAATTACACACTCAACGAATCCATATTATAAAAATAGCATATCATAAATTTAATAATATGAAACAACATATAAACTACTCCCTTCCTTACATAACAAACTATCTATTTTTTTATTTTAGTCCATCTCATAACAAAGTATTCATTTTTTTTAGTAACTGTACTATCTACCTAACATTACAAATACTCTTACAATTTACAATATATTACACAAATGTCATTACCTTTCTATCATATAATACTAATAAAGTTATTTTAGTAATTTCCACTCTATTCATACTTAAATTTTAATATAATACTAATATTTCTAAATTTCGTGCAAAAAGCAAACAGATACCTAATTATGGAACGAAGAAAGTATTATATAATCCGACTGACCACTTTCTACTTTTCATACAAAATTTAATAAATATTATATTTTAATAATAATTGAGGATAATTTTGTATATAAAAATTATTCTACTTTTAAAATGTGTAAAATTATTAAGAAAGTATTGATGTATATAAATATAAATATGAAAGTATTGTAATATGTATTGTAGTTTATATTTACTAAAATATATATATATATGTTTTTTGTGTTCTAGGAAAAGAATACTCCCTCCTCTCCGTTCCGGTGCAAGGTTGTCGTTTACTTTTTGCACATAAATCTTTTAATATTACTATTATAATTGGTTGTAGTGAAAAAGACAAAAATACCCCTATTAGTATTGTGTAATATAAAAGTAATGATATTTGTGTAATATAGTGTAAGTTGGAAGGGTATTTATTATATTAAGTAAGTAGTACAATTACTAAATTAGGAAATAGTAACCTTATTTTGGGACGGACGAAAATAGAAAATGATAATCTTTCAATGGGACGGAAGGAGTATATTTTTTACTATTTAAATTTTGTATTTAAAAAAAAAAAACCAAAAAATAAATTAATAATAGACTCGTATCCGAATTACAATCATGGATAAAATAATACTCTCTCCGTCCTAATACAATAGTCTTGTTTACCATTTTTTTCCGTCTCAAAACAATAGTCTCATTTTCATAAATAACCATATCACCATAAAACTATCCCTACTTTTTCATTATTATTACACAATTACCACTACTTTTTATACTAATATACTCACAAGGGCAAAAAAGTCATTTATCCTTACTTTATACCAGTTACCAGTATAATATCAAAATTTCTTAAATATCGTGTTGGACCCAATTAAAACTATATTTATGGGACAAATGGAGTATATGAATACACCCTATGTTTACTAGTGTTTTAAAGATACACAAATTTTTAAAAATATAATCCAAAAATAATATATGCGTACTAATATAAATTAATAAAAATACACAAAATATCATTATTTATAATACAAATGTTCTATGACAAAAATACATACTACAAGTACTAAAACCAATACACTAATGTTTGGCGATTGGATTTTAAATTTACTGATTATTTCATTTTTTCCCTCAAAAAATATCAAATCAAAACACTTATTTTTTATTTTGTATATTATATTAAAAATCAATTTTTCATTAAAAACATCTATTTATATCATATCATACAACTATTCAAATTCAAAATTTTTACTATTCAAATCCCAACTCAAAATTCAAATTTCCAAACAACACAAAAATTCCTCGAAATTAATGAAACATTGTACGTATGGAAGGTACAATTAATAGTGTTGGTACAAAAAAAATAAAAAAATAAAAAAATAAAAAATATTAATTATATAAGTATTACCTTGCAGTAATTATGGGGTTAACTCTTTTTTTTTTTTTTTCCCTCTACTCATAGGGTTATTGATCTTGAAGTTTAGATATAGTAATTATTAATATAATTAAATGTGTATAATGTGTAGTACTCCGTCTTACTCAAATACTATGTCCACGTTGCCGTTTCTATCCGTCTCACGTACCATGTCACTTTCTTTTTTGAAAAATGATTACGCACTTTATTCTCATTTTAAATTTTTAAATTTTTTTTTTTTTTAATTTTAATTAAACTAATTAGTTATTTTAATCTTAATTTATAATTATTTATATTATAGAATAATTATTTTTCATTAATACATTCTTAATTATCTACTAATTATACCCCTTCTAAAATACTGTGTCTACAGTACAGCAGACACGGTATCTATCTGAGACGAAACGGTATCTATATGAGACGAAAGGAATATAATTTTAATATAAATATATAATATCCCATAAGCAATATTTACAAAACCCGTGCCACTGCTATTATATTTTAGAATTAATTAATTAATTAAATATATATATATATTAAACTCATCCATTATTATTATTTTTATTTTTATTTTTATTTTTTTATAATTTGAGAATCCGCATATACAGTATAGGTTTGATAATAACAAATTTTAGGAATTATTCTTATGTATTGTCTTCCAAAATATAATTGATCTAATAGTATTATTTTATTTATTAGTGAAAATGTAAAAAGATTTTTTGATATTTTTTATTCTTTTATATTTATGTATAAAATAATAATAATACATATAATGGTATATTTATAATTTATATAAAAATTAAAATATTTTGTATTAGTGTAAGATTAAGGGTGTGTTTTCTTTATATTTTTTTTATATATTTTTTCAAAAAAATTAATATATCACACGTATTATTATTTTTATATTATATACACAATTTTCTATACCTCATTTAAAAAATATCCTTTTAAAATATTTCATAAAACAAACACAACCTAAATAAACAAAAATAATAAAAAAATATATATATCTAGATGGGATGGAAAAAGTATATTCAACCATAAGTTTTTTTTTTTTTTCTGATAAATTTATGCTCGTTATTTTTATATATTTTTTTCGAGTATATAAGAGTATCAGTTATAATCATTACTTTAACCGCATAATCTCTTTTATCTACATCATATTTATCTCAATATTCAAATTATTTCATTTATCATCCGATTATAGTAAATCACCTATAACACATTATCTTTACTATTTTATAAATCCACAATAATTTATTTATTTCTATATATTTTTATTATGTAATAATATATGTAAATAATATATAAATAATTTATTTATTTATACATATTTCTATATATTTTTATTTTTTAATAATATTTTTATATAATATTATATTTTAACTTTTAAAATATTAATTTATATAAATTTTAATAATTGAAATTATTCAAAATAAATCAACATATATATTAATTAAAAATAACATAAACAAGAATAGTAATATAATATAAACGTATAAAATAAACATATTAGCAATATAACTTAAGAATTATAATTTTTATTGTCAAATTTTATCCAACAATTTAATTTAAGCACCGATTGAAAATATCTATATTTTCACTAACTATTTCGTTTAATTGAATATGAAAGATAGATAATTATTGGTTAATAAAATTTAAATATATTTATAGATAATTTATGTTAAATTTAAACTTTAAAATTTTGAAATTTCAAAAATTTTTGGATAGTTTTTAATTTGTTTTTATTTTTTTTATTTTTGTTGAAAGTAACACTACAAGAAAAAAATCATTTTTTTAACAAAATTTTTTTGTCTTTAAATCTATTTTTCTGTTACTAATGACATTAGAGACGGAATTAAGAATGGAATTACGTTGGCTACGTGAACTTTATGGACGAAATTCCGTTACAAATATATTATCTTTTTGTAGTGTTACGAGTTCTTGATAAATGTAACAAATTTTGATAACTGTATTTTTTATTAGAGGTAATAATTTTGTTATAGAAAAAATTAAAAAGACAATGATAAAGATAATAAAGAAGGTGATTGTAAATCTGTAACGGATGCTCTAATAGATAAACTTTCGATCGATTTTGAGCGGCAGCAAATTTTGAACAGGTGAACTCATAGTCACATTGACAAGTAAATAATTTATTTTCCGATTAAAAAAAAGTAAATAATTTATTTTTATCTATAATGTGTATGTATGTTTATTAAATTTGGACACCCTGTCTTGCATTCGCAATGTCCCTTTCTTCCTCATCTCCAATTAATTCATCGTCTTCCTCAAGTAGACCTGTAGGCCACCCCACCCCTACCCCTACCCCCCACCCCCAACCCACCCCACCCCACCCCACCCCACTTTCTATTAAGTCATCCATCCTCTCTTCTTCATCCTCCATTTCCACAGCACAATCCCTTCACTCTACAATCTCAATTAAACCTAACCCTACCTACATCTTCTTAATTCCATTGATCACATACATACATACATGCATATATATATATAGAGAGAGAGAGAGAGAGTAGCAACTAGCTAGAACAGCCCTTATTGATATATTGAATAACAATCAGCCAAAAAATAAAGATTCAAGTATAGTTAGGCATCAATCTTTAATTTTTAATATATATATATATATATATATTCATGTGTGGATATCATACCAAAGATTGATTGGCACTAGTGATCCAATTTTATGGCCATTGCTGCCATGGACAACAATCATAATAATCCCAATCATAGCAGCGCCGCCACCGCCGCCACCGCCGGCCAAGACGCCGGAAGCAAGCACGAGCACGATCACGAAGACACCGACGCCGTCATGCCGGGATTTCGATTCCACCCGACGGAGGAGGAGCTCGTCGAATTCTACCTCCGGCGAAAGATCGAGGGCAAGCGCTTTAACATTGAGCTCATCACCTTCCTCGACCTCTACCGCTACGACCCTTGGGAGCTCCCAGGTAAAAAATTCTCCGATCCAAAAATATCGAGCTTAATTTATATTTTGAGTGTGTTTACTACGAGGGATCTGATGAGATTATATAATACTTTCATTCAATTCTGTGCTCACTTTTCATTATTTTTTTTATAAAAAATAAAATTGGATGACAGAAATAGTATTTATATACTAATTATTATATATCCACATAGCGCACATTTTCATTATTGTGGATCTTTTTTAAAATCGACCATTTATGTTACTTGCTTTAATTTTTCTTTATTTTGATTCAGTCTAAATGAATGATCGTTTGATCTAAAAGTTTAGTTTTTTTTTTTTTTTTTTTCTTTCAATTTATATTTTTATATAGCCTTGGCGGCCATAGGAGAGAAGGAATGGTATTTTTATGTGCCGAGGGATCGAAAGTATAGAAACGGAGACCGGCCTAATCGTGTGACTACATCGGGGTATTGGAAGGCGACCGGCGCCGATAGGATGATTAGAAGCGAGAATTCATTGTCCATCGGCCTCAAGAAAACCCTAGTTTTCTACTCGGGTAAGGCTCCGAAAGGTATCCGGTCTAGCTGGATCATGAACGAATACCGGCTGCCTCACCACGAGATCGAACGCCTCCAAAAGGTTCGATTCGACTACTCATATTTTTTTGACAATTACGAGTTTGTTTGATTTGCGATTTCTCTATACAGTATTTTTTTATAAATGAAATAATATATTTTTACAGAGGCCGAGCGAATTAATAATTAAAAAAATAAGAAAAAATTACAAACTAGACTCACCTATATCTATTAAAGTTTGAATATTACATGCCATTCACAAATTCTTTGTTACAAATTAATGTGCTATTTAATTTTAGGAGGAAGATTGGTGATTATTTGTAAATTGGTTGTTTGTGCCAAAGTGAAAATAGTCTTTGCATTGATTTTTATAGAAGAAGAAGAAAGAAATATCTGAAAATAAAAATAAAAATAAAAATAAAATTCAAGAAAGACAAGAAGGGAAAATGAGGTTGATGTGTGTGACATTTTTGTTTTTGTTACATATATATTTTTATGTGTGAATAAATGAACCCTCTTCAATTTCAATTCAATAAAGGACTTCAACATTATTTGCCAACTTCATTAAATACATTCACAAACAACCACAAAACACACACCCATCTCAATTCAACAAAACCTTGCCCTATTTTTGGTAAAATTTTGTACTATGTTATCTTGTACTTTATTATTATTTTTTTTTTTCAAATTTATGTTTAATTTTCTTTTTAATTGTTATAAAAAAAATATTCTTACTTTTTTAATGTAAAAAAAAAAATATTATTTTCTTTTACTTTTTCTTATACTATAAAAAAATATTATACATATATGTTTTTAAAAAAGTTTGTGCTCGGTCAAAAAGGGATGAGTTTTGATGACGCAGATAGTATAGGAGTAATATTTATGCAACCTTTGTATAAATAATTAATATATGTAGTTTAATAAATTTTGTATATGATTCAATAGATATTTGTACTATAATTTTTTCTTCTTGTTTTTCTTTTATTAAGATTTTTTAGATAATAAAATTTTGATTTTTTTTTTTACTATTCTACTCTTATTTTTGTTTTAAAATTATACGCAAAAAGTTAGATTTTTTAAAAAAAAAAAAGAAAAAAGAAAAAAGAAAAAATAATACACATCTAAAAAATACTGTAGAAGTTTTGGGACATTACATAATAGAAATAATAGTAAAAGAAATATAATAGAAAGAATATAATTAAGTTCTGAAATTACATTATGGTCCTTTTATATGAAGTACATCAATGTGTATATATATACACACTTAGTGGGCGTGAATCCGGTGCAGAACCAATCAAATTAGCATGGTACTGATTTCATCGGTTCAGCATATGATATAAACGTAATCAGCATATATTTTAATATTTTTACATAACACTGTATATCAATATGTATATATATATACACACTTAATGAGTTTGAATTCGGTGCTGATATAATCAAATCAACATGGTACTGATTTGATCGGTTCAACATATGAAATAGAAGTAATTAGCATATATTTTTACATAACATAATATATATTGTGTTATAAGATATCATGACATGCTGAGTTATAACATAATATATGTTCTATCATAATATATGTGATGATCCGATTCAAATCAACATCATGCTAATTTGATTGGATCAGCACCAGATCTGCAGACATACTCTTAATAGAGATTATTTCCTCTATATATCGTCTAGCATATTTTTTATATAACAAATTAATAATCCCTCTGTCCCGGTCTGAAGGGCCCTTTGGAGTTTTATAGTAAATTAAGAAATAATAGTATTTTATTAGTCAGTTGAAGTGTGCGATATTTTTGTCCTTTATATAAAAAGTAATTACATATGTGATAATATATTTGTAATTTATGTAAAATTTAAGGTTATTTTGGTATTAGCGTATGATTACTTTTACTAAAGTAAAAAATAGATACTTTGGAATGGAAGAGACGAAAATAGTAAAAATGGTAATTTACGTTATGATGAAATGGGAGGGACGAAAATAGTAAAAATGGTACTTTACATTACGACGAAGGGAGTGTATTTTTATTGAAAATAATGAATCGCATAAAATAAATACAAAAAAGAAGAACAACGCGTAACTAACACGATTTTCTTTGTAGGCGGAGATATCCCTATGTCGAGTCTACAAAAGAGCCGGCGTCGAAGATCATCCCTCCCTCCCGCGAACCCTCCCGACAAAGGGCTCATCATCGTCACAGCCGCCCCAAAGGCGAGCCGTGAAGATGAATGCCCCGAGCTATGGAGGATCTACTCACGATCCAAGAGACTTAAAAATAAACGAGTCGAGTCCGAGCAGCACCACCACCACCGATCTCGCCCTCTCGCACATCAACATCAACAACAAGAACAATGCTCCTCAAATCACGCCCCCCGCCGGAATCTTCTCAGCCAGCTTGCCCCATGGCGCCATCATCGACGACCTCCACAAGCTCGTCCACACTTGCAACAACCCTCATGATCACCACCACTCTGAACAAACCCCGCTTATAATGTCGCAGTTTGCCGGCCAGCCGGCGATTCCGGCGGCATTTTCCGACAGGTTGTGGGATTGGAATGGGGTTCCGGAGGTAGCCAAGGATTACACAAACTTCTTCAAGTGAATTTTGTGACTTTTTTTTACAGTGGTTGGTTGATCATTGATAGAGAGAGAAATGTCATACATATATCTATATATGTATCTATTGTTTATGTATTTGTGCATGTATATTACTACCATATTTGAATCTTGATGGATTCATATATTGTCATGCCTAATTATTTTGTCTGCTCATAATTTACACGTACAAACAGGGGTGTGTGTTTGCGAGTAAAGGTTTTTTTGTTGAGATTTGACAGTGAATTGAAATAGTTATACGTGATATAATATTTTAGATGTAAAATTAATTTATAATATAATATAAAAAAATATATAATTTGATATTTTTTAGTAAAAAAAATTGATAAATAGTAAAAATTTAATAAAATTGATAATAAAAAACACACCGAATTCTGATCATCTCAACCTTTTTTCATAGTTCTTTCTCGTAGCCTTGTAACAAAGTTAAAAAGATGTGCGTAATATTTTCATTACATTCGCTCATTAATTTTAACCCCAAAAATAAAATTAAACTCTTTTTTTCTTCCTCCAAACTACGAGTTAGATATGACATTTTATGTCACGTTTATTATATGCATTTATTTATTAGGCTATATTTACTTTCAAATTTATTTTTGCACTATTCATTTAAATTTCTTTATCTTAAAAAAACACAAAAAAAAAAAATTAAAAATAAAAACTCACTTTTTATTTAAAAGTTATTGTGAAATCGAAATTTTATTCAAAACAACATATCATATTAAATTACATCAAAAGCAAATTCTATTCAACTATTTATTATTTCCAAACCAACTCAACTCCAAAACACTTCCAAGAACTCAAAGGTCTACTAATGACATGACATTTTAGTCCTATAATGCACTTCTCTAAGATTTATAATCAAGAAAATATAAATATAAATATACATATATATGTGTATATATATATATATATATACACCTCTCCACATGAATATGGAAGATATTAAACTAATTAAAATGCTGTTTCTTGTCTTAGATTTTCGTTTGCTCACTGATTGATTAACAGTGAATTTCTATTTCTCTACTAAACATCAAATACAATATAAAAATTTCAAAGCTAAATCCAATTAACTCCAAAAATAAAATATAAATGAAATGGGAAAGTTTGTCTGTATCTATATATGGTGTCAGTAAACCCCACAACCATGTCTGAGAAGAATCATAACGTGATGATGATGATGCTGACATATAGAGAGTATATGTGTGTGTGTGTGTGTGTGTGTCAGAAAGTGGACCATGAGTATGAGTGGCAGATGAGTGAAGAGACAAATTTAAAGCAGCATGGCATGCTATCCCTCTCTCTCTCTCTATGGACCCTTTCCCTCTCCTATGACAAATTAATCACAAGCCTCCCCTATGACATGAATGCAGCCAAACTACATATGCATGTGCTGTCTCAATGAACCCAACCCATCTATCTAACTGGTCTTGTCCCAATCTATATTTTTCGATTTTGCTACCCTAACAGATCACTTCCCTAAAGAAGATGATGATATTATGATTAAGAGAAGCTTATGCAACTAAGTACATTCAATAATGTGAAAATCAATTTAGCTCTATCATGCATATCGAATATTGGAATTCAAACAGTAATAATAGGATTAGAGGAATCGGCGGCGCTTACTCGTTTCTCGGATGTCATCCGCGCAGTTGGTGTCGTCATGGGAGGTCGTTTGTTCTTGCTGGTAAAGTTATTATGTCCCTCCGAGCGCCTAGGCACAGTGCGCTGCGTAATGCGCACTGGTATTCCACCCAAATCGAAGTCTTCTTTCAGTGACTTTGTTAGGAATCTTAGATCTGTATCTGTGAGCTGAGTCTTCCCGCTCATGAATGCGACGAATGTTGGGGGACGGGCCTTCACTTGTGTAAAGTATTTGATCTTGGGTTGGGCGGATTGGTCCTTCCAAGAATGTCGGCTCATAACCTGTGTGAAGGCAATGATATCACGAGATATATGACTGGTTATCTGTGCTACTTGCAGAAGAATCGAGGGATTTAGTAAACCTTGCGCAGCCAGCGGTTGAGACGAGCTGTTGGCAACCTGAGACACCACTTTTCGTATGTATCAATAACTTGGCGCATCACAGATAACCGGCCTTTTCCCTCGAGTGCAGAAACAAATACCACAGGGATTCCAGTTACCTGCCAACAACTTCGGTTAATGCAACATTAGGGTGTTTGTTCGATTTTCTAACGATTTCATGGAGCCATTAACATGCAGAAATAAAGTAATCAACCTACATAATAACTCAACCTAATAAAAACATGTTCATGTATGTAGAAAGGCACATCGAATTTAAGCAAAAGGAGTCACATTGCAAATACACATACAATCACTTTGCAAGATTGCAAAAATATACAATGTGTGTGAACACATTGCCACAGGAGGCCTATGAACAGAGAATGTGAAAATTTTCGTATGTGACTGACCTGGGGTATGACAGTCTGAATTTCTTCAGGTACAGCATTGACGACACTTTGGTACATTTTTGAATTTTGCTTGCCTTTCAAAAGATCCATCTTGTTCACTATAACCAGCAAACCTCGCCCTTCTTCCACAGCCCGCCTGGCTATGACAACTTCTGCATGCTTCATGCTCCTCTTAGCTCTTGCTATCTACATATAACACACACACATATAAAGAAAAAAAAATGACCTATTGGAAAGCTGATATTCCACAGCAGAAGGGCATTTGGTCATTTGGAATATAACTAACTACTAACAGAACCAATTAAACCAACTGAAACAAACAAGCAAGGTTTAAAGTGGAAATGAACTAGAGCTTAACACAATAACTTTGATAGACTACAAAATTACACACAACAGACCTCTTCTGCGTCCAGAACTAAAGCAACAACATGAGCTCTCATGAGATTTTTCCTTGACTGCACGATGCTCAATGATGAAGGACCCTTGTCCTGTTTTGTTCTCTCCAACCAACCAGCAGTGTCAACCTGACCAGATATAGTCATATCTTTTAAAAATAAACATTCACATACATATGATTCAAATTTCGATATATATTTATAAGAATAGCCATATTTAAAATCAAAGTCAAGTAATTCATTATGATAAATTCAGAATATAACCATATGTCTTACATCCAACATTCTTACCATTCAATCAGTACATAGATTAATTTATCAACTATCTTCCAATTTCCCAAAAACAAGCACTATTTTATCCTCCAAAACAACATCCATGGTAGAATGAAACAATACAAGAGAAATACTATAATTATAACAATAATCATTTCATTTAAAAATATTTGATTGCTCGGAATGGGTGGAGCAGAAAATAAGTGGGAAAAACCAGTAGCAGATTTAACTCATCTGATTAGAACAAAACATCAATTTTTCCAACATGGTGAAATCTATAATAGTTATAAACATATCTTATTCAATAAGTAAACCACAAGAATGAGAAGTCTGAACTCACAAGATATATATTTCTCCCTTCATATTGAAATTGCACACGGATTGAATCTCTGGTTAAACCAGCTTCGGGTCCAACCAAAACTCGATTTTCTTGTAAAATTGAATTCAGAAGGGTAGACTTCCCTACATTTGGCCTTCCAACAATTGCCAACTGCAATGGTAGTTTGGGGTCAACAACTTCCTCCACATCTGAATGTATATCTTCATTTAGAACTGAACCAAAAAAAAAAAGAAGACTTATTTAATCCGGGAACGAGTTAAAAAGTTATTTCATAGTGAAATTATCTATTAAGATATGTATCTAGGCATCAAATGATATTAGCATATCACAGGTAACTACGGGCCAAATCAATAAAAAGGCGAAAGTTTTGATTTTGAGTACAAGAGACTGAATTATTATGAGATTAGAACTTCTTAGCCAAGCTATGAGTGTCCTACCATCTGCATGCTGAATAATATAGTCCTCAAGGGGAGGTCTCAATGCTTCATATAGTTCAGTCATTCCAAATCCAGTTTCAGCAGATAATGCAATGGGATCACCAAAGCCTAATGTATAAGCCTCACCAGCAGCAGAAGATAGAGAACCAGTAATGTCATCAAGCAATTCAGCTTTATTCATTACAACAATAGTTTTCATATGAGGTGCATGTTTTCTCAACCACTTTCCAACATCCAAATCCATTGGCTGCAGTCCATCTCTAAACTTGACATGCAAGGATGAAGATAACATATTAATTCCAATCTTTGGAGAGAAAACTTGTTATCACCTTTCACCCACGCAATCAATATAAACATAATGCAATCATTTCAACAATATGAATCAGCATTTTTGCAGGCACATGAAAAGCCACATTACAGATAACCAAACTCGTTAAATGATAGCATTATCCATGATTGTTACAGAATCATGCAATTTTTTTATTTTTTTCGTATGCAATACAGCAATACATTTACCAAAAGTTGATGATGAAATTCCTTGTCCATCCAAATTCAAGTAACCCACCCTTTAGAACAGGAGATGTGCTATCATGTTGCTCCCACATCTATGCCGGTATATGGCTACTTGAAAAGATTCTATAACCAGATTCCAAAAATATAAAAAATAAATACTGGCCTAACCTTGCATCTACAAGAAATAGTGCAACTTGGGCACTTGCCAGAACATTTTCAGTCATGGAAGCAGTTCTGCCTAGAACAGAACCAGATGAAGCCTCTGCCTCCAAGCCAGCAGAATCCAGAACACAAAACCGCAAATTACCCAATTTAGCAATCCCATCTCGTATATCACGGGTAACATGGTCATTCGGGGTGTTGTAAACAAGGGCTTCCCTCCTTCGAATCAAACTGCAATTCATACAACCCAACTAGATATTACATATTTATGACCACTCAAACTCCAAAGGCAAAAAAACATGTTCTCAAAATCTAAACAGTAACTACATATGAACCCCAACAGTTCAATCCAGTACACCAGCACAAAATAACTGGAGAATTAAAACTGACCGATTAAATAATGCTGACTTCCCAACATTTGGACGCCCAATGATAATAACAGTTGGAAGCTTCTCAATAGGTATTTTTGTAAAATCAATCGACTTTTTATAATTGGACTTAGTTTTTGGTTTATCATCATTACTCTGACCAGCAGCAGCATGAAACTCCTCCATCTCAATGCTTTTAACACACGATGACGAACCAACATGATCCAAGAAATTATTCTGGCTTCCATGTTCTGGAATGGAACAGAAATTTGCAGCAAAGGAAGTATATGGTATATACAAGGATCTCTCCTTAATTCGCTCCACTTCAACACGGCATAGTGATGCGCCTCCTAAGATACACATCATCATCATCAGTAGAGCTAACAAACAAATTAAAGCACAATTCACATGTTTCCTACCTAATGATGCACGGGCATGAATATCATCCACCAAATACTACGAAATGAAACCAGTGCCAGCAAAACATTAACATGAAACAAAGCAGCTACAGGTTCCAGAGTTAATAGGCTATGTCCAAGAAGAAATTGGAACAAATTCAGAAATAAACAAACACATTTGATTTCATTCGTATTTCATAAATTTCACAATTATAATCGTCATACAAGGAGCCTTATTCAGTCAACCGCAAGAGAATTACAGAGTACTGCTCTACAAGAATTACCATGCTTCAATTTTACTTCGCCGGTACCATAAAAGATGGTTCTCTCCCCATTTCCTAGTGACCTGGAAATCGGAGTCTGCAAGTGTTTTCCGGTGGCTTCTCTCGAAATTAGACCAAAGCAATAGCGACATTTTCGGCCGGCAAAGGCCTGGAACCATGACCGGTATACGCACATCCACACCCAGGAGGTGTTAACCAAGTCGAAATTTTCACCTGCTCTAAACGCAAATTATACTGCCGGCACTAATAATACTTGTCACATAATCAATAATATCATCCGAACGTTTCACAAGCAGGAACCAGGAAAACCTTCGACAGCGGCGGCGACGGTGGTGATCTGGCAGCATAAATCGACGGCAAGGTTTTAGGGCTTTATAAGGGCCTATATATTTTTAACACGAGTATATTTTGTTTAGTTAGACTCCAAAAATTCCTATGTTATTTTTCTTTCTTTTTTTTTATCTGCGAAAATAATACTCCTTCGCTCCCTCAATGTTTTTCGACGGACCTTCTTGTTTAAGCAACACACTTTTATTTATTTATTACACCGTCCGTCCTACATAATTTGTTCCTATTTTATATTTTCGTCAGTCTCATAAAAATTATTTATACATTTTAATCATATTTTAAAATTTAAAATTTAAATTTTTTTTAATTTTAATTAAACTATTTAGTTATTTTAATCTTAATCTATAATTATTTTTACTAAATAATAATTATTTTTACTAATACATTTCTTAATTACTTACTAATTATATTTTACCTAAATTCTCGTGTCTACAGTAATCATCCATATTACATGAGACGGATGGAGTACTATTTATTTTTTATAAAATACTATATAAAATATATATTTTTTTTTTCATAAAATGTCAAATTAAATATTAATTTTTTATTTTTTCTAAATTTTTAAAATTCTAAAATCCTTCAAAAACTTTTATCTAAACAAAGTCAATAATATTATTCTTTCATCCCATTTAATTTGTTACATATTTCTATTTTAGTATATCTCACATAATTTGTTATTTTTTTTAAAAAATAATTATTATATAATTTTATAATTTATAATTTATAATTTTTTTAATTAAATTATTTAATTATTTTATCTTAATATATAATTATTTTTATTAAATTATTATTTTATTAATAGAACAATTTAACTGAAACAAAGGAAATAATATTATATTGATACGAGTGGGAATAAAATAAAAATATTAAAATAACCTTTATTAGTATTAAAATAACCATCAGGATGTCAATTCGTATTTTCGGGTCGTATTCGTGTTGGGTTGAGCCATAGAGGTAACATAAAAATTGTCAAGCCGAACCCGAAATTTGACATGAAACCCTAGACCCGAACACGGCACGAATTCTTTCAGGTCGGGTTCAGGTCACCCGAAACTCGAACAAACCCTAGACGAACCAGACACGAAATAGACCTGAAAATAAAAAAAAAAAAATTAAAAAAAAAATGACCCAAAAAAATTCATTTTTATTTTTATTTTTATATTAGAATAATAATAATAATAAATAATTTCAGGTCTTTTATATTTTGGGTTATCAGGTCAATTTGAAACACTACCCGAACACAACACGAATTTTTTTCTTCGTGGGTTCGGTTGACCCACTTTTTTGCAAACCCGAAATACTCAAATCCGAACCTGAAAATTTTCAGGTCAAACGGGTTCGATTTTTCAGGTCGAGTTTGATTTTGACACCCCTGTGTACTCATTTGACCAGATACAAATTTTATGAAAAATAGATAAAAATAGAAACTTTTATTTTTTTGGTAAAGAAAAAATAGAAAATTTTGTATTTTTTACTAAAAATAAAAACGAGACTAAATTTATATGACAATTAAAAAAAAAGTAAGAATATATTTACATGAGAAAGAGAATATATTGTAAATTGCAAAAGTATTTGTAATATTAAATATACGATTACTAAAAAAAATATATACTTTTTTGGAACGAACCAAAATAAAAAAATAAATAATTTGTTAATAAGCAAAAAAAAAATATTTTTTTTTCATTCACAAATCATACTTTATTTTAATATTAACTCAAAATCAAATTTTTTCAAACTTATCAAAAACATACCCTGATTTTAAAAATTTTGTTAAGGAATAGGAGAAATAAATTTTTTATTTTCACAAATATTTTATCATACTTTATTTTAATATTAAATCCAAATCATTTTTTTTCAAACACACAAAAAAAACATACTCTAATTTCTAAAATTTCAGACTATAACGTTTCAAAAAAAATATCGTAATATATAAAATTATATATTATTTTAATATTAAATTTAAAGTTGATATTTTTAAAATCTAAAAAAAAAAAAAAAAACATAACCTATATTATTTTAATATTAAATTTAAAGTGAATATTAAAAAAAAAAAAGCATAATCTATATTATTTTAATATTAAATCTAAATTAGATATTTTTTTAAATCTATAGAAAAAAAAGGCATACTCTTAATTTGAAAAAATATACTTGGTTAGTTTCAATTTAAAATAATTTTTTATTATTTTCGTCTATTTCATTCTAAAATATTTATTTTCTATTTTATTATATTAATACCAAAAATATTATTAATTTTTATTTAAATTACAAATATATTATTATACATATAATTTTTTTTATATATTTTTACTAATTAATAAAATATTATTATTTTTAATTTATTATAAAAAAAAATCCAAAAAAAAAAAAAAAAAACTTATTGGAGGGAGTATATATTCTCCCTAATTGGAGAACATAGATATAGTATTTCATATAATCTCTCCCTCGTGCATTCCACGTGTGCACACACGCTTACTAAACTACTGGTCAACGAAAGAATTAAATATATTATTAATTTTCTCAGTATAAATACCTCCATTATTGTGTCACCACCAAATTCATTCCCGCTTGGCGCTGGTTTCGTTTCTCTCTCTGTTCAGATTTTCAGTTTTCTCAGTCATACAGGAACGATTTGTGGTTATTCAAACCAATTGCTACTGTGGCGGAGGCCAGGGAATTTAAACCAAGTTTTTCGTAACAAAACCCTAATCTGCAGAATCGCTGTCGTATCCCGCCGAGGAAATTGCGGACTGTTAGGGTAGGCGTTTGGGTTTTCCAGTCTTTAGGATGGGCATTCAAAGAGGAACTTCGCCTCCTATATCGATGAACATGTACGAAGTCTTCAATGACTTCAAAGGCCGTAGGGCTGCCCTCATCAAAGCCCTCACTACTGGTATCATTATTTCAACTCATCTTTTCTCTATGTTCTCGCATAATGTAGAATATTCTTGTTGGGATTCTTGGGGAGTTATGGGAATTTTGTTCTCTGGTAAAGAATGAAGTATTTACGTAAAAATCTGTTTAGTTTTAGTTTAATTAATTTATTGTGTATATGTTAAATTTATGGATAAGAGGTTGAACACAGCAGGTTGTGTTTCTCCATGGATTGCGTTTACGTATTACATGCGTTGGGCAAAGCATCATTTGGCTCTTTTTTTTTTACTCCTTTAGTTTTTCAAACATCTGTTTTTGTGGATTTGGGGATTAAGTTGATTCTGATTTCTTCTTGGTTGTGGTCTTTGCAGATAGTGCAAAATTTTTTCAGGAGTGTGATCCTGGTGAGTGTTTTTTAACCGTTTATAAATTTTGGTGCCCTCCTTAAATGGATTAGTAGATTCCAACTGCAGTACATGTGTAGTATGTAAACCATGTGTATGTATTGTATGCGGCATATCTATTGGAGTGTTCTTCTTGAACATTTATGTGTACAAAAGCCATGTGTGTTAAGCTTCTTATGTTTATTTAAGATATTAAGTTTGCTTTTTAAAAATTCTGTAACAAAAATTAAGAAAGGAGCTGGAACAGATGGAATTCTTCTCAGTTGTCTTTTATAAGAGAGTAAATAAAAGTGTCTTTTTCATAAGCAAGCATATTAGTGATACAGACCAAGAAGACAAATCGTTCCTGCTTTCCTCTTCTTTTGGCGTCTCTCGTTTTGTTGGACGGCTTGTTCTTGCTATTGCTTAGGTTCCCCAGCAGGATCTGCGATATAAGCTACTCATGTCTAAGATTATTTCAACACTAACTTTGCAAACCAATAGAAAATAAGCCAATAATGTCATCTGATTATGATACAGTCAATGCCTTTGCAAACAAATAGAAAATGTTGCTTTTTATGGTAGAATGGTATGTGCTATCATACTGATCAGTTTGACTTGTTTTCCTGCGAGGCTAAATCTTATGCAATTGGTTGAAAAAATGTATATTTATGTCTGTTCACCCTGTCATTTTTTATCTTTTATTTATTTATTTTTACATCCAATCACAATATATTGTTTGGGTTGTCTTTTAGAAACTGTTTGCCCCTTTTCCCTTGCAGCACAAGAGAACCTGTGTTTATATGGGTTACCCAATGAAACGTGGAGAGTGCACCTGCCTGCTGAGGAGGTGCCCCCTGATATTCCCGAGCCGGCACTGGGAATAAATTTTTCCAGAGATGGAATGCCGAAAAGGGATTGGTTACTTCTTGTTGCAGTTCACAGCGACTCTTGGCTGCTTTCTGTTGCATTCTTCTTTGCTTCAAAATGTGAATTCGATAAGAATGAAAGGTAAGCATTGGTGAAACTGCTCTGTTGTCCGATGAACTTTCATCAAGAGTGATAAATTCTAATGCTTGTTGGTATTCAGGATTCTCGAAAATTAATTTGAAACTCATAGCAAGATAGTTTTGGCAGTTGCTATTACAACTTACAGATTTACTGGGGATTATCAGTGAAAAACTCTGCTTCATTTTTTGTGAAAATTGAGTATATTCAATTGGAAGCCCAAATTGTTCTTGTTGCTCTTGCGATTTTTGTCTGTGCCTGAAATTTATTTGGAGTTTGGTTTCATTTTTTTCACTATGCAACTCTCACGGTTGCATGAACAAATATATTATTTCTTCTTACAATACATCAAATTCAAACCATTATTTAAACTGAAACCCAAAACCAAATTCAAGTAAACAAACCCTTTCATTTCTATTTTGAAGCCATTTGCTCCTTTTTGATCGTTGATGTTGTTAGTTTAGGTAGCATGGCCCTTTGATGCAGAAATTCACAGAATCTACTGAGGTTTATTTCACTGTCAGAAATGTGCGTACCTTATTTTATTTGATGGCGTAATTTGGCCACTATGCACTTTTCGTAAAATTCTTGATGTTTTTATTAGTTATTTCATTAACCAATACAAACTTGTGTATAAATATTCATATTTGTATTTCTATGTGCTTCCCATTTGAACCCAGCTAGAACATACCACTTTTAGTTAGTTCACAGATAGTATCTTAATAATAGTTTCGACCCTCAATAGTCTACATTGGAAGGACTAATTACGCATTTGCATTAGTAGTACACACAGCAAGAATAGATGACTTCTGATTTTTCAGTATTTTGGTTGTGTTTGAAATCAGGTTGCGTGTGGTTTGAAATTCTTGGTAAAAATCCCTTTACTTTCGTTCGGATAGTTGTAAAAAAACTAGGAACTGTTTGATCCATTTTTTTAGTTTCCATCGCGCTCTATATTTCAAATAATATTCGATTCATTCATCAGTTAGTAGAATTTTATCTGGCTGAAATTTTATCTGTTACCCTGCATTCACTCTTATAAAAATGTGCGGACCATAAAGTATACTCCTACAAACCGAAATTTGGTGTGTTTTTACAGGACGATGCTTTTCCAGATGATCAACGATCTCCCAACTGTGTATGAGGCTGTGATGGAATCTTGTATACCGACGATAAGTCAAGCTGCAGCTCACAATGACAACAACAATAGCCAATCCAGCAGAGAACACGTAAGTAAATTTACTGCATGCTATCCTCATCTCACCGTCTGCCATAGCCTCTGCTTCATCTGCTCATTGTCTTTTTATCCAACTCCATCTCGGCAGGCTGGAACCAAGCGCAAAAATGAAGCAGAATCCCCACCAACGGAAGAGGATGATGATGATGGGGTAGTTGAAGAATTCAAAGACGAGGATGAGGCTGAGGCTGAGGCTGAAGCAACATTATGTGGAGCTTGTGGAAATAACTACGACCCAGATGGATTCTGGATTTGCTGCGACATTTGCGAGAAATGGTTCCATGGCAAGTGCGTGAAGATAACGCCAGCAAGAGCCGTGCACATAAAGCAGTACAGTTGCCCCGACTGCAGCAGGCGCGGCTGATTTTAACTCGACTGTGATCGAATTCGGGTGTTCAGCCGCCACAAACAATAATGTGAGGTTTTAGCAGCTCTATTCTTTTTCTTTCTCAGTGTTCATATTTCTCTGCTGAATTCTGTCTTTGTGGATTCTTACTTAGGAAATTCTTAAGATTGTTTTTTTGATTGAATTGAGGAATTTCATAAACCTTTCTTCTAGGAATTTTTTTAATTTTGGTACCATTTTAGCTGTATTTAATCAATTCATCTTGATGCTCATGCTGAACCCCATCAGCCATCACCATGTTTTGTACAGATTTTTTGTATGTGTTTTGATAAATATTTTTTTGCCTACCTATGTTAGAATTTTGAATAATTCAGCAGACAAATTTACGTTCTGTTTATGTGTACCTTTAAGTCACACTTCTTGATTTTATCTAATTACTTAATTTTTAAGTGTGTCAAAATTAAATATTGCATCGTATTTGAGTCTGAATGATTTACTGACATGATCATATGTATAAGTTTGGGACATTACTGTAGTTTTTGTTGTGTCTCTCTATTGATAGTCATATATGGAATTAGAAATGTTTTTTTTTTTTTCAAAATATAAATAAATAAAACAAAACAAAAAAACATACAAAAAATACACACACCAGCCCATTACGTTAAGTTTGGAAATGGGCCGGGTAATTATGGTATATAAAGCCCGATCGTTTGGTCGCCGGGTGGGTTATTTCATCATTTCCGACTGAACAAGGGAGAGCAGCAGCAGCAGCGGCAATGGCGAAGCCACTGGGGCCCACGGGAGAGTTCTTCAGGCGACGCGATGAGTGGCGGAAGCACCCGATGCTGACAAATCAGTGGCGCCACGCCACCCCCGGCCTCGGGATAGCGCTCGTGGCATTCGGCATCTACCTCGTCGGGGAAGCGGCGTATAACAAGATCTACGCCCCCAAATCTCACTCCCATTCGCACTCCACATCTTCCGAGGCTCACTGAACTTCAGCCTCGGTGAGGCTTCGTACTTTATTTGTTATCGGCCATTTGAATTGCAATTTTCGAATTTCTTTGGTTTTTCGCGAGTTTATTTCCCGGTCATCGTTTATGCGTTGATTTGTTATTTTAGGTTTTCTGTGACATTTTCATCTCTAAAATAAAGCTATAACATGCTTCTTGTTATCGAGTTTTTAGATTTTGCATTCGAAATTTGGTTTTGTCAGTGTTGCTTGGAGATGCTCTGGGGGTTTTAGGTGCTCGGATGCTATTGAATCGGTGCTTGTTTTCAGTGCACGGTTTAGATGATTTAGGATGGTTTCTTTGTGTTTTCAATCTGATTATATATACCGTTTCAAAACATACATCCGAAAGCTATCTTTGATTCAAAAGAATTCCAAATCCAAAACACTGAACCCATCCAAATGCACCCTCAGTTTTTTTCCTTTTCCTGCTATTCTTGTTTCATCAGTAAGGTTTTTTCATTGTGCATAGCATAGGCCAATTTATTTGAACTTATTGCATTCCCAGCCTCATAAATGGTAAAACTAAACAAATAAACAATGCATGTGTTAGTAGTGGGCATAATCTGTAAGAATCATCATGGACTCAAGTAGTCAAGTGCTCAGCATTTGTTAGCACTTTCATAATCGTTGCTTTGTCTTTGTCAATATCTTGAAATAGTGCACAAAGAAACTTTCTGCCGATTTTTACTCTCCATATCATTTTGAAGGCATAATTAGAAATTTCCGGATAAGATATTCATAATAAGTGGTTGCTTAGGATTTTATTTTACTTTTTTTTTTAAGAGAAGAATTATTCTTATAAAGAAAGAAATATGCAGATAACCTTAGGGCCACAGGAAGTAGTAGAGACGACGACTTACAGTCAAATAAATAACTCTTAACTGCCCCTTGCAAATCAGTCATTTGCCTTGATTGATTTGGATTAGTTGGTTTATTTCTATTCATATATCATCAAGAGGCTTTTGGATTATGTTTTTATGAGTAAGATGTTTATCTTTAATTAATATATCGCTATTCTTCCCTTTATTTAAGAAGTGGGGGAGGTAGGCAGAAATTAAGTTTACTTTATTTGTTTCTTATATTTATACTTGTGTTCTTGCTGGGGGAATGAGCTTAATGTGTAAGCAATGATGCAGCATTTGAAGTATGGTGTAGGTTGAAGTAGTATCATAGTATGTATGCAAGGCTTGTGGGTTAAATAGAATCGATAGGTTTTTCTTTGTCTGTATGCCTCTATTCAAGTATTTTGGTAGATCATCACATGACAAAATTTGATGGTATCGTTGGAAAAGATTGTTCAGGTTTTTTCTTCTAATATTTAACTCAAAAATTTGACTGCCACCTATGTCATGAAAATATGATTTAACTTGGATAACTTATCAAATCTATGAAACTGAATCTCACAAATGCTAAATATTCTTTAATCTTGATGCACCCACACCCTGGTCAATCTTACTGAAATATTCATACAACCTTTATGTTATTCATTTTCAACTATTTGTATAATTTGAATGTAGCATTCAAAATTTTCTTGTGAACTTTAGTGGTCTGCCTGGATTAACTTTTGTTTCATACAATGATCATGCAGATGGAGTGTGGTATTGAAGAATGGAATAGAGGATCATCTTTCTCGCTTTCATTTCTGCGTGTTTAAATAAAGCATAAACTGAGACTCATTTATTTACTTGAGTGAGCAGGTAACGATCAAACTTGTAAACAATTTAAAAATGCTCTTGTTCCGTTTTTCTGGACATCTTCAAGAATTTGCTGTGACAATCACTCTAATACTCTTATATCTTCTGTTCCATAAGCTATAAAGCCGACTTTACTCAAATAATGATAATGATGAAAGTATGAATATATTTATATACGGCGCATATGGTGTTGTGTCATCAAATTAGGAAGTGTTATTACTGTCATTGCGTGTATAACCTAAGGCATTTTAGATATAATGTGCAGCATACTTAGAGTGCTTTATTCACTCCCGAAAAGATATATAGGTAACTGAGTGATGGTGCTGCCAACATTAGTAACTGTAGGTAAATGGTTCTACTCAGATTCATAATTTGGTAGATCTTTGGCCACAAATTTTGTCTCTAAATAGTATTTTTGATTTTAGAAAATCAATTAGAAAAAGTTATCTCAACTACTTCCCATATATTCAGGATTAAGTTAATTTTAAACAAAATAAAAAATAATATCTCTGTAATATTATTTTGATGTTTTATTGTGAAATGTCATCTATATGTAATTTACTCAAATAATGTCCAAATAAATGGTTGTAATTTATTCAAATAATGTCTAAATAAATTATTATGATGCATTCTCTTACATCGCGCAGATTATTTATTGTAATGACATGAATTTGACTTTATGTTTCATAAAATACAAGATTGTTTCACCATTATATTTATATGTATGATATATGACTTCAATAGATATGATATATACATGCAGATCATATTATCATTATTTTCTGGATTATCTTAAATGTGTTGTTATTTTCTATTATTTTATTTCATCTATGACATGTTTACATATTTTGTATTTTTTATACATAATTTTACATTTTTATATATGTTATATTCAAAGTATATTTTGGACGATAATCTGCTCAATATAAAACATTCTTCTATATTAGTCAATTTAAACATGGTATTCATATGAACGGATTTTGTGGGAATAAATTTATTTTACAGAGTTTATTGTTGTTTGCACCATTGTTCCTTTTTTTTTCCTTAGTCGTATGTATTTCTTCCATCTTTCTGTGTTGCTGATCAACATAGTTCTACGGATTTTGTCTTGTGTCCCTTTGGATTTCAAAGACAGGTTTGGAATTTTTTCGAATGCATTGTTTGTTCGGCATTCAAAATGATATTGGTTGGTTTATTGTATGTTCTGCATTCAAAATGATATTGGTTGGTTTATTGTATGTTCTGCATTCAAAATGATATTGGTTGGTTTATACTATAATGTACGCATTAGATTGAAATGTAATAAAAATTCGTCACTACGTTACTCTCGCGATTGATAAAAAATAGAAAAAACTTACCGCATTCTGCAATTTTTTAGAACGTTATCTTCATCCATGACACACTGAAACTAACAGGAATGCACATTGTTTTTCTTCATGATGTTCTACGCTTCGACTTCTTCATTATTTTATTTTCTTCGATAGATGTCGATAAAAGAATATGGAGTTTTTTTTTTTTTTTTATGTGAACTTATTCAGATGGTTCAGAATATGAACACTGTCAACATGTATCCATATTTATATTCCCTTGTGCTAAAATAAAACCTTGGCTTATTAATTATATAAATCAAATTATATATCTACTATTACCTGCAATATCATTAGTAGATAGTCATAAATATTTAATTTAGAAGCATATTCAAATTATATAATTATTCAAATTTAAAAATTTTATTATTTAAATGTCCGCTTAAAATTCAAACTTCCGTATATTACTAATATATTTTTCAAAATTTTAATGTTAAAAATAAATGATTTTGTATAAACAAAATGACTACTAATATAAAAAGCCTCTGGATTCTTCCCGAACGCCCTTCTTTCATCTACGCTATTCTCCTTCCTCTCGAACTTTCTTTCTATGCATAATTGCATATACATTCATGGTGCATATATATATATATTAGCATACTTGTATGTATAGCATACTATCGGTTGATCTGTAAACGAACACACCAACAGCGTTCCCTCTAATAACAATGGCCAAATTGACAATATTCAGATTCGCGATCGCCGTCGTCTTCGCCGCGGCGGCGATACTGCCTCCGCCGCCCAAAGCGGCGGCGCTCGTGCCTTATCCACGTGCTCTCTGGGCTTCGCTGCTTCGGCGAGGCGTCGGCGACCCATTCGAGATTCTAGAAACCTCATACCTTCCTCTCTCCGTCCCCCGATCGGCGGCGGGCGACGACGGCGCCGCCTTGTTCCTCGCCCGCGCCGACTGGAGAGAGACGCCGGCGGAGCACCGGATATCGATCGACGTCCCCGGGATGGAGAACGACGGCGTCAAAGTCGAGGTGGAGGACGGCGGCGTTATCGCGGTCACCGGCGAGCGGAAGACGGAGGCGGCGGTGGCGGAGGACGACAGGTGGCACAGAGTGGAGCGGAGCGTGGGGAAGTTCTGGCGGCGGTTCAGGATGCCGGCGAACGCCGACGTTGAGCGCGTGACGGCGCGTTTGAAGGATGGGGTTTTGAGGATTACCGTGCCTAAATTGGACGAGGCGGAGAAGACAAAGACGGAGGCCAAAGGGCCGAAATTGATCGCCATTGTTTCCGATGAGAAGAAGACAGAAGACGCTCAGCCGGCTAGGGCGGAGATGTAGAGCTTGAATCCAACGCGCCGCCGTGCCGGAAAATGGGAGGCTAGTACTATACTCTTTTTTATTTTAATTGTAATTTAAGGCTTTTTTTTAACTGTATGTATGTAAATGATACTGGTTTCTTTGTCAAATATTATGCGGAGAGGTCAATTTGCTACAGTACGTGAAAAAAACAAATATGTATATTATATGTATATTCCATATACTCGTGTAATTTCAATCAATAGAGTTTTTCTGTAGTTATGGAAATATGAATTTAAGTATGAAATTTAATTAAGGAAAGTAATAATCAAATACACTAAAAAATCAAAAAATAATAACCAAGACAAAATTAGAAAGAATTACTGCAATTAAAATTAAGGGATAACATCATTTCTGGAAATTGAAAGAAATTGTAAATAACACAAACGTACGGGCACTAAATAAAAATTAAATTAAATTTACTCTCTCTTCGATCATTTCCAAACTCGAAATCGTTTTTGATCATGACGACTCTTCGGGCAGCGGACGACAGTGGTTTTCGACAACTCGACAAACGTCAGTGGCATCAATGTTGTGGTCGACACCTCCGGCATACAAGGGTGATTCATCCGATCGACACTGAAACATCAAACATCACATTTTTTTCTTATCCACTCCAACGCACTCGAATTAAGGTTCGTGCAAAATGATATGAGGTAATAACCGTAAGGTGGAGGCCAGCATGTCACTTTAAGCCTCAACATCCTTCGGAATCGACACAAATTAAAAGAATCTTAGAACTTCACCGAAGAGAATTTTTTGTTGAGTTTTTGACAGGATTTTGAGATTTTTATTTTTTATTTTTATTTTTGTTTAATGCCAATTTTGATAGGGTCTAGACTTAAAGTGACGCGCTGACCTCTATCTTACGGGGTAGTTAGCTTGAGTCATTTTGCACCATTGACTGAGTCTTATATTTTAATCCCTTAGCTGATAAATACAAAAAAAAAAACACATCTTCTCTGATCTACTCAGACGCAATTGAATGACTTTTTTCTCCCACAAAGGGATTTCGAATTAAGACTGAACCCATAATGCGAAATGATCCAAAGTAACTATACCACATAGTACAAGTCGACAGTCACACTAAACTTCAACACTCGTTGGAATTGGCACAAAAAAGGTTTCAAAACCTCACCGAAAACCCATTGGAAAACTTTCCCGTAGCTCTCACCCTCAAATCCCCTCACCCAAAACTAATTTTATAACTCACAGACAAAATAGATTGGACTTAGAATTAAAAAGTTTGAATAAATTTCATAGAGATTAGAAACCGTATGATGATGGGGGTTTTGAAGGTGAGAGAAATAGTAAGTTTTCATGTGAAACCAAGACAGAGGAAGACGGCAGTGATAGAGTTTTCCGATAGATTTCTGATAAGGTTCTGTGACCCTTTCCTTTGTGACGATTTTGGTAAGTGTCAAGAGACCTAAAGTGACTAGCCGACCTCTACCTTACTCTGTGATTATTTCGGATCATTTTGTACCATGGGCTGAATTTTATATTTGAATCCATTAGTTGATAAACACCGGAACAATACATTTTCTCCTATGCACACAAACGGCTTCTTTCTCCCCGTGAAGGAATCTCGAATCGAATTTAAGGCTTAACCCATAGTTTTAAATGGCCTAGGTAACCACGCTCCAAAGTGAAAGTCGACGTGTCACTCTACTCTAGCCCTCGATACCCACTAGAATAGCACAAAAATAAATCTCAGAAAACTCATTAAAAAAACTCTCCCTTTTACACTATGTGCTTCTCTATCAGTCTCACTCTCTGAAAATAAGACTCAATTATAAAACTTTTAACTTCCTATCTAAAAACTTCCTCAAAATAACCGCTCAATAACAAACTAAAATAAATTATTGAACTTAGGGTAAACAGGTTTAGGCTTGGGGTTGTGTTAGGATTAAAGGGTTTGAACAAAATTCGATTGGTCGAACTAAAGAGTGGACCAATCATTATATTAAGTCTTAAACGTTCAAAATTTTGAACATATATAAAGATGGTTAATATACATGTCTATAGTAATTACACAGATAGATAGCCAAACACAAATATACATTCTTAGTTGTAAATAATGCACATAATGTCTTCCTATGTATCTACGATTTGTACACCAATATGTTACGTATGCAACATGAGTTTTGAATATTTTTTTTTTTTTTAAAATTAGTAATAATAAAATATCTAATATTTTTTTAAAAAAATATTATTAATTTAACAGTAACAATTAAATAAATATATATAATCTGTTTTTTTTCTAAAAGAAATGTATAAATATATATAAAGGGTGTGTTTTTTCACACTTATTTAACCGAAAAAAATTAATATATTATCTACATAATTTTTTATACCTCACATAATAATTTTTTTAAAAAAATTATTCACATAATAAACACACCAATAATATTAATTATTTAATAAGTTTTTTAAAAAATTAATAGTTCTCACATTATGTTATTGGGCTGATTTAATTATTAAGATTTTCAATAAGGATAAAATTCATTGAAGGCCCAAAAGGAACACAGAGAACCCACATTAATGTATAACATATCCCCTTCTGCAAGTAAACCAGTTCGGATTCAATTTCTCCTTCCCCGAATCCTCCCTGCTCTCCGTTCCCTTGCGCAAATCGCTGATTGCAAATGGCGACGCCCATGGCGGAAGACAATTTCGAGGAAGACCAGATCGCTTCCATGACCACAGAAGACATCGTTCGCGCCTCTCGTCTGCTCGATAACGAAATACGAATACTGAAGGTTCATTTTGGCGTCGAAAGTCGATTGTTATGAATATTGTAAATGGAACTGGTTCATTGCGGGGAGTAGTTCGTGTTTTTGTCGCTAAACGAGGGTTTTTTTTTTTTTTGGGACAGGATGAGTTGCAGAGGACGAATCTAGAAGTGGATTCGTTTCGCGAGAAGATTAAGGAGAATCAAGAGAAAATCAAGCTAAACAAGCAACTTCCGTATTTGGTTGGAAATATTGTTGAGGTATATTTCTGGCAATATAATCGTATTTACTACCTTTGCTATTGTCTTCTGGTAATTTTGTTCGCAATTTGGGCTTGTAGAGACAAGAAATTAATTTGAATTGGATCTTACTGTGTCGTCTGTAGATTAGGGTTTTTCAATTTAATTGTTTTGTGGGGTTTAAATGATATGAATCAACTTTAATGAAACTACAATTTTCCAAGTGACAACCTAGTGTTCGAGGGTTTACATTGTCTCATATTCCTTGCTTCTTGATTAAAATGTATGCTGTTGGAAGAGTTGAAAGAGTTAAGTAGTTTTGTAATGCATTATGCAACCATGATGCTAGAATCTAAATAATGCAGAGACTGACCCTAAAATTACCGCTCCAATTCTTCCCAAAACTCTTCTCAAGGTAGATGGATCATCTGACATTGTTGAATTAGTCTTGATTTCAAGTGACCCTTTAAGATCTATGACAAAATTCAGCAGCTGGAGCACCATAGTAGATTATAAATGTGTCATTATAAGTTTTAAATTTTTTGGGGATAATAGTATTAACTAAAACCAAAGGAATAGGAGCCTCTTGTGAACCACAGTATGTTTCATGAGACATTGAATGAATTGTTTCTAAACATCATAGATTGATTTTTGACAGAGATTTGACTTGCTCTGTTTGTGAATGCTACTTTTTTCTGGGTGTAGTTGGTTTTAGTCTTAATGAAGCTTGTTATGTATGGCTTGTATTCAAGTTCCTTAGACTTGGTTAAATCCATGCCAGGTAAATTGTTGTAATGATTACTTAGAAAAATTTCTTAAGAGTATCAACAACAACAACAACAACAATATAAACTTGGTGTATTGACTAATGGTAGGATTTCTTCTTAGATGAAGTCTATTGTCGATTAAGGAATTTTTAGAAGCCACATCATATGAATGCTTAAAATAATCTTCTAGGTGGTGAGTCAGCGTCTTTAAATATAGTTTGGCAGATTATTATTGAACTAATGGAAGCAGACATCTGTCATATCTTTTTACAGATACTGGAAATGAATCCAGAAGAAGAAGTAGAAGAAGATGGTGCAAATATTGATCTAGACTCCCAAAGGAAGGGTAAATGTGTTGTGCTAAAAACATCTACACGGCAGGTACTGTCATGTTTTTGCATTTTTATGTTTTTCTCTTGAGTCCTTTTCTGCCTTTGAGTTGGGTAGGTTTGATGGATTAGGGAGTATTGTTGATGGAATTGTCATTGGATTAGGAGGGGCTCACTTTTATCTTCCACCTTTCATATTTTGTGTAACCTTTCAATTTAAAAGCACATGCATTAAAGTTATCTAGCCACACGCTATCAAGTATCAATATTTTCCATTTTAAGTTTATGACAGGACTTGAACTTTTGTTCTTCTATAAAGATTATTATTAATTTTCGCTAGCTTCCGTGCAGACAATTTTCCTGCCTGTGGTGGGCTTGGTTGACCCCGATAAGCTGAAACCTGGTGATCTTGTTGGAGTGAACAAAGACAGTTATCTCATTTTGGATACTTTGCCATCTGAGTATGACTCTCGGGTTAAGGCTATGGAGGTTGATGAGAAGCCGACGGAAGATTATAATGATATCGGTGGCCTGGAGAAACAGGCAATTTTCTTTGTTTTGTTTGAACAGTTAATAATGGTTTTGCATCTTGCTGGGTATTATTAATGCAGTTTTTATTGTACTAATAACTTCAGATTCAAGAATTGGTTGAGGCAATTGTGTTGCCTATGACCCACAAAGAAAGATTTCAAAAATTAGGTATCCGCCCCCCAAAAGGAGTGCTTTTGTATGGGCCTCCTGGAACAGGAAAGACCTTAATGGCCCGAGCCTGTGCTGCCCAAACAAATGCCACTTTCTTGAAGCTAGCTGGTCCCCAGCTTGTGCAGGTATGCTATTGTCAAGATCTATTGCTGGCTCTGATGTTCCGATAACCATAGTTATGTGGTTGTAATTTAATTCCATGAAAAACACATTCTGTGAGCACAGTAGTTTAGGACGCCATCTCCCTGAACTACTTTAAAGAAGAATGCCTGCTAATCTGTGTTGTTTATGTACATTGATTGGTTTATTATTTATTTATTGATTTTCCATTTTGTGGTCAGAAGCAGGCTTTCTCAAACTTCATGGTACTGTTTTCTAAATCTGTTAATTGTTTGACAGATCAAATTTACTAAAGAATTTGTCATGTTTCCAAATTCAGCATGCTAGGGTTAGTTCCTTGTATATGTGTTGAACTAAATTTATGACAAGCTCATCTGTCAATAATAGCCAACTTTGTCACTAACCCTCCCCATTGGTTTACAAGCTGTTCCTGTTTGTTATAGTCATTCTTTGATTGTACTTGAATTTTATCTCATCTTCCTCATATTAACTATGTTGTAGCTGTATGTTTATATGTTTCCTTCACCATATAGAATTTGGCCATATCTTCATTATTATATTCATTACAATATGACAAGGTAAAATTTGGTCTTTTTTTAGTCAAATTGATGATGAGTAAGGTTGGAGAACCAGTATGAGTTTAGTTATAGAAGTAGTAACAAAGGGGAGGGGGTTATGGGCTTCTAAGGTACCCACAGGGCCTCCATGTGGGGACTCTGTGGGTAGTGGCTGCAACCTGTGTGACTACCAGATGTGTTTCGGGGGTTGATTCGAGGTTGATTATACTGACCGTTGATATGGATGGAAAGAATAAAGCATGAAGGATGACAAGATAAAGTATCTTGGTTGGAATTTGGAAACATTAGAACAGACTACGTGTAAACACAAAAAAGGTGTAATTGAGAGAGAGAGAGTCTGAAAATACCGGAGGGGAGATAGTCTCAAGCAGCCTTATCGCTTGTAACTTGTCTCAGTTAGTTGGCAAAGAAAGATTCTAACTACCCGCGAAGGCTTTCGGAATTGCCTGAGGCTTCCATTGAAGGACTCTACTGAGACAAAGATGGGCTGTCAAGAACGTAGAGGAGGTAAAAAAGTAAGAACAACAAGGCAAGTGTCTCTAATGTAAGAATATTGTAAGGCTTCCCCAAGGCAAAAAGAATTCTAGAAGTTCCTCTGATACTTAGCTTGCTTCTCCTAATGCCAACACCAATCTTCAGGTCGTTTACGCACTTAGGCACCGAATAAGATAGTTCGAAAGTTAAGTAACGAAGAGAGGATGTTAGGGGAAACCCTGCTCAGATTCCTTTCCCATCTTTTCTTCAATGCGAGCCAAAGACAGCGGTTCTGCAATTCCTGTATCATCAAATTTTCCGAATTACAATTTCTTGTTCATTTCTGCTTGGATCTTCCATTCAATGATGAATATCTGACGCGCATTTGTCATCTTGCTACACTGTCCTTACAGGTCCGCTTCTCTAGTAACGTATTAGCTGTCAATGGTTGTGTTGATAAATTTCTCATGACCTTAATCCCCCTGCATCGACCCTTGCAGCATTCAATGTCTACTTTTAATATATGCTGGAAATAATCATTTAATGCAGTGCATTGTCATTCTGAGTTAACTGGTGAATTTGTGGCTTTTATAATTGAGTTTTCCCTTTTCCATATATATTCTATAATTAAACTTCTTTTGTATTTAGATGTTCATTGGTGATGGAGCTAAGTTGGTTCGAGATGCATTCCAGCTTGCAAAAGAAAAATCTCCTTGCATCATATTTATTGATGAGATTGATGCCATTGGTACCAAACGGTTTGATAGGTAGGTTTTGAATGGCGTCTGGCTGCATAAATATTTTTACGGTGATACTCTTGATTATTGGATAAAGTTGTACGGAGTGAAGGTTAGCCGTGATGCTACTTTTATGCCTATAATAGCTTATATATTGTTTTGCAGTGAAGTAAGCGGGGATAGAGAAGTGCAGAGGACTATGTTGGAATTGCTCAATCAGCTCGATGGGTTTAGCAGCGATGAACGAATCAAGGTTTGTTGTTCCATTACCTTAAAATTTTCAATCATACAACATGAAAAATACTTTTACATAAGTCGACTAGTAGGGTAGTTACATTTCATTCATTTATTTTGTGACACTTTTGGCTGGAGATTCATTCAGAACACTTCAGTCGTGTTTGGGTCTTCGGGCTTGGGTTGGGGTTTAAATAGTAAATATTTTGAATTGTTTAATGTAATGTGATATCTTAACTGTAATTTTTTTTTTTCTGTATAATATAAACAATAAAAATAGGAGTTTGATTTTGGGTGTGTTTGTTTGGGGGTTTGGATTTTGGATTGGGATTTGAATAGTAAAAATTTTGAATTTGAATAGTTGTATGATGTGATATAAATAGGGTTTGATGTGATGTTTTGAATGTAAAATTGATTTTTAGTATAATATAAAAAATGAAAAATAGGTGTTTGATTTGATGTTTTTGGGGGGAAAAAATTGGATGAATAGTGGAAATCCTCCAAAATCCTTCAAACAAACACACCTTTTATGTTTCAAAAAAAAAAAGTGAATAGTGGGAAAAATCCCAACCAAACACAACCCTCTAAAATATGATATTTTGGGGTTTGTGGTTTAGATTGGAAAACTTTAGTCGATCATTGAACTACATAAGATACGGGGCTGTTTCAGTGACTGATCCTTGTTTCACCATCAGGTAATAGCAGCAACCAATCGAGCGGATATCTTAGACCCTGCCTTGATGCGTTCTGGTCGACTGGACCGTAAAATTGAATTTCCACATCCCACTGAGGATGCCCGGGCTCGCATTCTCCAGGTACAACTTCTAGTTGAAAGTAGCCCTTTCGACAGGCTTTACCAAATTGTTTTCTTCCATTGCAGATCCACTCCCGGAAAATGAACGTTCATCCTGATGTCAACTTTGAGGAGCTCGCGCGCTCGACAGATGACTTCAACGGCGCTCAACTAAAAGCAGTTTGTGTGGAAGCAGGCATGCTAGCACTTCGCCGGGACGCAACTGAGGTCAGTCTGATGTTTCTTCTGCCTACAAATAAATATCTCGACATTTAGGGATACATACATACGTTGGTACTGATGAACTAAGTGTATGATCCATGGGGTTTCTTATTCTTATTCTTAGGTGAACCACGAAGATTTCAACGAAGGCATTATCCAAGTTCAAGCCAAGAAGAAAGCCAGCCTCAATTACTATGCCTGATCTCCCAATTTTATTATTTTTGTTATGTGTTTCTCCAATATGGTATGTAAACGAACACCAATTTGGGTTAATTAATTAATGTACTACTGCGTCTGCTAATTCAGAACAATTTTTTACTGCCAATCTAAGCATTATCTTATAGGAGAAGCTTTTGGTATGGTACTATAGCTGGCTGTTAATTTTGGAAGCTTCAAGGATTTCCTAACGGGTGTTTCTTTTGGATGAATTCTTTCAGGCTTTTACTATTTATCCTTAAAAAAAAAAAAAGAAAAAAAACCAAATCAAATTAAATATTTATTTTTTATATTATATTAAAAATTAATTTAAACATTTATATCATATTATATAGTTATTTAAAATTCAAACTCCAAACCAATAATAAATAGTGCTATTTTTTTAAAACAAATCTGGTTTTCACATATTTTCTTTTAAAAAAATTAATATATTACAAATAATTGTTTATGCCATGTAATATATGGTTTGGCCGTATCGGAGGGTTCGCCAGTTTTCGAACTGTCGGTTCAAATACGAAGTTTGTCAAACTAACACACACATTTAATTATAGCATAACATAGAACATCATTTATTAATTTTTCTTTTTTATATTTATTTACTTTTTTAAAAAATAAATATTTATATCTATATTTAAAATTTAACTTTAATTTGAATTTAATTTATATTAATTATTAATAAAATATATATTTTTATTTATTTATATTTTATTCTCTACAGTATATATGTATATTACATATGTATTCTTTATTATAGTATAATTTTTAAAGTATTTAAATATAATTATTAATTATATAAAAAATAATAAAATAATATTATTATAAATTCACTAAATACTAGTATGTCACTTACATCACTAATGAAAATGATAAAATGTTGGTAAACTATGTTGTCATTGCATATTTATGTGTCTAATTTGAATTATCTTTAACATAACTCTATACTCTCTGAGGTTTTGTACTCTGCTTATGGGTGCTGCTTGGGGGTTTTGAAGAATGGCGGAATCTGAAACCCTAGTCACTGCACAACCCGCTGTGGCGGAGGAAGAGGCCAACAGGAACGAAGACACATCCATGCCGGACGCTGTAAATCCTAGCGAAGATTCCGACTCCTCTTCCGGTTCTGACTCCGACTCCGAGGATGAATCCCAAGTAATTGAGCAGATTGACGCACTCGAGAAATCCCTGAACGCCAATCCGTCGGATTACGAGTCTCATATCAAAGTAAGGAAGTTCAAACGCCGACCTTTTTTCAGAACTGTCAGAAATTTCGAGAAACAATAAGCTATTTCCAGTATTTTTTATTTTGCTCGAATATCTACTAGCAAAAACAAATGCTTCAGGCTAGCATGCTTATGTGTAATAGTGCTGTTTATGTTTCTGTGGGATCCTAGAATTCATTTCCCATGTTTTTTGCTTCCTTTCATTATTCTATTGGATCTTTTTTTTTTTCCCACTTAACTAACATCATGTATTATAGTCTTCTCCTATGTCTATTATGGGTTTGGGTACTTTGGATAGAGACAAGTCCTTTCTAAATACAAAATCAAGGATAATGCAATCAGACCAATAGAATCTAAGGCTCCATTTATATATGGTTTTGGGAAGTTTTGGAGTTTAAATAATTTTGGGGAATTGTAAAAAGTTTTGATTTGATGTTCTTGAGAGGAAATATTTATTTGATGTGATTTTATTTTTATTTTTAAAAATATGAACAGTATTAAAAGTGATTTCTGAGCATATGTTAGCAGAGCCTTAATTTCCAAGCATTATTATCTCTATATTGCTGCATTTTTCGGTTTTTATTTTTTTTAATTTTCTTTTATTTTTTTATCCTCTAATTTTATACCACTAAAACAGAAGTCTGCTAATTTCTCATGTATCTTATTTCATGTTGTGTGATGTTAGTACATCAACATTCTGCGGAAGCAAGGAAACATAGAGAAGTTGAGACAAGCTAGGGAGGCTATGAGTTTGTTGTTTCCTTTGACTCCAGAAATGTGGCGGGAATGGGCTAAAGATGAAACAACCATTACTTCTGGGTGAGTTTGCGTATACTTTTTCCATTTTCTGCTGCTTGTTTTGTTGGAGTGTTTCCTATGACCTGATCATTTTCTTTTACTCTTTGGCAATAAATATCACTGCAAATACTTTCCACTTAATATTTTTATTTTTTATATAGTTAAAACAATGCTATTGTTTCTGATACACATTGAATTGCATGGTGTGTTACAAGTTATCCAACATTGAAATTAAAAAGTGTGAAGTGCAAAAGGTAGTTCACTGTAATATTACAAGGAGACAAAAGAGTATGATGAAAACTTCTACTTATGAATAGCGATCTCTCATTTTTCAGACTGAGCATGCTATCATTGTTTCTGTAGCTATGATTTCATATGATAGCTATGACTTGTGTATTATGGAGACAGTAGTTTGCTAGTGATTATTTGGCTGTTGAATTTCTTCAAGAAAATACATTCTTTATGCCGACCGATTATAGAAGAGACTGTACTTTAACAGCTGTTAGTCTTTATTCGATCTTCGTAGGTACTGTTGTTGTATTTTCTAGTATGATGATTGGTGAAAATCTTCATTGTAAGCTTATGGTAGGGTTACTTGAGTTGGAACTTAATTCTGCACACTGAATTGAATTACATGACTAATCACTTGATAGTGCTGATACCATTTTAGGGTGCCTGATCAGGTATTTGATCACACTAATGGTGGCATAAATTTATATCATTCTTTTCGCTAGCATTATATGGTCTTGCTTCCATTCAACTATCTTATTGTAAGTGATGCATCAGGTGGTTTTCCCTGCCCCCCTGATCTGTCTGCTGTATATAGAGTATTTAGATATTAGCTATCGTAATTATGTGTGCATGCCATTTTTGCTTGAACATTTTTATAGCATCCTAGTATAATAAGGTCTAATGTGCACCCTTGTTTTTCTTTTCATTCTTTTGCAGAGCAGACACATTGCCTACAGTTGAAAAGCTCTACGAGCGAGGGGTTTCTGATTATTTGGTTGGTATTTATATAACATATCTGAGATAATAAATGGAAATGATCTGCTGCTCCTATGTACCTTCATCCAAGAACTCTGTCCAAAAGTCAAGATATCTCCCTTTTTTTTTTTGTTGTTTGCCAAATATCGTGCAACGGAATGTAGTTTGTTACCCTTACTTTTAATTCACCAGATATACTCAAGAAAAGAAATGAATTCAGAGAGGGAAGAGAGTTATGTGCGAGGAGTTTGAGAATGTAAACGATATTAACTATTTCTTTCATACTGCTGTAGTGCTTTTCCTACCGTGAGAAAGATTCTTTGCTGTGTCTAACTGATATCTATTAAAAATTTGATTCAAATACATAAGCCTGGCTGCTTTGAAGGGGAATGGAATTGATGGGTTTGTTTACCTCTGTTTTTTTTTTTTGTAAGTTTTGATGTTTTTGAGGTGAACTAGTTGTTGGGTGTGATATTTTTCAAAGAAAGTTGGTCGATTGAATAGTAAGAAACAGATAGAAAAAGACATGTAAACAAACCCTGAATTACATGGAATTTTGGCTTGTTACATTCATTTATGAAATTAGTCATGCCTATTAATGTGATATATCTGAAGATTTTTTATAGGATATTTTGATTTCATTTTTTTTGCAGTCTGTTGATCTTTGGTGTGACTACATGAATTTTATGCAAGAGCATGATCCCTCAGTTTGTGAATGCTCTGCTTCTGGCATCTCAAAAGCAAGGAATTTGTTTGAGCGTGCTCTTACTGCTGCTGGGTTGCACATTTCTGAAGGTCACAGGATATGGGAATTGTACCGGGAATTTGAACAAGCCATCTTTCTAACCATTGAAGAAACTGATTCAGGGGTGAGGTTCACTTCCTTCCCTGTATTGCCGTTTTTGTTTGTTTTGTAGTATGTGCCTTCATCTTGGTTTGTGTGTGTGTTATGAGAGTCTGAACCTAGCATATGGTTCATATCTGCTTTTGTTATTATGCAAGAAGTCCTTGTGGTACTTATAATGACTATCCTCTTCTTGGTTATTTCTAATCCACAAGTTAATATATTGTATGATTAAGTGTGTCCACGCAAATACTAGTCGTAATGACAAGAGTTGGTTTTGTTGTGTTTTGAAGTTTGAACATGGCCATAAAATAGGGGCAGTAATATGCTTCTAACTAGTTGCTCCTGGCGCAAAGTGAAATGACCTAACGCCTAACATACTTTATATTATTATATTCTATACATAGTGACACCAGCAATAGTCTAGTGCTATATTTGTGCTTTAGCACCATTCTTACACTAACCCTTTTTTAATCACAAAAGGTATTTCAATTTTTGTCATTTGTTGTGTATAATACTTAACTGTTGATGCTGACTCTAAATTGCAGGCGAAGGAAAAACAGACCCAGCGCATACAAAATTTGTTTCATCGACAGTTGTCAATTCCCCTTGCTAACCTTAAAGAAACTCTTATTGCATACAAAGCTTGGGTAGCTGAGCATGGGAATTCAACTGATAATAATGGTGGGGAGTTAGATGGTCTTCCATCTAATGTAGTCTCTACATATCAGAAGGCATTGGAAACGTTGAATGCTCGTAGTCATTTTGAGGAAAAAATATCCAAAAAAGAGGTTGACACAGAAAAGCTTCAAGATTACATGGTATTTTTTAATCTTCTATCTCCCTGGCAAGGATCTCACTGAAAACAACTTTTAATGCCTCAGTATTAATAATTGATGTATTTCTAAAATAATGATTTAAGGAAGTATGAAACTCCTGTACTGTACTGTAATGCTGTGCTGAGTTGAATAGTTTTATAAAAAGTGTTACAGAATGAAGTTCTCTTCTGTGGAATGATATTTTTAAGTGACCACAGTATCTGTCTTTGGCTATTTAAGTCTGCCTTTTATCTAATATGCACATGTTTATCACTTAATCCGTGGTGAATCATGAATTTATAACTTCGATCAACAAGAGAATCTTAGTTTATGATGTGCTATCTCATTTCTATCCTTAGTAAACCACATTGTAACTTAATCTCCCGGTATATATGCTGTTAAGTGTGAGAAAAAAAATGATATAAAACACCTTATTTATGTAGGTCAAAAGAACTACTTTATATTGCTTGCTTGCAGCATAATCTTTTAATATGTTCTCAATGTATTTTAATGCTCCTACAGTTCTACTTGAAATTTGAGCACTCATATGGAGATCCAGCTCGCATACAGATCTTGTATGAGCGTGCGATAGCTGATTTTCCGCTATCTGCTGATCTTTGGATTGACTACACTCAGTATCTGGATAAAACTTTCAAGGTTTTTGTATTTTATGTGTCTTATCAGACTTCTTTTTTTTTTTTTTTTGTTTTTGTTTATCTAGATTATAATAACAACTTATAATCTTAATGCATTGTAGACTGCCAAAATTGGAAGAGATGCTTATTACAGAGCCACAAGGAATTGTCCTTGGGTAGGAGAATTGTGGGTTAATTATTTACTCTCTCTGGAACGCAGTCGTGGTTCTGAGGAAGAATTATCAACGGTATGTTTCTATTGTGGACCTTTAATATGCAATACTAATTGAAGAATTATTTCGGGTTATCCCAATCTTGTTCATTTTAATATAATTGCTTGTAATTTCTTCATGTTAAGCAGCCTCTAATGGCTTTGGCATTACGGAAACTTGCAAGTTGAATATTATTAGGGTTTAAGGATTAATACAATACTTCACTCTCTTCCTACAATCTACTTCTGCTTGAGAAGTGCATTGCATACTGCTGTGAATGTTCAAACATATCAGGAAAAAATTTCTAATCTTTTTGCATTTCTGTATATTTATCTTTCATAGCATAATGTTTCTTGTCTTGCCTCATTCCTCCAATTTATGATTGCTTTTCAGGTGTTTGAGAGATCCTTGCAGTGCATTTTTTCAAGCTATGATGAGGTGAGAAGAAACTTCTGCATATGTGATTATTATGGAATGGCTGCAATTAACTCAGTTTGAAACTATCAATGTAATTTAGTTGTGACATTTACTATGTAATATTTGTCACTGTCGTTTATTAGTGTGAGCTTTCTTCCTGAAACTTGGATAAATTAGTTGAATATGTGACAGTAAGGTTTGGATAGGATTTTCTGTTCTTTTAGTTCTGCATGCCAAAAAGAATAAAAATGAAATGAATGGTCAATTCCAGCCAGAATAACTGAAGTAAGATATAAATGAAGATGCTGACTTCCTCAAGTTTAATCTTGTAGATCTCTTAAACGAGGGAACTATTGAATTGAAATAAAAGATCAGGAACATAATTTGAATGATACAGAAAATTGATACCTCTACAGTGAGTGAACTCAAGTTTGGAAGCTTACTGAGAGTTTTGCCTCTAAGTTATCTTTGGCTCATGGAAATTGCTTCTGCAACTTTTGCAAAAGGGAAGGAGAGTGGAGCAGTGGCAAGCTTATTTTTTCGGTTTTTTTTTTTTTTTTTTTGGTGTGTGTGTGTGTGTGGTGTAACAGGAAACTTTCCTCGTGTTATTGATTAGAACAGATCTTGAATTCGTTTTACTCTAGATCATATATATTTCCATATAGCAGTTGGTTCCATGTGAATCTGAGTTTTAATTGCTTTTCTTTTTCAGTATCTAAATGTGTTCCTCACTAGAATAGATGGATTGAGGCGCAGACTGTGTGCTGCCAAACAAATTGAAGCTGGTGTGGAATTTGCTGCTATAAGGGATATATTTCAGGTTTCACAATTACACCTTCATAAATTTCCTGTGTTTTATGTTATATTATTTAATCTGGAGCTGCGTTTACTTTTACTGACATGATTCTCTATTGCATTTTTCACCAAACATTAAGTTAAGTGGATTATCTGTAATTTTACCTTTAATCCGTGTTGTCACGAGTCAATATGATTCTTCACATAAAATTCACTTTTCCTTGAATGTCGAAGTGTATCAACCCCCATCAAATATTGACAAAGCATTCTTTTAGGCCATCTCCAACCCTCCACTCCATTTTTGCAGTTGCTACAGTAAAAATGCAGTTGATCTACAGTAATTTTACTCCAACCATAAACTTTAATTTTTACTCTAAAAAATATATTCCCTATATATTCCTCTTTTATATTATTTTATATAATTTTTCATATTTATAAATTACACCTCAACTTTAATTTATTTTTACATTAGATCAATACACATATAATTTATAAATTATTTAAAAATTACATATATAAAAATTAACATTTTAAAAATAAAATTATATATTACTTTCCAAAAATTAAAATTATATCACTTTTAAAAAATAAAATTATACATTATTTTTCAAAAAAAAATAAAATTACATACAACTTTTTAAAATATAAAATTATATATCATCTACTAAAAAATTAAAATTACACAATACGTCAAACAAATACCAAAAATATAAAAAACACCATAAAAACTTCACTCCAAAAATGGAGTGGAGTAACAGTGTTACTCCATTTTGGAGTAACACTGTAGATTGGGGGTGGGTTGGAGCCCCTTCCCCCCATTTTTGGTACATGCAGTGGGTTAGAGATGATCTTAAAATACATACATATATATATATATAAAATATTGATGTATATCATTTTACACACTTTAAATAATTTCAAGGTTCATGTTCACTGAGGCCTTGTTTAACAGTATTAATCATTTGGATTCTTCAGGATCTTGTCACCTGATGAACCTCATCTAATAGTTTCCCAATCTCTAGATTGGTAGGCTTTGCAAAATTAAATTTGATATTGAATCTGATCTTTTTTTTTTTTTTTTTTTTTTATTTCTTTGTAATCTGGAAAATGAGGAACTAACAATATATGTTCCGTAACAAATTTAGAGCTGTTAAACTAGCTGAGCGAGCTCGAATATCTATTCTTTGAGCTTGACTCGAACTTTTTAGTGGTATAGGTTCGGCTTGATTCGTTAAGAATTCGAACTTGCCTCGTTAGGCTTAAATTTAAGTTCGAGCTCAACTTGTAAGGGTCAAACTTGTTCGAGATCGGCTCGAGTTTTATACATATTATATATATTTTTTAATATAAAAATTAAATATATTTATGGTGTGTTTGTTTGGGGGTTTGGATTTTGAGTTGGGATTTGAATAGTAAAAATTTTGAATTTAAATAGTTGTATGATGTGATATAAATAGGTGTTGATGTGATGTTTTGAATGTAAATTTGATTTTTAGTATAATATAAAAAATAAAAAATAGGTGTTTGATTTGATGTTTTTGGAGGGAAAATTTTGGATGAATAATAGGATTTTTACAAAATCCATCAAACGAACACACCCTTAATTTATTCATAATTTTATGCATTTGGACATCAAAATGATGTGTGCTAACTATAATCTATCAGTGCTCTAGTTAAATGCTATTTTGATAGCTAAGCTCCTGTCTCTTATGATATATTTACATGCGTAACTTTGTTTGTTGTTGGTCTCAGCGTGCATCAGATTACTTATCTGCATACCTCATCAGCACAGATAGCTTACTCCGGATTTACAGTTATTGGGCTCGATTGGAGTTAAATTTGGGAAAAAATTTGAATGCAGCTCGTGGTGTGTGGGAGAGCTTGATAAAAATCAGGTCCCTTGCTCTCCTTCTTTCTTTCTTTTTGCTTTGTTACAATGATGGATAATAGATTCTTGGAGCTCAGGGAAGTTAGATTTTATTTATTTTATTAATTTATTTTTTCAGTGGATCTACACTGGAAGCTTGGCAGGGTTATATAGCATGGGAGACCGAGAGAGGCCACATAAATGAGGCCCGGTCTCTTTACAAGAGGTGCTACAGTAAAAGGTTCGCTGGCACAGGCTCAGAGGTAAAGTTTTGTTTTGTATGAGATATTGTGTTGCCTTCCTTTTTGGAAGCAACTCTTGGGGTGTGTTTCTTTTTCCAAATTTCTCCAAACTTCAGTATTTGTGCTATGTGTTCCCTGAAAACAAAAATACATTTTTTCCTCTCACAAAACATCCCATCAAATACCAAACTCAAACCAATTTCCCCCAAACTCACCCAAAAGAAACACGCCCAGTCTCTCCAAAATCCTTTCCCTGACTGATGGATGCATGCTTTGTCAAATTAGTGATTGTTCTTGTATGAGAAAGGGTTCATCTACACTGATAAATCAAGGTTCACCTACACTGATGCATACTGGATCATTTCCAGAATATTCTGTGGTCCTGCATGGTACTTTGAGCTTCATTTAATAAACTAAACTAGGAAGGTTTGTAGAAAAGGGCTTCGTCAAGTTCCACTCGCTGCTTTTCATTTTTATAGGAGTAGGTGCTTGCTGCGCGCTCGGTGTCTACTAAATGAACCTTCACTGCCCACGTGGTCCCTATCTTTAATCTTAAGTAAAGTGAAGTCAAATCAATGAGAATGAGGTACAAAGGGTGGTTTCAAAGTGCATTTGAATTGTGCAGTGGGTAGTTATGAGTTAATTCTTTGTTTTTTTCTTTTTTTTGTTAGTGCTGTGTATATAGGTATTATTCTGTACAAAATATGGCATTCTTCATTATTATCAATCCATCTTCTTTCATGGAGAAATCCCTCCTCATAACCTTCCATACCTGATATCTTCATATACTTCATATTAGGAACCATTTGCTTTGTTACAAGCCTTCTTTCTTAAACCATGTGCTAGACTTCAGTCTGAACCCTTTTAGCAGTATGTAGCTAAAATCACTTAGGGATCCTTGATATGAAAGTTAGGGTAGCTAGTATTGCCTTTATGGGTATCGACAGTCAATACTGAACTATAGAATGCTAGATTTTGGATCCACTGAGAAGGTTGTAAATGATTTTAGTGTTGTCTGTACTGTGGCTTAAGAATTTTAGAATTTGGTCAAGGTAGAGTGACAATGAAACTCCTAACATTCACAGACCCAGTGGCCAGATCATGTATTATACTATATTATTATTCTTGCAGCTTTATTTCGTAAATCTTATTTTCTATTGAGAAATGTTTGTAATGAACGTCTAACTAACAATGGTGACAATTAAAATCTGGTTTATTGCATATTTCATACATCATGCTGTGACAAATACATACCCAAAGAAGTATCCCTCAATTTGAACATGGGGAATATGAACTTGCTTTACTTACCCAACACAATTCATGACTTTGTGACTGCAGAAAACAATCATCCGGACAGCTAAAAGCCTTCTTGAACTTCAACGAGTAGTAACTCATGTGTTTAGTAACTGAAGTGCAATAATGAACCCAATTAAAAAAATATATTTAGATACTAAATTACTAATTAAATATAATATATTTGTAGTATGTTTTATCTGTACTGTATGACAATGAGTTCTGTAATTCCACATTTTTGCTTTTTTTTTTTTCTATGTTTTGTAATGATCATTTATTAGAATATATTGAAATAATTTTATTATAAAGTGATTTTTCTAGTGAAGGTTTCTACCTTTTTTAATATATAGTTGATTTTTCAAGTTGCCATTTATTAAAAAGTAATTTAACATTACTATGAACAAAATATTAATAGCCTTTGCTTTTCTTATAAATTAGTTTATTTGATTCCATTTCTGAATAAAATATATATTTAAACATAAAATTGTATGATCAAACTTTTGCTAGGGCTCTTGTTTTTTGAGATTAACAATGGATTGCGATTGATCTTGGCATGAACCTTAATTGTCGTGTAACTCAAACTGTACCTTCTTAACCCCGTGATCAGAAGTACTGAGTGGCAAAATTCAGTCATTTGGCCTGCATCCTCTATTTTGAGCCAGAGTGTCCAAGAGCTGTATCAACATGTGCTAACACTTTCCAATTTAATTATAGTTGTGGTAGTAGCTTACCATTGTGCTGGTTTTACGAATCACTTCTTGTTATGTTCTAGTTATGTAGATGTGATATATTGGATTGTATGGTACTGTTAATCCTAAAAAGCAACTTCATTCAGGATATCTGCCATTCATGGCTGCAATTTGAGAGAGAATATGGTTCACTGGAAGACTTTGATCATGCTGTTCAAAAGGTATATATTCATATCTTCTGCCCTCCTATGAAATCATGGAAGAACTTATTTATATTAAGATTATTTATTTGTGCTTTGTATCTGATGTTAATGTATTTGCAGGTGACTCCTCGAATTCAAGAGCAGCAGCTATTAAGGTTGCAGCAGGAGGAAACAAAGATTGGTCCACCTACAAATGAGAGAGAAACTTCTTCTGGTAAAAGTTCTCGTGAAAAGAGGAAGTCAGCTTCAAGTGCAATTGACAAACAGAATCCTGAAAAGCGTCAAAAAAATATGGCACAAAATATTAAGAAGACAAATGACAATGATCAAGGTCAAGGTCAAGCAAAGCCTTCAACTGAAGCTAGTAAAGCCACTGGTTTAGATGAGGAAAAAGTTGAGCATGCAGGCGACCTGAAAAAGGAGAAGTCCTCAAAGAAGCCTCTGCCATTTGACGATCAATGCACAGCCTTTATTTCAAATCTAAATCTCAAGGCACGTTATAACTTGTGCTACTGTCTTTCAGTAATTTATAGATAAAACGGTTCCCATTTATTTAATATTTGATTTAACCTCTGCAGACTACTGATGATGATCTACGCAAATTTTTTGGTGATGTTGGTGGAGTTGTTGCTGTTCGGCTGTTGAAGGACAAATTCACTAGAAAATCAAGAGTAAGTGCCAGTATTTTTCCTGAAATCGGTTAATTATATCCTCTTGTGACACTCTAGGACTGTGGCACATACTTGTCTGTAGACAGCGGATCCCAGTTATATAACTTTGACCTGAAATTAGGTGTAGTTCTTGGAATGTTATCCCATTATCTTAATAATTTGCGTAGTATGGTGTTGTTTGGGCTATTACTTAATGTAAACACCTATTGATGTTGCCTAAAAAGTGATCTGAATAGTATAATCCCAAAATTGTATTACTTTGGGAATAGTATCCAGAGTGCCGACTAAGAGGCTCTCTTGTTTGCATGTTATATCATGTGAGACAGTGAGAGAGAGGAAACACTGAATAAGAGAAGAAATGGAGGTCTAGATCAAATAAAGTCCCGGTTTCCTTACTGAATACATTGTAGGGTTGATTGTGAAGGCCCCGTCACTTTTAGCACGGTACCCTAGGTTCCTTTCTGCCAAGACAAAGTAATCAAGAAAATACTGATAGTAAACTTTCCAGGCTATGTATTACACAACATGGAAATTGATAACTAGGTTTGAGGAACTTGTTTTGGCAATGTTGTATGCCTTTTCTCTGCCTCTTTAAGTTATTACTTGAACTCATATATCATTTGATCTGAAGCATGCTTGTGAACTATCGTAAAATTCCCCGTCAATGTGGTGTTTGGTCTGTTCTTCTTCTACCTTTGTGCTCCCGTTGTTATTTAATACTTATCTCTATACTTAACATATGGCACCTTTCCCTTCAGTTGATTTCTTGTAATCATACTTGACCAAATAGGCAACTCGTACAAAACTTGTGTGTTAAGTGTCAACCATGCTCGTCAAAGTAGAATTTTTGTATACTCAGCATATTCCCCGATTCTGAAACTGTTTTATTCCTGATCTTTGTAAAGGGATTAGCCTATGTGGACTTCTCAGATGATGCACACCTTGCTGCAGCTTTGGAGAAGAACAGAGAAACGTTCATGGGCAAGAAATTAAGCATTTTGAAATCAGATCCCCAACAAGGCAGGAAGAAAAGAGGTGCCGGATTTGACCACGGTAGCTTCTACCTTTGAATTTTGAGTTCTATCTCCCCTCCTTGTCATTTTACTTTTAAGTTCCAAAACTCTGCCTTGACCATTGATTTCAAAATAATTTGGTAGTTCAAAGTTTCAAAAAATTTACATTCACAATCAACAGGTAATACAGGGAAAAAGGATTCAGAGGAGGCTTCCAAAGGGCAAAATGAATCCAAGCCACAATCTTCCAATTCCAGGCCAGACAAAGATGTCGAGCTTAAGGGGAAGAACACATTCGCAATGCCAAGAAATGTGAAACCCCTAGGCTGGAGCAACCGAAATCAACCAAAATCTGAAGGAAGCACTCAACAGGGGGAGGACGAAAACCCAAAATCCAACGATGAGTTCAGGAAGATGTTTCTTAAGAAATGAATGCCGGCCAACTTACATTGTGGTGAGTGAACAAAGACAAAAGGTTAGAGAGAGAGGTAAGAAGCAATGCTAACTAGTCATAGCAAACTTAGGGAATTCACCTATATTTCCTATTTCAATCTTTTGTAACCGAAATGCATAGATGGGCATACTCATCCTTGATTAAGTTCACCTATATTTACCTCTACATTTCCAGGTTGGGCTGCACCGATGGCTCGACGGGCACAACTAAAACTAAAATAGAGATTATTGGTTTAAGGTATGATTGTCTCAATTAAGTATACACTTTACTTGTTTATATTTGGAAAGAGTCTTGTGTTACAGTTAACAGATAGATAGTTTTTCAATGCACACCTATCTTTACTTTTTTTTTGCATGCGCCATCGGTTCTATCTTCTCTGGATGAGATTTTGAGTTATTAATTAAATTGTTACATCATTCGCTCGCCCCATGGTGTTAATATTTTGAGGGTTTAGCACAGTGTGTTATGCTATTAATAGTAAGATATTAGGTTCGGCAGATAATTTATCAGCACTTTCGGATAGCAGTTGCGATTCCCACGTCATAATAATAATAAAATTTAAAAAAAGTAGAAATAATTAAAATATTCACGCATTATATATGACGCAAGGATTGATTTTCATAACTTATTACAGAACTGAACCAAAATTGCTAATAAAAGCTCAAAAACCATAGAAAGTTAAAAGAGGGTTATTTGGGTTGAAACGGAGAAATGCCAAACTTTATAGCCTATGAGTAAAATTTTGGTGCACAGTTACTTGTAGCTTATAAACTGAACCAAAAATGCTAATAAAAGCAAAAGCATAGCGCATAAATTTCTAGCCTCTTCCCAAATGCTTTTCATGGGCAGAAACAGGGAGAGAAAAGCAGAGTACATAGAAGAAAAATGTGAACTAATTACACAACTCGAATAGCATCACAACCAGAATATACTCTGAACACAAATACGATATATATATATATATATGTCGAGCCAAGTATACCTTCATTGCAGTTCTTATCACGGTGTCTTGAATGACCTCTATGCCTCTCTTCAAACATCAGTTGTGAGTTTTGTTATTGGTGTTACCTTGTTGCTGTCTCTGGTTCCCGGGGAGACAAGAAACCAGATCGTCCATCCATCCCATTGCATTATTATTTGTATAAGTTCAAAAGCCTACACCAACATCATCTGACCAAACTGCATAGTCGAGGCCGGCCAGGATTAAGCAGCGAATCCGACATAACCCACCCCTGAGAAAACAGAAAAAAACCAGGGGCAGTTTCACATAGGTCAGACTTCAAATTCTCAAATAATAAGACACCAATTAAAAGCTAGGCGAAATGCATGAACAAGAAAAACTCTTTTTAATTTTGCTCCTTAATAGGAGAATGTTCATTTATAAAATATTTGCCTCTTTAATTGTTTGAACAAGTAAACATGAGGGATATAAATGGTGTAGACCTCCTGCAACGAAATCTTGTCGACTTTCATGTTAGTCATAAGGTTGATATTAATCGAAACAAATTTAAGATATAAATAACTTGAGCAGGTCAACAACACTCACTCGATTTAATCCCCTACTTAATTCGACATAATACCTAATGAGTTTAATGTCATATTGAGCAGGAAAAGGCAAAAACGTAAAAGCTTATAGTCTGGAATGAACTATTAGTACACCAAAGCAGGAAATTAATTAACTACCTATCACAGTCTCCCACTCACGTGCAATCTAATCGCATATTCAAGTTTAGTAACCAACGTCAGTCGAGGTAACGAGCAGATCATATAACACTATGCATTGGAATTTGGAATATATTCATGCCGGTAGATTTTGGAAAGGAAAAGGGATCTTTCATTAATTGAGATCGTGATACTTAAAAACAAACTACATTACTTACTTCCACTACTCTACTAACCTAGAAAATAACTAGGTAACTGATCACTAATACTTCCTCCGTCCCATTTCTATTTTCATCCATCGTCCTTTTCTATTTTGAAAGATGATTATACACTTCAATCATACTTTAGATTTCATAATTTATAATTTTTTTAATCTTAACTAAATTATTTATTCATCTAAACTTTAATCTAGAACTATTTTTATTATACCAAAATTATTTTTACTAATATACCTCTTAATTATTTACTAATTATATTTTTCTTAAAGTCTTGTGCCTACGGAAAAGTGGACAAATTTTCTAGGATTGAGAGAGTAATAATTAGCAAACTCCTAAACACATGAAGAAAAACAAATAATGCAGCATTGAGTCACTAACAATGCGGATGCACAAACAACCTCAATCGTCATTTAAATTTCCAAGATATTTTATTTGAGATTAAAGTTTGTTTTTGCATTACCTGGTCCTTTGCTTTGATTTTGAAAGGCCCATATAAAGCTGAGACCATCTTATATGATTCTCCAATATGAGATTGAAGGTCACCCAGTGTAGGTGCAGCAGCAGAAAGATCGCCGTCATGTTTTGTAGAGTTAGGCTGATTATGACTCGAGGTTTGAAGGATGTGAAGCAGCACATGGGCCTGTAGCAATACAAGGTGAATTTAGCCACACTAATAATGCTATTAAACTTAACAAGAGGAGGTCCACAAACTTACATGAAAAGCTGCTTTCAGTATGTCATCAGGCTTTGCCTGATCCTTAAACAAGGCATAGATATTGCCCTTGGAAGGATTATATGATACAATGTATTGTTCTTTCTGTTAGAAAGGAAATTCGTGAGACACCCGTAAGAACCTTGGACAATGAAGTGTATGATTGTATGCATGAATGACATTTATGCATTCATTGTCAAGTTCATAAAATCTTATCATATTAGTACATGAAAAAACACAGTTTTGAGGTTGTTATATTTCCAAGTAGAAGTAAGTGTATACCTCAAAAATGGGCTCCACAGCAAGATATGAATCGGGATCTTGGAATGCATCCTTAAACCTAGGTCCTGAGGATAACAACAACAAAAAGGGCATAGTATAAGATATAATCTTATCCAATGAGGAAAGGAGTGTGCATCTGTGACAAGGAGATGTCATTTTGCAAGTACCAAGAACGATTGGTCGGTGCTGTTTCCATGGAGGGATAAAAATATCTTCCATTGAATTCCCCTCCTGCAAACTAGGAACTCTTCCTGAAATAACAAATTACAGAATAATATGGTCTGAGAGAAATATGACTTGATCGATACAATTTTTTCTTATTTCAGTTTCTTTTCATTTTCTTCTTCCAACAATAATTGAAGGGAATAAATGTAGCTGAAAAGAGGACTATATCGAGAGGATAAGATGAATTAAATTCCAACCTGTCTTCAGGAAGGATTCTACAGCCACAGTGAATCGTGCCCGGTTCAGTGTGTGCAGAACAACAGATTTCACCTGAAAAAAGACATAACAAGAATCACATTTTCAATCATCAGCTTGAATTGGAAGAAAACAGTACATTGTGTTTGTAATTGTGTGTGGGTGCAGAATATGCATATCCAACCTCCTGATATGAGCTCATCACATATCCACATGAGAGCAGCGCAAATGTAGTAAACAATGATGGATTTCTCTTCGAAAACATTATGCTGAGTCCAGTTCCAAGCTTCACCAGAATGATTACATGTAATTAGTAGCACTGCTTTTTAACATGAATTCAGATTTACATGGGACACAAGATGGAAACTTGAGAATCATGCAATTCTTAAAATAGTGAATATCAGTAAATGCCTCAAGTGTGAAAACAGGTAGTAACTAATTTTGCCTAAAAAAACACCTTTCAGCGCTACACCAGTACACCTACAAACCCATCCCTTAAGGAATGGACAAAGTAGGCTTCAAAAGATAGTCAATAGATAAAAAAAAAAATCATCATAAGGTAAAATCTCAATTCTGTTTTCCTGCATTGATGTCAATAAATTTTCAACAACTCAGGAAGAAAGTTGACCATCATCAAGCACACAACCTCAATTATCAAAAATGGAATTCAAGAAATTTAGTAAGTGGTGATTGGAGATTATCAAGACACGGGTATTCCCAAACTGGACTTCAGGTAACATATAACATGATGCCATTATTAAGATAACTAAATTAAGTTCAAATAGATTCATCCAGAAACGACGCTATGTAATCTTGAGTTATTGGATTAAGTATTGAAGCCTTTCCAGGATCAATATTTTTAGAGGCCAAATTATAGTGCAGAAGATAGTAAAATTTTACGACATACCAGATCAGCAAGATTTCCAACACATTCACCCTTGGCTGTTACATCTCCAATATTTTCTCCTTTAGCAAAAGCTTTATAGATTGGAGTCCTAGTTGACGTTGATGTCACAGCAGCAACATTCTATAAGAAAAACAGGGCATTTATTCGGAGCTCAAATTTATATGTAGAAATGGAACAAGAAAATCTGTTTCAATACTTTGGCAATGTTCGCTGCACAGGCAAGTGGAAGAAATAAATGTGGAACAGCAGCAGTTGCTAACTCTACCCCAGCTCCTAACTCCATCAGGAGATCTCCAGCAAACCTAAGCTGAATAAAACCCAAAACATGCGAACATAAACATTAGTCACTGTGATACTCTTGTTATCACTTGGGCCATGAGTCCATGAATATGTACCTGCTTTAGATCATAATCAAATTTCTTTCCCTGCCTAGCAAACAGCATCTTTCCAACACGCCCGGCACCATCCTATAATTTTCCACACAATACATACCTAGTTAGAATCTTTCTTTTCCATTGAGTTTCATAACTATAAAAAGCTCGGAGTGGCAGTGAGAAGCATTGTGTACTTGGTAACATGAGATGCACTTCTTCAAGAACAATTGTAACTCCATTCTTGACAAAATTTTATTGTCATCATGAAAAAATGTAATGCATGCGTAAATAATGTGATGTAATTTCCAGATATGGCAGCTTCATTAGATGTTCAAATTTTAATACCACAATTTGTGAATTCACCTACATATTGATTAATACCTCCTCCAAAAGCATTCGGCATTAAGATCATTATGTTTTTTCAAATTACAAAAGTTGACTGTACTACTCAAATACATACCTTGAGAATCCAATTAATTGCAACAGCACCAGGTGCAGATCTGTTTCGGGATACCCCTAAGGAACTAAGGAGTGTTTGTGTTGTGAAAACACCCATTGCTCCACCAAAGAAGTGCTACAAACAAAACATCAATTATTGTCACCAATTGTAAATTCAGAGAAGAAAATACACACACACACACACACACACACACATATATATATATGTATATATACCTTTAAAGCTCTCCATGTCATATATGGGACATAAGAAGGCATAACGCTGTCAGGAAAACCTTCTGGGACAACATAGGACCTTACAAATGCCACCATTTCCTGAACCATGTGAACAGCATAGATGGAGAGAAGGTTAATTTAAGCATATCTCTTTTTCATTTTATAAATCTCTAACAGTAACAATGCAAGTAAGGGTGAATTACAGACAAAACTTTGAGCTCTTAAAAATAGCATCAGGCCCACATACATTCATAGAAAGGCAAATTTCTACTTTAGTGGTCTGCTTTCAGTCTTGTTATCTATCATTAATCCCACCCTCCAACTATGATGTGTTAAAAAACTTTCTGTAAGTCGACCAGCTATGATCGCCATGCTTAGTAAGTCAACAGAGTGACATAATCAAAATCAAAAGCTCCACAAAAGTAGGAAGTCTCTTGCAAATGTGTATTTGGTATTCATAGAATAGGATTTATTCCTTTCACACAGAAAAGAAACTGAAACTGCCACAAATCACTACGAGAACTTATTCTGTCCTTCTGATATGAGAAAAACGCGCGCGATCAATCGGATCGCTCAGTTGTCTCCTGCATAAAACTCTTAAAAACAATTCGATTAAAGTCAACCTAAGAATTCCTAAGGATGCACATTATATATTACGCAATGTACTCGTGCATTCAAAAACACGCGCGAGCAATCAGAAGAACTCCAGTGAAGAACAGCATATTAAAAATAATAATAACAATAAATAACTCAAACACTGACATCAACAGGTGCCTGGGGAGTCTGCAAGCCGACAGCACGAATCGATTTCTTCTTCAATTGAGGACCTCTGCTATTCCTGCCGCTGTTACTCTTATCCGCGAAGTACTGCCAGCGCCTGCCATCGATCTCCTCGCAGCAGATCAACCTCAAACTCGAATCCAGAAACTGATCCTCGAGAACTCCGCCGAAGCTAGCACTGTTGAGCGAGGTCACGTCCCCCTGCGCCGGCACATGCGAGGACGGAGGCGCCGATGCCAAATTAGCACTGATTCTGAGCGTTTCTCGAACGAGGAGACGCGCGTCGGAGGCCGGCAAGGTCTGCGAGGCGGATTTCGACGGATGCTTTAGCTTCATTGCACCTAAATTCCGCCGGCGGAGAATCCGAAGATTACGAACAACTGCAGATGCGTGCGTACAATATATATGTATGTATATATATATATAATGAGTATAATTAGGTGAATTGGAGAGGAAATTCCCTGCGGATTTGCTCCGACGCTGCTCTCTTTCTACGTTCCACTCTCTGTAGGAAGAGAGAGAGAAAAGGAGAGAGAGGGAGAGGAGGTGTGGTGTGAGTTGGGAGTGAATTTTGAGGGTGGGGAACTCACAGAGGAGTTCCTGTAGGTTGACGGCTGGAGACACCTAGTCAGAATGACGGACGCCAGGGAATTGAGGTCCAGAACAGCACAGCTTACAGTATTAAAATTTTGATACAATAAATTGATAAAATTTACTCCCAACATGCGTTTGTTTTTTTTACGATATTTTAAAATATTAATATTATATTAAAATTGTTACAAGTGAAATTTATAATTAGGTTAAAAAGCTCAAAAAAAATAGATTTACAATTGGATTTGTTGGACTGATCAAGGGGTGTTACTAGAAAATCAGGTGAAATAGACGTATTTCTAAGGAAATAGCGGGTCGGAAGGTCCGCAGGTCGGGAGGTCCGCGGGTCGAAAAGTCCACAGGTTGGGAGGTCCGTGGGTAGTAACGTCCGCAGGTCGAAAAGTCCGTAGATCGGATAGTTTACAAGTCGGATAGTCTGCAGGTAGGTTGGTCCATAAGGCGGAAAGTCTGCGGGTCGGGAGGTTTGCGGCTGGACCAACAAGTCGGATGGTCTGCAAGTCGGGAAGTTTGTGGCTGGACCAATAGGTAATCGGCTGGTGCGGAGGTCGGATACTATTGAGAGCGAGTGAGAGTAATAGTTTGGTCGGCTAAGGGCACGTGTCAGCATGAGATGAATTAGCAAAGAGTTGAAAAAAAGGCGTTGTAACCGTTCGGACGACGGTTTCCAGTACCGTTTCTGAAGAGTATTTAAGGATTAGGATTTGCAAGTGTCTAAGTATCTTCAATCATCTTCAAACGACTATTAGGAGATCATCCTTCAGTGTATTTTCTGTACCATACTGTTTAGACTCCTAATCTCATGCTTTAAATATATCAAATTTGAGGATAATTCCTATTTTCGGATTTTACTTTTTTATTGTTGAAAAAAAACATCAACAAAAATATAATATAAAAAATAAAAAAAATAAAAATTATTAAAATAATTTTTTTATTATAATATCATTATAAAAAAAATAAATATTTTTATTAGGAGAGTCAAAATAGAAAAATTGATAAAAATATATATTTAATGCAAAAATAATATCTACTCTCATAATTCGGGATAGTTTCCCCTGCTAAAGCGATCATAACTTTCAATTTCGCTAAAATAATAACCGGCCCATTTTCGATAATTTTTAATATAGATTTTTTAATATATATTTTAGTTAAATTTTAAATAATTTATTTAACTATATTATTTTCTTTATATTTTAGTTAAATTTTAAATAATTATTTTTTAGGTTTAGATTTAAATTTAAAATTTATATTTAATTTATTAAAAAATAAATTTATATTCAAAATACCATAGTACTATATAGAATTCTTACTATTAATAATAATAGAGAAATCGAGTATTCATTCGACAAATTTATAAATTCCGTTTATGCTAACTTTCTAGTTTATTAATAAAGACATTTACATCAAATTCCCAACAATTAATGCAACCATCCTGGTTTATTTTATTTGTTGTATGCTAAATTTTGTATAGTTTCTTTTTTTTCTAAGTAAAAGATTTTATTCATTTATAATTTAGATATTTTTACTTTAACAAATTATATTAATTGGACTATTATTTTTTTAATAAAAATTTATAATACTATTACTTTTACTCGCTCATTTTAACATTAAAATATTATTATTTGAGTAATGTAATCAAATAAATTATAATAAATTATTTTTAAAATACTTTAAGTATATGAAACGTACTAATATAAAAATTATTGCATAGTATATAAAACGAATCAAGTAAAACAAAATAAAATAAATAGAGTAAAGTAAACACTTTTTTTTTTTTTTTGGTTCTTCTATATTTTAACGTTGAATTGTTTATTTGAGATTTTATTTTAAAAATATTTTAATATGATATTTTAAATAATAATACTATCCCAATACCAAATATTATGTTATACTTTTTAATATACCATATTTTAAAAAAATTTTCATAAAAAACATCTTATAAAAATATTATTTAAATTGAAACTCATATAAAAAAACTTAAACTCAAATCAAAACAAACAAATCCTATATTTTTGTACAATGTTTGAAATTTGTTTATTTATTTTTATAAACTGCATTTTAATATAAAATTACCAATACCCCTCAATCCCATTCACATGTATTATTTGTCCCATCTGAAAGTTATATATTTTATATTATTAATACTAAAATATTATTAAAATTTACATAAATTACAAACATAAATATATTATTATTATATATAAAGTATAAAAAATTTAAAAGTCAAAACTTTTGTACACATTTTTATTTACTATTGTTTTTTAATATACCCGAAAAAATAATAATAATAGAATGTTAATATCTTTAAAATATAATGTTAATTATAAAATATAAGTATAATAAAACTCTGAATAAACATACCTTACATAGTATTATTGTATTAAGAGCTTAATTTCACTTAAACCATTTTAAAACTGCTTTGCAGAAATATGAGATTGTGGGATTTTTAAGTTGAGTATTACGATTTTATTTTTCTTTTTAAAAATATAAAATTAAATATATATACATATATATTTTTATCATATCACTCTTTTTATCTCATTTCAAAAGGTTTTTTCTGATTTCGTACTAAATTAAGAAATAATAATAATATTTTATTAGTAAATAAAAATATATAAAAGGTTTTAATATTTTTAAATAACTGTATATGTAATGATATATTTATAACTTAAATAAAAATTAAAAATATTTTGATATCAATGTATAATTATTTTTTACTAAAAAAATAAAAATATACTTTTAAATGGACGAAAGAAAAATGACAAAAAAATATACTTTGAATTGAAATACATAAAGTATATTTATAGCTTTGTAGGCAATTAAAAATAAATATTTAACATTAATTAAATACTTATATACTTTGAAAGAAAATAAAATTTTTAATAAAATAAATATGTGATATTTAATTATATGTATATATATTAATTTTTATACTCCCTTCGTTCCATTGAAAGGTTACTATTTTCTATTTTCGTCCGTCCCAAAACAAGGTTGTCATTTCCTAATTTAAAAACAAACGCCATCCTTCAAACGGAACGGAGGGAGTATAATAAATATCAATAGTTAATGTAAAATTGGCTCAACATAGAATATATTGTACAATTATTATCGTTTTGTTCTTTTAACATCAATTTTTAAGTGCAATTCCTAAAAATAATAATAATAAATTATATAAAATATTTTATAAAAAAAAAAATTCCAAATACTCATTATAATAAATAAAAAACTCATTAAAAAGGTTAAAAAATTAAATATTCAATTTTAAATAATATATTTTATATTTTTGACACATTTTTTTTTTACTACACATAAAAGATTATTTAATGAGTGAACGGAGTATATATATAAAATTATAATAAATTTGACAATAAAATAAATTAATATTATTAATGAAAAAATATTTTAATTAATACACAACGAAAAAGAAAATAATACTTCTAACCATCTTGACGAGAAAAAAAGATATAATTAATATTTTTTTTCTCAAAAGAAAAAATAACATCCGAAAAAAAAAATAATAAAAGCCTCATCCTCGATCAATCGGAACCACGTACCTCCTTCGAAAAAGAAATTAAGACTAACTATAATAAGGGTCATAGCCAAATCATTAACATGCAAGTGTTGATATATATATATATATTGTATATATATTTTATATATTTATATATATATCCTACATAATATATCTCTTGTATAAATATAATATTGTACTCTAATTGTGATTTAACAAAAAACAGAGTTTATTCCATAAATCGTAACATGGTATCAGAGCCATGCTTTTTCCCGACCAAATCGAAACAATCCACGCATTCCAGATAGCATATTTTCGACCACTTCCGACCGTCACCGCCACCACCATCGTCTTCGCCGTCACGAGACCGGCCGGACACCGGAACAGTTCGGCGAACGGCGGCGCGTGACCCTCACACGCGCCTGACGAGTTTTCCGGCAGGACGCCTCGCCGGCGCGTGGAGGCGCGTGCGGCGGCCGTTGGCGGCGATCTTTGCACCGTCATGTTCGGAATTTGATTTCATCCGCGATGGTATCTTCACTTCTTCCGTTTGAGCAGTTTTTTGTATCCGGTTGACTTTTTGTGTTTCGGGTTTGATTCGGTTTCTGTCGTTTCGGCTTTCGGCTTGAGGTTGAGATATTGTTTTCTCTTGAATTTCTATGGAAAAGATGGATGTACATATTCCGATCAATGTTGTTCTGTCCGGAGATAATTACAGTTTGTGGGCACAATCGATGAAAAGTTTTTTGATAGGTCGGAAATTGTGGCGAATTGTTACGGGAGATACAGTTGCCCCCATTGCTCCAGTTTCTATAAGAGAAGTTACGCCTACCGCCACAGTTGTTGAATCTTATATTGAAAAATTTGAGGATTGGGATAGTAAGAACCATCAAATTCTCACTTGGTTGCGCAATACTTCCACTTCGGCGATCCATGTTCAGCTTGCCCAATTTGACACTGCCAAGGCAGCGTGGGATTTCTTGGCAGTCCGCTTCCGTGCTACTGGTTTGGCACACTATTATCAGTTATGGAGCACTCTCCACGATCTAAAACAGGAACCAGGACAATCTATCAATGACTTCCTTGCCCAAGTGCAACCCTTTTGGCATCGGTTGGATCAAGCAGAGATCAGTCATGATCATCTTCGCCTCATTCAGGTCTTGATGCAGCTCGTGCCTCTTTGTTACATCGGTATCCACTTCCTACCTTGGATGCAGCTGTTCAGGAGATTCTGTTTGAGGAAACTCGTCTCCACCTAGCTAAGGCTCCTCAGCTTGATTCTGCTCTTGCGGTCACTGCCCGAACTCCTACTCAGAGTCGTTCTCATCTTTGCAAAAGATGTCAGTCTTCTGATCATGACTTCGGTCATTGCCCAAAGGTGGAGTGTCACTACTGTCATGTTTTAGGCCACACTATACAGTATTGCCCCACTAGGCCGTCTCGCTCTAGCAGTGGTAACTACAAGCCTCGGCATTCTCATGGACCTCAGTCTGGTACCTCCTCTGTCACAGCCTCTGCCACGCCTGCGCCTGCGCCTCCTACGATTCAGGACCTGAAAGCTCTTCTTAAACAGGTTCTATCTTCCAATACCGCAATGTCTACCACATCAGGTAACTCTCCTTGGTATTTTGATTCTGCTTGCAGTAATCATATGACCTCTGATATACGCCTTATGACCTCCACATCCACCGCACCATCCTTACCTCCTATCCTTACTGCCAATGGTACCCATATGCGCATCACCCATACCGGACATACATCCACCTCATCCTTATCCCTCCCCGACACATACTGTATCCCTCAATTAACCTTAAATCTGATTTCCGTTGGTCAATTAGTTGATCAAGGTCTCACCGTGATATTTTCTTCTACTGGTGTGCAAATTCAGGACGCGCAAACCGGGCGGACTCTTAGGAAGGGTCGGAAGACGGGCCGCTTATTTGAACTTACGTCACTCCAGGTCCCTCGTCCCTCTATCTCGGCTGCCACCACCTCTACACCATCCTGCCTTCAGTGGCATCATCGTCTCAGTCATGCGTCTTCCAATAAAGTCAGGTCTTTGATTAGTCAGGGTAGTTTGGGTTCTGTTAAGTTTGAGTCTTTTCATTGTGTGGATTGTTCGTTGGGAAAACAACCTGCCTTGTCGTTTCCTCATAGTACCTCCATTGGGGATACACCGTTTTCCTTAGTTCACTCGGATATTTGGGGACCTTCGCCCGCTGTGTCTATGAATGGTTCTCGTTATTTTGTGATTTTTATTGATGACTATTCTCGTTTTACATGGATTTACTTTCTGCGGCATCGTTCTGAACTTCCATCTATTTATATGACCTTTGCTAAAATGATACATACCCAATTTTCCTCTACCATAAAAACTCTTCGCACAGATAATGCTTTTGAGTATACTGATTCATCATTTCTTAGTTTCTTATTTGATCAAGGTACTGCTGTCCAACGCTCCTGCCCATACACTTCTTCACAAAATGCTCGCGTTGAACGTAAACACCGACATATCCTCGATACAGTCCGCACCCTTCTCTTATCTGCCTATTGTCTGGATCGCTTTTGGGTGGAAGCCGCACTTACTGCTGTCCACACTATAAATTGTGTCCCTTCCTCTGTCCTAGGTAATGTCAGTCCTTTTGAAAGACTATTTAATCGTACCCCTCATTATAGTCTTCTCCGCCATTTCGGTTGTGTCAGTTTTGTCCTCCTCCCTCCTCATGAGCGCACTAAGTTAGAACCTCGCGCGCGTCTGTGTTGCTTCATAGGATACGGGTTAGAGCGTAAGGGTTATCGTTGTTGGGATCCCATTTCCAATAGGCTACGTATTTCTCGTCATGTCACATTTTGGGAGGATACTAAATTCTCTTCCTTGTCCCACTTCTGAGTCCCCTTTGATCGTTCGTCTCCGTTCTTTGCCTTGTCCTCTCCACCTCTATTCCCCTCCGGTGACACAGCTCCGTCTCCGTCTCCCGCTCCTGACGCTGTCCTGGTTGCGCCTCCTGAACCGCCGCTGATCCCCGAGCCTACTCCTACTCTCGACTCCGATACATCACCACCACCAGAGCCTGACACGACTTCGATCTCAGCCCCTAATCTTGGCCCTCGTCGTTCCACTCGGGTTAGTCACCTTCCTACTCACTTACTTGATTATCACTGCTTCTCTGCCACCTTGTCCCATCATGAGCCCAGGTCCTTTCGTGAGGCGTATGCGGATCCGTTGTGGCGACAGGCTATGTCTGAGGAGTTGCAGGCTTTGGAGAAAACCCATACGTGGGATATGGTTGATCTTCCCCCTGGCAAGAAAAACCTATTGGCTGCAAGTGGGTATTCAGAATCAAAACTCACTCTGATGGATCCATCGAGCGCTACAAGGCGCGTTTGGTAGCCAAAGGCTACACCCAGCAGTATGGTATTGACTATGAGGAGACATTTGCCCCGGTTGCTCGTCTCACCTCTGTCCGCTGTCTTATCGCCATCGCTGCCGCTCGTCGGTGGCCCCTGCATTAGCTTGATGTCAAGAATGCGTTCTTGCATGGTGATTTATCCGAGGACATCTACATGTCTCCTCCTCCTGGTTTTCCTACCTCTTCCAAGGTATGCAAACTTCGCCGTGCCCTATATGGTTTGAAACAAGCATCTCGAGCTTGGTTTTCGAAATTTAGCTCTGCTCTACTCCAGTTTGGCTTTACTTCTAGCGATCATGATTCGGCTCTCTTCCTTCGACGTGGGTCAGCTGGAATTACTGTTTTATTGCTTTATGTGGATGACATGATCATTACGGGAGATGATGCATCAGGTATCTCCGAGTTGCAGGCTCATCTACACCGCCACTTCGAGATGAAGAGTTTAGGGCCTCTTCGGTACTTCCTAGGACTTGAGATCTCCGACACCTCTGACGGATATTATCTCTCTCAAGCCAAGTATGCCTCCGACCTCCTATCTAGTGCCGGTCTCACTGACTCCAAGACTGCTCCTACACCTCTTGATTCTGACTGTCATCTTACTCCGATGGACAGCGTTCCCTTTGATGATCCGACTTTGTTTCGTCAGCTGGTGGGAAGTCTGATCTACCTGATTGTCACTCGACCGGATATTGCTTATGCCGTCCATATCGTCAGTCAGTTTATGTCTGCTCCTCGGACGACTCATCATTCTGCTGTCCTACGGATTCTCCGGTACGTCAAAGGTACCCTTCTTCATGGGCTTCATTATTCTGCTCGTTCCTCCTTAGTTTTGACCGGGTATTCTGACGTTGATTGGGCGGGAGATCCCTCTGATCGCCGCTCGACCATCGGGTTTTGCTTCTTCCTTGGCGACTCGCTTATTTCATGGCGCAGCAAGAAACATACGGTTGTCTCCCAGTCCAGTGCAGAGTCCGAATATAGAGCCCTTGCCGATACCGCTGCCGAGCGGCTAATCTCGGAGTGCCTCAGCCCTCTGCCACTATTATCCATTGCGACAGTCAGAGCGCCATGAAGATTTCGACGAATGATGTCTTCCACGAGCGTACAAAGCACATTGAGATCGACTGTCACTTTGTACATCATCACGTTGCTCATGGAAGCATCTCCTTGTCTCCTATTTCCTCTGCTGATCAGACGGCCGACGGATTCACCAAACCTCACATTCTCGGCCGTTTTCAGTCATTTTTGAGCAAACTCAAGTTGGGTTCCACCGTTCCACCTTGAGTTTGAAGGAATGTTAATATATATATTGTATATATATTTTATATATTTATATATATATCCTACATAATATATCTCTTGTATAAATATAATATTGTACCCTCATTGTGATTTAACAAAAAATAGAGTTTATTCCATAAATAGTAACAAACGAAGTTGTAAATCCTCCATATAATTGTCTTCAAATTGAAATTGAATCGACCTAAACAGAATCAAATAATCCCTTTGAAAAATAGAATCTGTTTTACTTCAATTTAAATCAAATATAATTTATATTAAATTTTGTGTTTATAAAAATAATATAATGTTTTCTGTTTACAATTATACACTAAAATTTAATTTTATATTTAAAATATACTTATATTACATCAAATAATTATTTTAATTTAAAATTTTATTTATTCTAACTTCAAACCCAATATCCAAGGAAATACATTCGGGAAGTTTCCGAAAAAAAATAAATAAATAAAAAAAAAGAAAAAGACATAAAGTTGTGTTTATCTCTTTTGAAATATTGTTACCATACAAACAAAATATTGCATATAATTTTTATTTTTATTTTAAATACGAAAAAAAATATTAATACAAAAATTACAAAAATCTAAAAATAAAAATCTAGAACATTCCAAAATACAAACAAGCAGAAATATTACGCTGTAAAGTTACAGAGGAGTGATTGTGTGGGGGCTATCTGAGGCCCAAAGGGCTAAATAAATAAAACCATTCGGTTCAAACTCGCCCTTAAATCAGTCCACTGCACACTCTTCCCCTTCCTCCCTCCCTCCCTGTATCTGATTGTGTCCATAAATCGGGGTTAAAGTGAGGGCGAAATCGCATCAATCAGCGCAATCGGTGAGGAATCTCGGTGCCCGCAGGCTCTGGGGTTGGATTATCGCGCAGCTTCAATCGCTTCCTGAAGTAAGTTTTACCTTTTCGTTGCGGTTGTTTATTGTTTGTTTAGGCTGTGAGAACCAGTGGCAGCATTGCGTCTTTGCATGTATTATCTTGCTGTATGAGGTTTTGAATTGGACGAGCTGATAAGGGGTTTGGATGAAGAGACTAGGGTTTTGGGATTGATGAGTTTTTTATTCAGTTTCTCGCCTATTTCGCGGCATTTAATCTGGCTGATTGAAGTGAGCTATTTTTATTTTTTTTTGTGCTACTTTACCTGTTTGTTGTTCATATATACAATTGTGCTGTTTCCTGTACCTGGACGTCGATAATCAATGTGAGATTTCTTTTCAGGGAGGAGCGCTGCGGCTAGTTTTGATTTGAGCGACTGTTAGAGGCTTGCAAAGATGGCAAATTTAACTCTAACTGGAATACTTGAAAAGGTTAGTGATTGGAACCTATACGTGTAGTTTATACTTCTGTTTGTTGCTGTTTGCTAAATGCATTAGTCAGAGTAGAGTAACTAATCAAGGAGTCTTTGTATACAGATGACTGGAAAAGATAAGGATTACAGATATATGGCAACTTCGGATTTACTTAATGAATTGAACAAAGAAGGGTTTAAAGTAGATACTGATCTTGAAGCAAAGCTGTCAAACATTGTCATTCAGCAGCTTGATGATGCAGCTGGTGATGTTTCTGGATTAGCTGTGAAGTGGTATGATCAGGGCTTCCTTTATGCTTTTCCGTACTCTTTATGGCATGTTTTCTTTGTGGTAGTTAATGATCTTCATGCGTAAACGGACACGTGGTGCTGATGAACGAGAATCCAAAGGGAATCTTTAAGACCACGTGCGGTTGGTACATGGTTTTCCGTGGGAATAGAAATTATGTGGATTTCATTAAATACATGTATAATGAGATATTGAATAGTCTTGAAACCAGAAGATTTGATATTCCTCCCTTGTTCTATCTTAAAAAGGAAATAAAATATTTGCAATATGTGTAAATTTCAAGTTTTAATATATCGATTATCTATACCAAAAATTTTATTGGATATTATATTTTTTTAAAATGAAGAAAAAGTAAATAAAATGTCATTGTTTTACTGCATAACAAAGTTTTTAACTTCTATTCCTATTTCATATCATACACTATCATTTTATCATTCCTTTCACTGTCGCTGCGCAAACATACACTTAATGCACCTGCTGTGATATAGATTTCCTTCTAATATGACTTTTCATGTTTGATGTTTCAAGAAAAAAATTCACATGATCCCAAGTTTATACAAGTCTCGAAAATTCTGCACGACCCCTCTAGTATCTACCTGAAAAATGCTCAATTTTTTTGTGCTAGTTATCTTACTGTTGATGTTTGTTTAATTACGAATGAGTAACATTGTGCTTTATACATGAACTGTAGTCTTGCTCCATTGGTCAAGAAAATTCACGAGCAGCGGGTTCTTGAAATGACCAACAAGCTTTGTGATAAACTGCTCAATGGGAAGGAGCAAAACCGTGATATTGCTAGCATTGCTTTGAAGACCATTGTTGCGGAAGTTCCTACCTCAACTGTTGTGAAATCTGTTCTAGTTTCAGTTTCACCTAAGTTGATACAAGGCATAACTGGTCAGGTAGGAAAATTATGCATGTGTATATTTTGAATTTAGCAAGCTAACCAATTCAGTAACTAGCTAGTCTAATTGAGTTTCCGTTTATTTTACTAGTTACTGTTACCATTTTGCAACTTTACTATGATTTTATATTGTAGATATTAACAAAAATTAAGAAAGAAAAACCTTTGCAAGTAAGTTTTGTTAGCCTCAGCTTGATCTTGTATAAATAAATCAAATCTGGTGTTATGATAAGATTTCAAGTATTTTAATGACATATCATCTTGAATGTTTTTTGTGTGTTGAAAGTGTGTCATATTGATTGCATATATATGTGTGTGTATATTATGTATATTAGAAATATATTAATAGTTATAATGCAAGTCATGCCCTGGTGCCATGCACCATGGCATGGCACAGGCCCTGCGCTGTGCTGTGCTGTAGGGGGTGCCATTTACAACTATGATTCCTCTAGCAAGGTCTAGAACACTGTATGTGTGTTTTATGTGTTCTCAAATATAAGTGACCTCAATTAGATCTGCTCAGATGATCTCAAAAAATGAGTCATGGAGTTTCTTGAAGATAGAAGTGGACTCAGTTCTTTAAGTCTGCTTCCTACAACTTTCCAGTATTACAAGCTGAAGAAAACGCTACTATATTTGAGCATGGTTTTCACAAATATCTTTTCTTTTTGCCCAACATTGTGCATATATTTTTGTTACAATGGAATACTTGTTTCTTTCCATTTCCTAGGGGATGAGCACGGAAATCAAATGTGAATGCCTTGATATTCTTTGTGATGTTCTTCAAAAATATGGCAACCTAATGGCATCAGATCATGAGGTATTATTAGGTGCATTGTTGCCCCAGTTGAATACCAATCAAGCCAGTGTTCGTAAGAAGGCTGTTTCATGCATTGGTAGGACTCAATCTGTACCAAGAATTTTCCATGATAATATGGTCCTTCCATTTTCATGCATCATTTCATTTAATGATTCTATTGGCTAATTTAATTTAGAATTTTTGCTGCAGCATCACTTGCTTCAAGCTTGTCTGATGATTTGCTGGCAAAGGCTACAGTTGAAGTTGTTCAGCTTTTGCGAAAAAAGTCAACAAAATCTGATATTACCCGCACAAACATTCAGATGATTGGGGCTTTGAGGTAACTCATAAATTTGTGTTATTTGGGTGGTCAGTGATAGAAATCCCTATAACTTTCTGCTTCAAAGACTTACCCTTTTATGCTTTGGAGTCTAGAGAATTGTTCTGTTTGATATTATCTTTGAATGTTGTTGTCTTGCAGACATTGCATTTTCTATTTTGATGTTACGATCTTTTTGAGTTTTATGAATTATACCCGCTCACTTTTTATGACAGATACTCCTACGATCCTATGGTTTCCTACACCCTTATGATATATTTCACTGACTTAACTGACTTGAATATTGTGATCTCTTGAGCCTCAGGTTTTCCTACCTAATTTCTGCTTAATTTCACTGCTTAGACTAATGGCCATCATCTCAATGTGGGAACTTCTGCTATAGATATTATAAGTTCCATATTGGATTAGTTTGGTGATATATGACATGCATTATTTAGTGAATATATGTATTCATCATCTTGAATCAGTCTGTATGGCTACTGATGGATGGATGCCCAGTTTATTGGTTCAAGGGTTTTAATACAAGATAATGATTTTGCATTAGAGCTCTAAGAATCATAAAGGAAGTGTGTGGCATGTGACTTTATGCTGATCCCAATCAAATGTGCCAAAGAACATGAAATAAATGGGAAAATAGGATTAGTCTGATTAACAAGTCTCTATTGTGACTCAGAATTCGTTCTGATTCCTGCTCTTGATTCTGAAATTATTTTTGTACGAGAAATTTTACATATATGGTGACCTGGTGCATGATGCTATTTTTTGTTTTTTCAAGTCGTGCCGTTGGCTATCGCTTTGGTCCACACCTTGGAGACACAGTTCCGATATTAATCAACTACTGTAATAATGCATCAGAAAATGATGAGGAACTTCGTGAATATAGCCTACAGGTACTCTGATTTTTTGTGGTGTTATTTCAGTTCTTTTTTGTTACGACTTACGAGTAATGTTATGCAGCTTGGCTTTTGAACATCATACATGTTTCTAATATTTTAATCAACTTTGCCTTGAGCTTTCCTTTATTTTCTGTTGCAGGCACTAGAGAGCTTCCTGCTGAGGTGTCCCAGGGATATTTCTCCATATTGCGACCAAATCTTACACCTTACATTGGAATTCCTCAGCCATGATCCAAATTTCACTGATAACATGGAGGAAGACACAGACAGTGAAAGTTACGTGGAAGAGGAAGATGAGTATGTTGTCCTTTTATTTGTTATAATTATTATTTTTTAAATTTAATTATGTCTGTAACACTTTCTGCTAATGGGTCATTTATGGCTTCTGTAGTGAGAGTGCAAATGAATACACAGATGATGAAGATGTCAGCTGGAAAGTTCGGAGAGCTGCTGCTAAATGCTTGGCTGCATTAATAGTTTCTCGCCCCGAAATGCTCTCAAAATTATATGATGAGGTATGCGTGGATGTGGTTTTTAATATTACTGCCTGTGCACTTTTCATGTACTTTGTTCCCATGTGCTATTTTTTTCCCTCTAATTTGGAGATAGTAACAATGTTTTAGTTTATGTTTTCGGATTTATTTATTTTTGGCACTAAAATAGCCTATATGTGTTGTAGATTATTAAAAGAATGTATATGTTTGATTAATTATTAATATATCTTGAATCTACTATATATATTGATTTAAATGTTATATATATATGATATTGAATATTAACTGAAAGTGGGATGATGTGTTAGTTTGTAGCTGTAAAAGCATACAAATATGTTGAGTTTTTCCTTTTAGATTGTATGAGACAATGGGTGTGTTTTTTTTGTGAGATAATTTGAAGGAATATTTTTTGATGTGAGGTACGGGGAATTGTGCAGAAAATATAAAAATAATAAATGTGGGTGATTTATTAATTTTTTGGGGAATTGTGTAGGAAAAAAGATCAAAGTGAACAAACCCATTATTTCTTATTATCTCTATGATTTGCAATTATATTTTTTCTGCATTAGAAAAGTGGAGAATTTTGGTTTTTGTTTACCTGAGGTTCTTTTTTTTTGTGTGTTTTTGTATCTTTAGGTTTTGATGTTTATCAGTTGAAATAGTGGTTGGATGGAAATTGGGAGATTGAATACTAAAAAATTGGGGAAAAAATCTGAAGTAAAAACAAACCTTTATTTTTCCTAACATAGCCACACTCTTTTATTGTTTTCACCAGGAAATAGTAAACCTTCAACTTTTTACATGTTAGTAGAGCTAGGCTTTCACCCCATTTATGGAGAAACATCTAATTCAGTCTCACCAAGAGCCTTAAGCAGTTGGTTCCCTTCCATTGTTGGAACTCAGACTTTAGCTTTGTTGGTTTTTCTCCTCTGAACCCCCTATGCTGTACACCCTTACATTTCTGCTTGTCTTTGTTGTGCAAAAGCTTTTAACTGTAACTATTCCTCTTCTTTTGGTCATACCCATGGTTTGATATTGCTTTATACCTGAAAACCATACCTCTCTCTCTCTCTTGTAAAGTAAAAGATTTATATATTGATAAGCCCAAAGGGGACACAATATGAACACAGTTAGGAGCTTAATGCAAAACTCTTCAACTGATAGATTAGGATGTAAAACATCCAACAGCGCAAGTATAGTGAATCTTAGAGCCAGGCTATAATATCTGGCAAGAAAGTTGCTAGACTATTTCCACGTCGTGAAATGTGTTGGAAGACAATATCTGGATGCTTGGAGATACAATTATTGAGTATGCTAGTTTCTTGATATCATAACTTTCTTACTTGCAGCCACTTATCTTTCCTAATTTATTCCTGCATGCTATATTTAGCGGTTTATTCATTTGGTTTAGATTTTGCAACAATTATGGTTTTGGAGCCAGTTGTTGAATAAGAGCATTGGGCTATGGTTGATACATATATACACATAATGAGAGAGTGATAACATATGGAAATATGTTCTGTTAATCCTGCATTCTTCTGTTTTCGTCAAGCTAATATAGTTGACTGTTTGGCTAATAAAGAGCTGGCATACTTTCTTTTTCAGGCTTGCCCAAAGTTGATTGATAGGTTTAAAGAAAGAGAGGAAAATGTTAAGGTAAATGGAACAACCTGACTGATCCTTTTACAGCTATGAGTTCTATTCTTGGTTTGTAACTTGGCTTAATATGCTGCAGATGGATGTCTTTAATACATTCATTGAGTTATTGAGACAAACAGGAAATGTTACAAAAGGCCAGACAGATTTTGATGAATCAAGGCAAGATGCTGTTCACTTGTTTTTTCTCCCTGCGACAAGAATATTAATAATAAGTTCAATTATTCTTATTTTGTTTACCTTTTTTCACTATTGAATTGAAGGGTGTGTTGCAGAATGTTTTGCCCCTTTAATTTTAACTTAAACTATATGGTTAGAGTGGCTAAAACACTGGTATACCTGCAACCTATATTTCTACATTTAATTGGACTGCAGTGGCACAAAACCAAGGTATAGAAGGTGGAGCTCTCAACAAAAACAACCTTGATTACTTCATAGCTGGTTGAGGACTATTAGGATTACATTATATGACCTCAAATTGTGCCCCACTGTTCGTACTTAATAGATGATGTGTTATTTAGCAACAACGCTGATATGCAAGCTTTAGGTGGTTAATACGTTTTTATGTTCACATATCTTTCGGTCAACACTCAACATGTCTTGAGTAAGTTGATGGCTTCTAGAAGGGAAGGCAGGGAGATGATCTAGCTGTGTAAAATGTTGTATTACATGTTGCCTATAACTTATGGACTTTTCTGTATCAATTTCTGATTGTGCATCGTGTTTCCTATTTACCTCAAACAATGCTACTTATTCTGCGAAGCATCGTGAAGGCCCCTTTCTCGTTGCTTAAGGATGGCATGTCTCATATATTCTGATGAATCTTTCAATTTTGTTCAGTCCCAGATACCTACTGAAGCAAGAGGTGCCAAAAATTGTTAGATCTGTAAATAAACAGCTGCGCGAAAAATCTGTTAAAACGAAGGTAGGGAGATGTTATGCATATGTTGGTATATGTATATCATGTTGGTTGTCTAAGCCTACTGTGATTTTGTTCTTCAGGTTGGAGCTTTCTCAGTTTTGAAAGAGCTGGTAGTTGTTTTGCCTGATTGCCTTGCAGACCACATTGGGTCACTTATTCCTGGAATTGAGAAGGCATTATGTGTAAGTTTGATTTGGTTGTGTTTCAAGTATGTGATATTTGTTTCTTTCAGTATTTAACAGCAAATTTGTGGGTTTTTTTTTTAAAATTTTTTTTTTGACAGGACAAATCCTCTACCTCCAATCTAAAGATTGAAGCTCTTATATTTACAAGATTAGTGTTAGCCTCACATGATCCTTCTGTTTTTCATCCCTACATCAAGGTAACACTTGAAACTGTTGCAGTAGATTTTACTTTTATTGGTTATTTTACATGTTACAACTTTTGAGGGAATATTGATATTAGCAGTTTGGGTAAAAGAAGACTTGTTTTCCCCATCTATCAAATAAACTAAAAAATTTTACTTTTTGAGTGAAACTAAGGCACTAAAATTGACTATATATTATTAAACCAAAGTAGTGAGTATTGAAGTTTGTCATATAAGGGGATTTGACTCACTGTCCATATACAGTTATACACAATCTATTATAGCGTTGTGACAGTACAATAGATCTTCTTTTGGTCATAGAGTGAACTTAAAACATTATTTATTCAATTGAATCCAGTTGACCCAGACAGATCTATTTACACTTCTTATGATGTCCCAACTCCTTGTCAGTTTAATCTCCAATAAATACCTTGGAAATATACTATGACATTTTCTATTTATCCTCTTGATGAGTCAACATGCATATAATGGTTATTTCTTAAGTTTACATGGTCAAGCGATCTATTGGAAGAAATATTTCAATGCCAAAACAAGGTTTATTATTATTATTTTATTTTCCTGAACAATCAGTATGCAATGTGCATAATTTAAAAGACCATTGTTATGTTGGATTCTGAGAAGATTCCTTCAATTCTTTGGAAACATATTGTTTTGAGCACTAGAATTTGAATAATTTACACCTTTTATTTTACATGTGAGTGAATGTAAAAAACTTTTATGAAAGGTCTTTCTGATGCTTATCTTGGGTGAGTTTTTGGTTAAAAAATTGGAGTTAAGTTAGTGGCTGTTTGTCCTACATTCTGATTTGTGATTTGAACTTATATGAAGGATTTCAATCAGTTAAGCGTGAGTACTAGTCCGTGAAAATCCCTTCTCCTGGTTTTGTTGTGATTGTATAATCGTATGTTTATATTAGGCAATTTCTGCTCCTATTATATGTGCTGTGGGTGAGCGGTACTACAAAGTTACTGCAGAGGCTTTAAGGGTATGTGGAGAGCTCGTTCGTGTTGTGCGGCCTAATATTGAGGTTTGTTGCTTATCTCTAGATTTTATTTGACATATAGATGTTGGGAGATTATTTTTGGGCTTCTAATGTGATTTTGTTGTCCAGGTCTCTGGATTTGATTTCAAGCCCTTTGTCCATCCTATATACACTGCTATAATGTCACGCCTGACTAACCAAGATCAAGATCAGGTAACAGCCTTTCTTTTCTTTGATAGGTTCTTCACTTTGCTTTCATGCCTGATTGTTCATCTCATGCAGGAAGTAAAAGAATGTGCTATTTCTTGCATGGGCCTTGTGGTTTCTACATTTGGTGATCATCTTGGAGGCGAACTGCCTACATGCCTTCCTGTACTAGTGGATAGAATGGGAAATGAGATAACTCGACTCACAGCTGTGAAGGTTTGAAATAACTCTCACAGTTGCCTACACTCTACAGTTTCTAGCATTTTTAATGGAATATTTTTACCATGTTATATATACACACATACACACACAAACATATGCCATTGTTGGGATCATGGTGTTAGTGTTAGAAACATAGTCACCAACTGGAAGACCAACCTAGAGCAATGCCGCACTCTGTACATATTGAAGTTTGACTCATCATCATACAATGCCTATGTCATGCTATTACCTATATCTATAAAGTAATTATAAGCAAAATACACATAATCAAGAAAGATATTACTAATTTTCTTTTGGTGTGTTTGTGTTTTGGTTTTTGGGTGAAATATCAGTTGGATGTGATGTTTTGTATGAAAAATTGATATATTATTATATAGAACTGTGAGGTTGCATGGTAAAAACACAAGGGGAAAAAAAAAAATCAAAGATAAAGTCAATAATATAGCTAATCACTAATCTTGAAACTGCCTAAAATTGTCATTTTTGGTTAACACTTAAGAAAGTGTTCAATAGGGAAGGAAACAATTGAAAGTCCTTTATAAAAAATGGTGGCTCCCCTTAAGGTTGGCTCAGGAATTGAAGATGGACTTTGTAGGTTTCTCAATTGAGACACCATACTAAAATCTTTACATATCTAGCTTAGTGAAACCATGGCACGATAGATTACAATGTTAACACTTATGTTTAGAGATTGCTTTGTTAACATTGTTAGGACTAATATTGTGTGTGCTTTGAACTTTAATTCTTTAATCCTCAAGTATTATATTAGTCCTCTAGTGTTTCTTGTTTCGTTGATTAATTGGAGACTTTCTGGATCTTAACTGAAAGTATCATTGTTTCCTGCTCTACATAGGGTCGGCTGATTTAAGGATATGGTATTTAGAATTACATTCCAATAAGCTGATTTTTAAGGGAAATTTTGAGTGGGAAAGCTTTTAAGATGACTTTGATATTCAAGAGTTCGTTGTTTAGCATATGAAAAAGGTTCATTGTAACTTGAGATGGTGAATGGATTAATTAACATGGATTGAAATCCAAACTTTTGAATCATTCGGGAAAAAGTGCCAATGAAATGAGCAATATATATGATCATGTCTATTGGAGCATTGGATATTGTAGATATGTGAAACTTTATGCCTTAAGGAAATAAAATAGTTTCATTTTCACTCTCTGAAGTGGACTTTGGTTTTTCCATAATCTTACAATAGCATTTGAGTTGATGCTATTATTCCGAGGGACCTATGTGTACAGCTTTAAGCCAATTGTTTATAATTCACTTAATTGAGTTTGTTGAATTTGTATCCCATCACGTTTTATTCATAGGGTCAAAAACACCTGTTTAATTGCATGTTATGCACATCTTACTTACCATTTGTCTGTTGTCCAGGCTTTTGCAGTCATTTCCACCTCTCCTTTGCATCTTGACCTATCATGTGTTTTAGAGCAAGTAATATCAGAGCTGACTGCATTTTTACGAAAGGTAAGAGTTTTCTTAGTTGTCTCACATGTTAGCTTTTCTGGTTATGATGGCATAAAATCTAATAAATTATTTTGTTGTTTTTGGAGGTTAGGCCAACCGTGCCCTAAGACAGGCGACCCTGGGGACACTAAACGCTTTGATTGTTGGTTACGGCGATAAAATTGGTTCTGGTGCTTATGAAGTCATAGTTGTTGAACTTTCAACTTTGATAAGGTTTCACAAATGTTTGCTTTATATTTCTCCGAGTTACATTGATCCATGTAGTTCAAATTTTCGTTTGAAAATTTATTTATTGTTATCTACTTTATTCTTAATTTTTGTTTTTGATTTTCAGTGACTCTGACTTGCATATGGCTGCTCTAGCGTTGGAGTTATGTTGTACACTGATGGCTGACAAAAGATCTGGTCCAAATGTTGGTTTGACTGTCAGAAACAAAGTTCTGCCCCAAGCCCTGACTCTTATTAGAAGCTCACTGTTGCAGGGGCAGGCCCTTCTGGTATTTACTTTTGGATGCTTCACTGATTGAAAGATGTCACAACATGATTTATTCACCATGACACTCCCCCCCTTATTTTTTATTTTTTATAACAGGCACTACAGAACTTCTTTGGTGCCCTAGTCAACTCTGCAAACACAAGCTTTGATGCATTGCTGGAATCTCTTCTTTCAACTGCAAAACCATCAGCTCAATCTGGAGCTGTTGCAAAACAGGCTTTGTTTTCCATTGCCCAATGTGTTGCTGTTCTGTGTCTTGCTGCCGGGGATAAAAAATGTTCCTCTACTGTTAAAATGCTCACAGATATCCTCAAATCTGATAGCAGCACAAATTCGGTATGCATCAACTTTTCTCCCCCCCAGTGTCCTTGGTGGTTGGGTTTTTCTTACATTTAAATATATTAAAAACTACTATGTCTGATGCATGATTTGCAATCTATATATGATTCAATTAGCTATTTTGTGATTGTTGAATGGATTCTCTATGTGAATTTTTTTGTGCTTTTTTGGTGTTAATAACATGCATGCTGATGGTCTTGGCCTTAAACTTTGTCACTTAGTGGTTCTTTGTAAATGTTGCGATTTTGTGAGATTTTTTGGCTACCTCACTTTGTGTTAATAATGGGATGGATTTTTTTGGCATTCTGCAAGCAAATACTTCCATATTTATGTGCTTTGTTTGGTATTTCATAGGTTTTTTTTTTACCATGTTGAAGGATACCCATTGGTTCTTCCTGCATCAAATGACTTTTGTTTTGTTCTGAAATTTGGAACATGTAACAAGACAAATTTTAAGCTCTTTATTACTTCTTTATGTTTTTCCTACGTAATTTAGCATAAGACAGTTGGTTTTAAAGGTTACATCTCTGCCCATCAAAAGAAATAATAATGCATAATTGTGTAAACTTCTTGTCATTTACCTCCTAATAACTATGAGTATACTTCCCCACAGTCCAAGCAACATCTCTCCTTGCTGTGCTTGGGGGAGATTGGCAGGAGAAAAGATCTAAGTGCACATGACCATATAGAGAATATTGTTATCGAGTCCTTCCAGTCGCCATTTGAAGAAATAAAATCAGCTGCTTCCTATGCCCTGGGAAACATTGCTGTTGGAAATCTACCCAAGTATTTACCCTTTATCTTGGACAAAATTGATAATCAGCAGAAAAAGCAATATCTATTGCTCCATTCTTTGAAGGAGGTGAATTTTGAAAAAAATCTGACGATAGCTTATTTTTCATCAACATTACTTTTTAACTCAACCTGCCCGCAAAACTCATCTGGTCACAGGTCATTGTAAGGCAATCTGTAGATAAAGCGGAGTTTGATGAAACTAGTGTGGAGAAGATAACAAAATTACTCTTTAATCACTGTGAAAGTGAGGAAGAAGGTGTTCGGAATGTGGTTGCTGAGTGTCTGGGAAAAATTGCCCTTATAGAACCCAGAAAACTAGTTCCTGCACTTAAGGTATCTTTGTCAAATTCAACTTGTGATGTTCTTATTCCTAAATATGTAGATTTTATGTCATCTCATTCTTATGAACTGTGCAATGTGCATGATATACCCTTGCAGGAGAGGACATTGAGTGCAACTGCATTCACGCGGGCTACAGTTGTAATTGCTGTGAAATACTCTATAGTTGAGCGGCAGGAAAAGATAGATGAAATTTTATACCCTGAGATTTCATCTTTCCTGATGCTTATCAAGGATAATGACAGGGTAGGCTATCAATTTGTTCTTTCGAGTTATACAATTTACTGCATTTTTGTACATTAAAAGAATCTCAAATATTTCATATACTTCGTTTTATTTCGTTGATATCAGGACTGATCTGTGTAGTTCATGATACATTTATCTTTGTGCAGCATGTGAGGCGCGCAGCTGTCTTGGCCTTGAGCACTGCTGCTCATTATAAGCCAAACCTGATAAAGGGTTTGCTTCCAGAACTGTTGCCGCTTCTGTATGATCAAACAGTGATAAAGGTAACTATCTTTTCATGTAACATTCCATTCATCTATCATTTCCATCAAATATAAAATATGTACAGAGGAAGGATTTCAAATTCCTACTTTTGCTTGTAATCTTAATTGCAGTAGTTGCGCAATCAACCTAGCCTGCATTATTTTCATGTCATTTGTTGTGGGTGGTAATAAAATTCTTTTGACGGGATGTCGATCGATATGAATATCATCACTGGCAATTTAATTTAAACAGCAGATGAGACTTTCTTTAGCTTAATTATGTATATGTTCCACCTGAGGAGGTAATTAGAGAAGAAATTGTAGTTGTAATTGGCGTAGGGTGTGCACTATATAACTTGTAGAGAAAAATGAAATTCCTGTGTGTAACTATGTAATTAAGCTTCTTTTTTATACCATAGTGCTTAAATTTGTGAACTCCCTTCTCCTTTCTTCTCTTCTTCCTTGCGGTCTCTCATTTATTTATAGTTGCTGGAATGGTATACGTTTCTTCTCTCCTTGTTAGTCAGTTTCATTTTTGATTTTTTATTTAGGGAAAAGGGAACTATATAGCTTTAAGATAATTAGACATATTTATCTTGCTGTGCTAAATTTATCTGCACTTGGTTCGAAGTTTTGTCGATGTTATTAGTAATATGAACATCATCCATCTTCAGTCTTCATGTCTAAGGGCAGCATAGTATGATTCTCTGCTTCCCCCTGTACTTTCTGCCTGTATATTAAACTATTGCATACTGATTAATATCATGTTTGCAGAAAGAGTTGATCAGGACAGTGGATTTAGGTCCTTTCAAGCACACAGTGGATGACGGGCTTGAATTGAGGAAAGCTGCTTTTGAATGTGTGGATACTTTGTTAGACAGTTGTCTCGATCAAGTGAATCCTTCATCCTTTATAGTCCCGTATCTTTTATCTGGATTAGACGGTGAGATTATCTGTCTGCTGTTGAATTCATAAACTCCATTTAATATCTTCCAGTGGTCTGATGTTGAGCTTCATTAATCAGATCATTATGACGTCAAAATGCCTTGTCATCTTATCCTTTCAAAGTTGGCTGATAAGTGTCCATCTGCTGTGCTTGCTGGTATTTTACTTGATCGTTTCTTTATGTACATAATTCTGAAGCAAAGATAATTGTTCAAGTAGTCATTCGCCCTCACCCACCCTCCATATATTATTGTTTACTTGCATTGCAGTATTGGATTCGTTGGTGGATCCTCTCCAGAAGACCATCAATTTTAAGCCGAAGCAGGATGCTGTGAAGCAAGAAGTCGACCGCAACGAAGACATGATCAGGAGTGCACTCCGTGCCATTGCATCCTTGAACCGCATAAGGTATTATCTATGCTCTTTTGAATTAACATGAATGCTGTATGTATGTATGTATGTATGTATTCACTTGAGAGTTTTGGCATGTACAAGTGAAGCAAGTATTCATTTTTCGTTCCAAGGCCGATAGATAGATTGATACTTACTTACATTCTTTATTCTCTCTCTCACACACATTTGCAGCGGGGGAGATTGCAGTCACAAATTCAAGAGTCTGATGAATGAGATTGGCAAATCCCCGGCTCTATCGGAAAAATACTCATCCATCCGAAACGAGTGAAGGTGGCGGTGGTGGTGATGAGAGAAATGCGGGAATGGTGAGTGTAGTCTTATTATTATTATTATTATTAGTGTAGTGTTTTTGGGGTGATTAAAAGTGGGGGTGTTTTGTCCTACCTTACCCTGTTTATAGGATAGGATAGACCTTGTTGGTTGGTTCTGTAGCGACATGAATTATGATGATGATGATGATGTGCCATTTAATTCTGTATATTGGATTTGATTTGAGATGATGCAGTATGGATTTTTGACATTCTTGTTAGTTTATGCCTTGTGCTGGGAAGGATGAACTAAGTTTGCATCTTATACTATCTATTTACGTATCTATGTGCTTCATTCAGCCCAACCCGTAACTCATACCAAACACAACTTCAAACATGTCCTTGAATTGCAAAATTATACTAATGATTGGTTTTGTAAAGAAAATTGCAAAAAAATATTTGACATTTGTACTCAATTATTACTTTTGTTCTATATTTATTTCGCGCCTAAAGTAGACAAAAGGTATGAATATATTTTGTAATTTTCTATACTAAGTTATTATATTATTTTATTATTTGATATTTTAAAAATAAAAATAAATAAATATATGTATTAATTAAAAAAAATTAAATATTATAAATACTATTAGCTCAATAAAATATTTAAACAAAAATTTTTGTAAAAAAAAAATGTAACATTTATAATTAATATAAACTACTTTTATAAATATATATTCCTATGTTCATCATCCCGGGAGACTGATTAGAGTGCTTGAAACTTTTCGATCAATTCCATTTTGTAAGTCCCTCTTGTGCAACTATACAGTGGCGGACCACATAGGGTTTGGAGTCGTTGTCCCCGCCCTTACCTCGACTATATTGTTGGTTATATAGATTGTTTATCCTTTCAAATTCAATCAATTTTTAAAAAATCAATATTTTTATATTGATTGATTACGTTAAAATATATATCAATTTTTATTTTTATTTATAAAAATTACTTATTTTTCGTTTTTCAAATTTAACAAAATCTTTAGCCCTCTTGCCGAAACAAGTCTAGCTCCGCCACTAGAACTATGTAAGATTTAGTGATTTACCGTCTCCTAATTACCTTGAGATGAATAAATATTTGTGGGGAAAGTCGGCAATAATAACGGAAGCAAATCCGATACAGTAATCTTATGTTTGTCAATTATTGCGTTTCTAATACCTCTATAATTACCTACCTCTTAGAATTTTACTTAATGTAACAAGACTTTATTAGCTCTATTAATAAATACATTTAGCACACATATTATTTATTTATTGAAAATTATATTATTATCCAGACTTTGAAATTTAAATTTTTAAAATTTTAATTTATTCATAATTTATCCATACAAAAATAATTCAAATTTATTTTAAAAAATCGCCCCCACCTGCGTATTTTTTTTTTAAAATTTTTATATTCAATTTCTCTTCAACCAACTCTTTAACAAAACTGTGCCAAAGAATCTTAAAAAAAAAAAAAAGGTATATAACATATAGTTGGTTGATTTCTTGAGACAACCCTTGTAGACCCACAAGCAGATTGATATTGAAGTTCTGAGTGGCCATTGCTAGCTCTCGAAAGGTGAAGACCTCTGTATGGACTCTTACATTTCCATGCTTTACTGCAGCATCTTCTGTTACCCTTGGCTTCCTTCTACGTGGACAACATTATGGTTCAACAAGTTAGATTTCAGGTACATCGTGAAATAACAGTGGGAAGAGACTCAAAAACTCCAAATTGGATGCTTTGTGGATTCTAACCAGCAGCATTCATCGACATGCTTCTGGGAATGTTTGACAATCCCTCTGCATCCACATACTCATACTTGTGAAGAGTATCTTTGGATACCTTGAGAGAAGCCTTCCCCATTGTGTCACTTGGTCTCATCCTACATACTCATCTCCTACCTTACTTCTTTGATTCACAAGAATCACCACAAATTGCATTTTGCTTTTCTTATACTGCTATTATGGCCATCAAAGTAATATGCCAAAGAAGACCTTAAAGATCATTACAGAACTGTGTAAAGATTGGTCTTAAAGAAGGCACACAGTTAGAAAGCAATCATTCAAATTGAAATGTAATGAGACAATTAAGAAACATGAACAGTAATCATGGGTGAAGCTGGACTGGTTGCACTTGTTGTGTTGCGGGATGCTGCTCTTGTAGGCGGTGCAGGTTACAAACGGGCGACCAATTTTGATTGGGAGGTGAGTAAAGCAAGCATTGATTCATCTATACAGTTTTCTGGACTTGAAAATTCTTACATCATGTGAATCTTTGTCCTATTAGCGGCGGAAAAATTGGCGCGACTTCTTCGATCTCAATGGAGCTCATGTCCAAAGGGTTGAGCCTCTCTTGATCAGCAAGGTACATATATTCACACTTTTGCTTGCACCATACAAGTTTCCTCATACAAACATAAATGAAATCTCAAAATTTCAAGTGTCTTTATTTGGTGATTATTTGATTCTTTTTTTTTTTGTTTAAATAGTAGGTTGAATGTGATATTCTATAAGATGAAATAGCATAAAACATAGTAAATGAAATTAAGAAAAAGGAAAAAAAAAATCTCAATGTAACCATAGCCTTAGAAGTTGAGCATTCTTTTCAATGTCAGACTAATTGTGTTGACTCACAAGCATCATATCAAGGTTCTAATTAATGCACAAATGCAAACACAGGTGAATACAGTTTTCCAGCTCATCTTAGTTGCAGCAGCTCTACTTCAACCGGATTTCGGAAATGATCAGACCCAGATTTACATAAACTATCTAAGGTATTTTTCTTGCATCACACCAGCATTGTCCAATGTATATGAAATATGAACAGCCCATTTCTCTTCAACCTGCATTGCAGTTGGTTAGTGGCATCAACAAGAGTGGCTTCTACAGAAGCATACGGTGGACAGTACTGGAAAAATGGAGCTTCATTGATGAAGTCTAGCTAGCTCTTTGAAGTCTGAAGAACACCAGTTACGAGTTCTGGATGATGCCCTCAATACCCTTTTCTCTTAGCTTAATGTGTTCTTTTATTTTTTTTTTTGTTTTATCTAAAGAAGAAAGTAAAGGCAGATATATAAGATCCCCGGTCTCTGTTTTTTAATGCTTCTGTAAGGGGGTCTATCAGTTCTAAATAATGCATCAGATTAGAGGTTATTATATTTTACTGTCCAAATAGTGAAGAAACACTTGAATCCTTAAACTGACAGAATTGAACTCAATTGGTCATCCTAAACCAAGACAAAAAAATAAAATCAAGACAAAAATCATAATTCAATCCAATCCTTCCTCAATCTCAGACCACATAGAAGAATTCTTGGAGAATTTCCCCTTCACCTGACTAATAATCTCCCTGGCTTCCCTAACCTTCCCAATGCCCACCAAGCCATACACCAGAGACTTCATCGTCGTAATATTCGGGACGAAACCCTTGGACATGCAATCCTTGCATACACTCGATGCTTCCTCAAAATCCCTCCCCTGACACAAGTAATAAGCCAATGTGAAATAACACTCAGATCCAGGTTCCATCCCTTTATCTATCATCTCCTTGAACAAGCTCTTCGCCATGCCCAGCTTCCTTTCTCTGCAGAACCCATACACCAAATGCCTATAGGTCGTCTGGTTGGGCTTCATGCCCCTTGCCAATATCCCATCAAACAATGCCTTGGCCTCATCTGATCTTTTGAGCTTGCATAAGCTTTGGATTCTGACGTTGTATATGCTAATGTTCGGCACTATGCCGTATTTCTTCATCAATGCTAAAATCATCCCAACTTCACTGAACTTTTCCTCCATGTAGAACCCGGCGATCACTGTGGTGAACGTTTTTGTATCCGGAGTTATGCCCTTCGTCTCCATCTCCGCCAGCATGGCGTGCGCCTCGCTTGCGCTACCCGACTGGCAGAACCCCCTGAGGACGACGTTGTAAGTGTCCAAATTCGGACGGAGATCGTACTTCATGGGGAATTCGAGAAAAATCCTCTTCATCACGCCGTATTCGCCGGCTAAAGTGCACGAGTACAGCAACGAATTCAACGTCTTCACGTTCCTCTCGATGCCCTTCTCAGGCATTTCGTCGAACAGCTTGATGGCGTCGTCGATAAGGCCGCCCTGAGCGTAGAGGATGATGAAGTGCGAAGCAGCTCGCTCCGATCTGTTGTGGAGTTTATCCATGGACTCCTTGATGAAACACCTGATTCCGTCGTAATGATTCGCATCTCTGAGCTTTGAAATCGCTTTGGAATAGGCAAGTCGGTCGTGGAAGGACTCGGGGCTAAGGGTGGCGGATCGGCAGATATCGAGGATCCGCTCCGGATTCTGTTCGCCGAGGATGAGGGGCAGCAGTGAGCGGGAACCGCCGCCGCCGGTGACTGTGGAGAGCCGACGCCATTGGAGTATGACTGACCTGAGCTTGCCGCAGGGCATAGCCATTATCCAAGTTTATATTAATAAGAACACATTTTTATATCTGCTGTTTATCTACCACCAAATTTTTACTTACTAATTTATGAATTTGCATGGCTTTTATTTATTTATTTTTAATAATTAATTGATTAACTATATATATCCTAAAAAAATTTTATTTAGTTAGATCTAATTTGATTGACTATATTTGATATCATACTAGTGTTGGCACTCCGGCGTTACACGGTTTCTATAAATTGTTAAAATAATATTAAAAATAATTAATTACATTCAAATATTTTGTACAAAGATACAAATATTCTTAAAATTAATCAAGAATTAATAGATATCATATTATTCAAATTTTTCAATCCAAATTATATTATTTTAAATATATTATAAACTAATTATTATAATTGTCATTTTTATTGTTCCTATTTATATTTAATTTTTTATTTCTAATATAGACCAAAAAAAAAAAAAATTACTTATATATGCTGAAAGAGTTTTGTTTAAAAGAGTTTTTAAATTTTTAGAATTTTTTAGTATTGTATATTTAAATATGAGTTGTAAAAGATTTAGAATTTTTTTAAATTTTTGTCTAAATATAAGTTCTAAAAAATTTAAGATTTTTTTAGAGTTTTGTTTAAAAATAAGTTTAAATTTTTTTAGAATCTTCTAGAACTAGAAAACAATATAAAATTGAACATCTAATCTGATATAAAAAGTTAGTTAGACGTAACATTTATAGAAAATAAAATTTAATATAATATTTTAAATAGAAAATAAGTATTTAATAGTTTTTATGTTATAAAAAAATATTATCATTTTTTCTATTTGTATGTTATTTAAAAAAATTGTTTTGTTTATAATAAAAAAATACATTTTTTTAACCACTTTTTAATAATTTTCTGAATGGAAAATACAAAAAAATATATATAAAAATAAAAAATACCTATATTTAAATTGATTTTAAATCAAATAAGTCTGTTTTTGACAAATAAAATAAAATAGAGAAAAATTATAAAGTTTAACAAAAATATATAATAATAAATATATATATATATGTACGAATTTATATAATACCTTTGTAACAAAACCTTGATAATCTTTCTCAGCTAAAATAACAATTTTTGTTTTTGTCATAGTTCTTGAATTTCTAAGGATCCGCTAATAATGAAATGTCGAGTTAAGTTGTCAAACCGGATGGAAGAGACGTTTTTGGATAGGAGGAAAACGATTATTTCCTTAGAACTAGAATAGGTTTGGATTTCATTATTGTTATAATTATATACATATATATATGGTAATTATAAACCTATAAATATTGATAAATAAGATTTTTGTTTTACAAATTTATAAATATCTTATAAAAATGTAATAAATATTTTGTTATAATAGAATTTTAATTTAGGTATAATTTAATTAAAAAAAAAAGATTTATTTTTCGTACTTTTTTTTTTGTTAATGCAATTCTCTATAAATATTACTTAAAAATTGATAGTATATATATTAATACAATATATATAATATTATATATTTTTTATCTACTCAAAAGAAATTACATGTAACTGTCTTCATTCAAAAATACGAAATATCTATATATTATGTATTTGAAATCAGTTCATAATTCTTTAATTCTGAAATTTTTGAAATTTGTCTGATATTTTTATTTCTTTTTGTTTTACAATTTTTATCATAATTTTAATATAGTGGTGGATATTTAAAATTTACATGATGGATATATATACAGCTTTTTAATTTTATAAAGTTTATTTCTAATTTTTTTTAATTGAAACTCATATTCTCATTTCTTTTAAATATTTTTCAACGAATTTTACTTTTATATTTATTTTAATTTAAGAAAAAGACAAATATAATATGCAGAAAGAGTGTAATAGGTTTACCGATTTGATTTTTTTTTTTAAAGTTAAAAAAAATCATTAGTTCTATACATTATATTTTATAATTACTTCATTTGATCTATATAGATTTTGATTTCAATTTGTACATTCAAATATCATATTGTATCACTGATTTTTTTTTTCCCAGATTTGTTTCATCATTTTTATATAAAAATTTTCAATATTTTTATCTTACTATTTTGGAGAAAATATATAATTACGGTATTTATTGTATACTTTTTATTTTTATACACAATGTGGGACGGAGGTAGTAAAATATACTCCCTCCGACCCAACAAAAATGCAATATTTTGTTTGGGTACGAGAATTTATCTAGTATAAATTAATTATTTAATAGTGAATATTATTATTTAATGATTAAAAAATTTTAGATTATATGTTTGAATATTTTAAACATTATATATCTCTATAAAATATATATACAATATCAATACTATTATTTAGATAATAAAATTTTATTAATACAAATGAAAAAAATTATTTATTTATTTATCATTACCATAAATTAGTTTTGTAAAAAAATAGAAAGTTTTAAAGATAAATAAAATATTTGTTAAGTTGGGAACATATAGAAATAAAGAGTTTTGAGTGGATCAAAATGTAAAATATTAAAATTTTAATTAAATTGATTTATATTTGGCATCATTTGTATTTGGCATTGAAATTTAGGTGAAGAATATTAAGTAATATGATTGAGAAGAGAGAAATAATTACTTAATTTTTTATTTGAATAATATAATGAGATAAAATGATGTATATATTAATATATATATATATAAATATTATTAATTATTTTTAAATTTGAAAATATTGCATTGAATTTAAGATAAACAAAAAAAGAAATATTTAGGAGTGTTTGGAACAGAGGTCATACAAAACTTTTACTATTCAAATCTGAACTCAAAATCCAATCCCTCAAACAAACACCAAAACAAAAGCAGAGTTTACTCAGTCCAATAAAAACGTGTTATTTTTCTCAAAAACTGTACTAAACTGTTTTATTTTCATGTCAAACTCATTCTACCTCTGCAGGTTCATCTATATCAGGTTCCCAACGGTCTCTCTTGTCAATATTGTTGTCTGATACGTGACCTTCAGATTTTAATTTGCTGTCTTTATCTCTCTTTCTTTTCGATGATTTCTTGAGATGACTGCCGTGATGTTTCTCAAGCTCACCCCTAACGTTGGGGTGCTTTTCGTGACGAGTACTTCTTGTGGTCTTTCTATATTCGAATTCCTCAGAATCATGTTTCCTTGGAGATTTATCTCGTTCCTCAACTGACCAATAATCTGGAGATACAGATACTTGCTCAAGCCACTGCTCCTTTGATCCGGCGCCATGGCTTTTCTTGTGCTGTTTCTCCCTGTGTCGTGTCGTCCTTTTGTGCACACGGTGATCATAGTGGTCGCTATCACTACCACTGTCACCATTGTCACGGTGCATGTTCATCCCGCCACTTTTACCACTTTGGTATTCGGATTTTCTGCTCTTACTGTGATGCCTCTCTCTGAAATTAGATGCATCCTCATCTAGAATTTCTAGTGGCTTTCTGTCAGCCCTTCTATGGCGCTGCCCATGAGCGCTGCTTCGAGTATTATCCTCGGAGTCCTTTCTTGATCTTCTCGATTCGTAGATTTCCCTAGACTGTGATCTCCTTGACCAGTGCCTGTCGAAAAGCTTGGACAGAGTGTGAGCAGAAAGTAGAGAATGGCCTAACAAAGCAACCTTCAGAAAAAATAAAATTCAAGGGCGGAAAGGAAATGGATATAATTTCATTCAAAGTATTAGAATCAATCAAAATAACATCTAACATTAGACAGATGTTTTCCATAACTATCCATGCACCTAATGTCGTCTTTTATATTGTCTTTATGCTATCAGTAGTATACCACCACATAAATTTTTGCGGCTAAACAGACTTTAACTATCACTAGAATTCATATACTATCCGTGGTGGTGTTCACGCATTGATTTTGAATCAAATGACTAGACAGGTGGTACACAAAGGAAGACAAGTTTTAGCATAATAGTTGCTTGTTAGAAAAGTGTGCATCAAATAAATGGTTGTCCAGTACCTGCAAGTATCATCGGTGGAAATTCTGCTGGAACTATGGATATATCTTGGGCTTCCTTGCTCCGAATTTCTGTCATATCCATATTCATCAGAATTACCAAACAACGCAGCCATCTTTGCCAGCCAATATTTCGGAGGTGGTTTATCCCAATCAGCCCATTCATAGTCTCCACCAGGATTCCGAAAGCAATGAATAAAGTTGCAGGTAGTTCCGCGAGAACATGTCTAGGAATAAATGTAGTCATCAGATATGGTGAAATAAATTGCAACTTCCAAGGGAAACCAAATGACTGTACATATGAACATATATAGCTTCAGAAATTATCCTCCTTTACCTGAAGCCTTGATTTCATAAATTCTCCGCATATAGCAACCTTCCATCTTGTTAACCCAACAAATTCACATTGAATCTATCAATAAAAATCAAAGTCAGTAGAAAAATATAAAGTAGAAACAGATGACAGATATAGTTAGCACAATACAATATGCATCATTACTCATGTTCAGTGAGCATCAAACAAACCATACTTAATAATTATACTGAAGTGCATATGATACATTTAAAGAAATTTCTTTACCCACCTTCAAACAAGGGGTTTATTCTACATCAGTTTTTCATTCAGGTGGTAAAAGATGGGAGTAAACTGAAGAATTATGTCCTAAAAGTGGACATCTAACTATATTTAGTGCCATCAAGTCAAAATTATCCATCTACATTGTTAAAAACACCTCTTGTATATGAGTTTTAAAGGGAATCAAATAACAAAACATTTGCATGCAATAAAAAAGAGACCTGTTTCCCTGCATAATATCGTCCATTCGCTGATTGATATGCCATCACAGCAGAATCCAATGACTTATAGTGCACATAGACATTTCCCCGCAAATGAGATGAGCCATTTCTGCATACCTGAGACATAGTCATATCTCTGTCATATGCTGAAACAGGTGATAGACAATGATTCATTGCATCTATTACTTTCCACTTTGTGGTGCCAGAGAAACATAACGGAAAAGTAATTTCCGTGCCTTAGGTAGATGCAACTTGCAGCTCACATGCAAAATGATGAATGCAAACAGTCATCAACAGAGAAAAAAATACAAAATATATATCCATGGCCGACCAATTTCCTACCTTGAAATTTACAATCTCCCCAAATTTCAAGAACTCTGTGTGCACATCCTCATAGAACTCTTCATAGGCACGTTCAACTTCTTCATCTGTGTGCTGGATAAAGAAGTATGACAAAAGATGATCATAGAGATATTTGCCATGATGAATGAACAGAAGTACTAGAAGACAAAACATATAGGATGCTAGATTGTAATATTAAAAACTACTCGGATACTTAAGATATATTTTGCACTCTCCACTACTAACACATACAAAATTAATAGACTAATCAACTAATGAGCTATCGAAATTAAACCATATCAGTATAAAACCCTTCTTCATGGCCATTCATGTACTGCAATTGCAGACATGAACAAACAATATAATTTAAACTGAAGAGTTAGAAAGTGTTTACTGTCTCAAGTAGAACCCTGTGCAGGTGTGAACACAGTTATGATATAGCATCGCAAGAAAAAGAATATAATGTTGTGGGAAAAATCAAGTTTCTTTTACTTTAACTATCTTGGATTCTATCTTATGTTGCTTCAGCCTCTACCATTATTAAATAAAAATATAAGAAAAATGAATGCTAATTAAAATCCAGGTAAAAGGATTTTGAATCCAGGTAAAAGGATTTTGAATCCATGTAAAGTTTAATAATTCACATGCATGAATCTTATTCCTGTGGATAAACTTCATATGCCAATCATGGATTTAAAAAAACATAAATATGTCTGCATTATACTGAAGGACAAAGGAACCTTGAGAGCAGTGAATGTCCCAGAAAAATACCTCTCATTCATTTACCTACACTAACCTAATTTCTTCAACATTGATTTGTTAGATACTCCATCTGTAATAAATTTCCCCATCTATAAAAGGATTAACTATCAGCCATCGTGTTATTTTACAGAAACATTTTGTTGTGTATCTAAAAAACCAGCTTCTGCATGACAAAGTAGAAAGGATAAATTGCAGAACATAATTGCAATGTTAGGTTCATGTTTGCAAACTTTTGTGATGCTACTCCAACAAAAAATGGACCATGAAAGAAAAACAAGTAGATTGAAGAAAGCAAACTCAAATTAGGACACAGCTGTTAAAGGCAGATAGTGGCCAACATAGTAAACACATATAGATTTAGAAAAGGGAAAAGATATCAATCACAGGGGACGGAAAATTCTTGTAAGAAATTTAGTTTGAACAAATACAAGGTTTAACAATGACAAATGGCAAAAAAAATCTTGAAATGTTCCCATACTCGATTACTACACAATATACTTATTCCTTAGGTATGCAGAAAAGATGGTCTTAACTCTTTGCTACTGCATGCAGAAAATACAGTATCCTGAAGTTTTCACACATACCAAACCTTAAGAGATCACGCAGGAGATCTGCAACATCCATGAAATAGAAGCTTCCCATTATACTAGTAGTAGTTAAGGAACCCGAGAAGTCAGATCACAAAAACTATGCCAAAAAGGATGATAAAGGAAATGAAAACCAAAGAATAACTGATCATTTTAATTATCAAGAGCAAACAGAAGTATCATTAAAGCTGATGTCACTCCAGTATTTGCTTTGCATCCATTCCCTAAGATCCCACATAGAAAGACTCAGCAGAGTATCGGCACAAAACAAACATCAACCATGAATATCATCTGATTCAATCAAGAACTCAAAGGCAGGAAGGGATGAATCCACATTTAGGCACACGTAACACTACTAATATCTATCTAATGTTTGGTCTTAAAAATTGAAAGGCATAGCAATAAACTTCAAATTGTTAGTTTCCCAACCAATCAAAATAAGAAATAAAAGAAACTGGAAACTTCATCAAAGCAGGTTGACAATTTTACTGCAGCCTACTAGAAATAAATAAGAACAGATGGCATGATTCTGCAAACAAACAATAATTTAGAGATCAGGATACTAAAGTCACTTGAAGACCTCATTAACAGACCTCAAGACCCTCATCCTGCTCCCAAGCAAGGCCAGGGCCATTGTACATGTTCTTAATTAGCAACGTGCAGGACTTGTCAGGATAAAAGTGAATTCTGCTACAACGTGAACCAAATCGACATGCTCCAGTTTTAAGGTGGAATGGACAATGAGCTTTATCCTGATAAACACATAACCAATAGATGTGATTTAGCTTCCCAGAGAAAAAAAAAAAAAAAAAAAAAGAAGTGGTGATTCAACCTATGAGAATGTCTTAGGTAATGATTTCCATGAAATTGATACGGAGGTAGACAAGAAAAAAGTTCTACCCGCTCTATTCCAAGCAACGGGTTGCAATGAAATTAAATAAACCAGACAAGGAAAAAATTCTACCTGCTCCGTTCCAAAGTTGGGAGTCTCCTGAGCAACATTTTCCAGTAGCTCTTGAGCTGAAAGATTCTTATAATCAGCAAAAGCTTCAGACTGTGGGGGTAGAGGATTTGATGTGGGTCTATTTGGATCCTACATTATTAGAGAACTGTATGTGTCAGCTATTCAGAATGAACATAATATAATGGTTTGGATGATTTACTAGCAAACCTCTTCTGCAATATGTTGGCTTTTATCCTTCTTTTTCACCCTGATCCTTTTCTTCTTGACAATAATTTCATTGCCCTGCCAAATAATCTCAGGAGGCCCATCTTCCACATACTCCCAGCCATTTTCATCTTCTTCATTTTCATCTCCAACCTGCATATGGCCCACGTAAGTTCAAGAAAGTCTAATCACTAAATAACAATATAGAAACTTGCAACAGATGCATCAACAAGATAATTAGTTTCGACGCACCAATGAATATGTGAATTAATATCCTGAGGGTAAAGAACCAATGTACATTAAAAAAAAAAAAAAAAAAAAACATGTCGCAGCAGTACAAATGATAATAAGCACCCACAATAATAATAATGATAATAATAACTCTTCTCTATAAGAAAGTAAAGAAACAACACAAAGTATTATGAACAATTTACAATCCCATGCATAGGTAATCCAAATTAAGCTCCCCGAAAATGAAAGTACGCAGAACCAAAGTGGAGCCAATTTCACATCATCCCACTCCCCATTTGAAGACAGTCCAAAGAGTTATTCAACCAAGTTTACAATGCAAAACACCACTTCTTCCACACAACTATCTTAAACTACAATAAAGTTCCACACAAACATTCTATGGTCAATTTGAAAAACTAGTTCCAATAACCTATCATTCAAAACTTAATCCCACAAAACCTATTCAACTATTCATTAGCAACAAACACTTTTCTAAGCTGATTCAGACATTTTCGATGTCCCTTAATAACCTAGTTTGCAACACATATAATCACCAATACCGCGTGCATGCCCAAAGATCATTCACTAAATTGTTTCACACACATATTCTTAACTTGTACTAAAGTTTGATAAAATTAAACGATCAAGTAAGAACACAAATGATGTTGTAGGTAGAACAGCTGTTTCCATTGAATGCAAGTTTTTGAAAAGTGGTGATGGGAGAGATCCCTGTAAAAGCATACGTACCAGGTTTTGTTTCGAGTGTTCTTCTTCCTCTGCAGCTTTCCTTCTTCTCTCCTCCTCCTCCGTCTGCTCCTCCGCCTTTCTCCTGTCCCATTCTTCCATAATCTTCCTCTCCCTCTCCTCGAATTCCTTCCATTCCTTTTCCAGTCTCAACTTTTCCTGCTCCTCCTCAGCTTGAAGCCTCATCACTTCTTCGGGGTCGTTAAGCCGAGCCTCCTCCTCCCGGAGCGCCAATTCTGCCATCTCCCGTCTCTTTTTCTTCCTCCTCTCCTTCTTGGCTAACTTCCGCCTCTCCTTCCCGCTGCTTGCCTTCATCCCGGTGAACGCGATAATCGTGTTATCGCAATTACCGTCGTCGTCATTATTTTCTGCTTGTTTTTCTTCGATCTCGTTATCCATGCCTTCCCGATCAGACATCACATCGTTAGGGTTTTAGAATTTGGGGATTGAATCCTGAGGCTCAATTTTGAAACTCCTCTGTATAGAATTGCCTAATTGGATTTTTTATTTTCTACGTTCAATATCAATTTATATTACATTATATTACTATAATTTAAAATTTATACTCTCAATAAAAAAATATACAGCGTTTCCTTGACAATCTAGAGCAACTTGCGATATCTTTCCAATTCTATATTCATATTCTTTAATTTTTTATAATATATTTTATATATTATTTTTAAAATTGAAAATTTGGGCCGGATAAGGGAGCGAAAATAATGTACCCGAATAGGAAGACACCGAATCCTCGGATTCGGGTTTGCCGCCGATTATTTTTAGCCTCCGTCGCTGTTCGTTTCAGCGGCGAAGAGAATTGAAAAGCGGAGGTAGAGACTTCGCCGGGAGTAGGGCATGACCACGGCAGCAACGCCAGCGGCTTCGGGAGACCCCTCCGCAGCGAATTCTAAGACGGTACTGATAACGGGAGTGAGCCGGGGTTTAGGCAAAGCCCTAGCTTTGGAATTGGCCAAGCGCGGCCATGTCATAGTCGGCTGCTCCCGCGCCTCGGATAAGCTTTCGTCTCTCCAGTCGGAGCTCTCGGCGGCCTCGGAGAACAGGAGCAACTGTGACAAACACATTATCATGACTGTCGATGTGGTAATTTCTTCATCTGTTAAATATTCTCAGGCTTCTTCTTTCATTTTAATCGTTTTTATCCTCTTTTACGTACTTTTTTGCATCGTTTTCTTTTCTGTGATGATCAGAGGTCCAACAGCAGCGTTGAGGTGTTTGCGCGTGCAGTGGCGGAGAAAAAAGTTGTTCCTGATATTATAGGTTTGTTAACATATTAAGTTTTGCTTGTTTTCTGTTGAAACTATTCTTCATTGTTTGCTAATGATTCTCAGAAATTGAAATGCATGTTTATTGAAAAATTAGTTCATTGGAGTTTTTTGGAGAGCAAGTGGCAAAAACTGATAATGTTATCATTTGAAAGCACAACTATAACATCATTGAATTTGATGGATCATTGGATATTTGGCCATGGCTGGAAAGCACTCTAACACGTTACCTATGTTGTATCTGTTATTGGTTAGTTATGCTGTCTAACTGATCTTCTGAGAAATGTCTCACCCACCCTGCAATAAATTATAGTTTCCGAGTGTTTAGGCTGCATCTCGCTGTCCGTTTTAGAAATTTCTTATGCTAGTCGAGTTGAAAACAAAGGAGGTAGTCACTAGCCAGCCAGCAAACAAAATTCTTAGGGCGTGTTCACTTGTGTTTTTGTTTCCATATTCAAACTGTGCAATCCCCAATGAATTTTTTATTTTTGCCCAAAACTATCGCATTCAACATTTTTTCGCTTTCAAAATATATCATCCAATACCTATTTTCCACTAAAAATGTTAAATCCATTACACCAGTAAACATACCTTAGTTTCCTGCTTTCTCTTTTTATAAACTGGAATGTGGAACACATATTTATTATCTGTGTTCAATAAATTTATTCTAACTACCTGCTAATAGTTTTGACGAAAATTTCTGAATCATCTGGACTAACCTGTGAAATCTTCCAGTAAACAATGCTGGGACAATCAATAGGAACAATAAGATATGGGAGGTCCCAGATGATGAATTTGACAATGTAATCGACACTAATATCAAGGGAACAGTTAATATATTACGCCACTTCATCCCACTTATGATTGAGAGAAAGACTGGGATAATAGTCAATGTGTCATCTGGATGGGGAAGGTCTGGTGCTGCGCAGGTAAGAAAAAGTTATCATGTGTCTTTCTTCTTAAGGTTCACTTATTGTTCAATAGTTCTCAAGTGACGTAAAATGTGGCTCCACTACACCTTGCTAGTATTTGGATAACTTATGATAATATTTTCTAATTTGATTGGTGCTCAACATTATAATATTGTAGATTTTGGCATGAAATAACCTGCTGGCAATTCCACAGAGCAAGGTGGTCATTTTAAAATTGTATTTAGGTGAAATATACCCTTGATGACAACTTTTTAAGTTCCCTTGCTCGAAATTATGATGTGGGTGTATGCGAGATATGTCATGCCACTCCACTATCTAGGACTTTGGCGTCCTCTGAATTTGCACTGTGATGTCTGTGGGCTGAGATTTTGTTAAATTATGCCAGGTGGCGCCTTATTGTGCTTCGAAATGGGCTATAGAAGGCTTGAGCAGGTCTGTTGCAAAGGAACTACCTCCTGGAATTGCTGTTTTGGCGCTTAGTCCGGGTGTTATTAATACGGAGTTGCTTCAGTCGTGTTTTGGAACTTCAGCTGCTCTATATCCAACGCCCGATTCATGGTATTGTGTTCTCTTTTCTCTGCCAATTCAAATTGCCAATGCAAAATGCAGGTCATGACTATGGTTTTAATTTGATTAATGTTTGTCTATCTAGATATTTTAATGCCATAACTAAAATATTTTACATTTATAAGAAGAATAATAAAGATTTTATAACCTTTTCTTTTCACTAGTGCTTAGGCTATAGCAGCTGAAGATGATAGGTTGCTTTCAATATTGATGTGTGGTGGGTGAAATCAGAATAATGTTTTTAATGCTAAATGAATGACAAATCGAAACAATGTCTGTCGACAGGTTATGGTTTTAGCTAAGACTGTCTATTCTCAGCTCAGAGTTTGAAATCTATTCAAAGTTTAAAAACGAGGCATCATGAGTTATTATTTTGCCAAATCATGTAGTTAATTGTATCGCCTAGTAGCTTTACAAGCAATTCTGTCCTTCCTTTTGCTATTAAGTGATAGGCATAGAACAAAGTTGTTGAAGCATGTTGACTGTAGAACTCAATTTGAGATGTCTTGATCCATTACCTTATCTTTATCCTGAATTCTGCCATTTAAATGCTCTGCTAATTTAAAAAACTGCACCTTTTCTTGGAATCAATATATTTCTTGAAAATTTCTTCTCACGCCCTTTGGTCTTTTCCGAGCAGGGCTCCAAAAGCAGCCACTATGATCCTTCATCTGACCGTGGCAGACAACGGTGCATCTCTCACCGTGTGAAGCTCTTGAATTGTTGGCTGACAACAATTCATCGGTTTGTTCAAATTCTCCTCACCCTCCGAGAGATTTTGTTGTGAATTCTTGAAAGATGAAAAGAATTGTGCAGATCTTCCAGTTGGTAATATTTTTCTTTGTAGAATGAATCATTCATGTCAATTGAATTTGTTAGGTTCAGAGTCATTCTAGTGTTTTTGCAGTTACTTGTGTCAATGCTTTCCTCCTTGTAAACTACGATTCCTTTACAATATACTCCATCTCTCTCACATAAGTTTCTATTTTCTATTTCCGTTCGTCTAACATAATTTGTCTTTTTTTTTTTGAAAATATAATTATACATTTTAATCGCATTTTAAATTTTCTATTCTATAACTTTTTAAAATTTAGCTAAGCTATTTAGTTATATCAGACTTAATTTATCTTCTTAATTACTTACTCATCTTTATAGAGGGAGCAAGTGATATGTTGTTGGCTCTCTCTCCCTATATAATATGTATACATCATTTTTATTCTTTTTTTGGTACACTTTTTGAAAGCTTTGGGCTATGTTTTTGGACAATTAGTATTGGATGATGTAGATAAGATCTTATAGAACCTTTGGTTTGCCCGAATGTTTGAAATTAAGGGTGTGTTTGTTTGGGGATTGGATTTTAAATTCACTGTTCATCTCAATTTTTTTTTTCTCCTAAAAATATCAAATCAAACGTTTATTTTTCATTTTTTATATTATACTAAAAATTAATTTTATATTCAAAATATCACATTAACACCTATTTATATCACATCATTCAACTATTCAAATTCTAACCCAAAATCTAAACCTCTCACTAAACAAACACACCCTAAGCAGATTTTATAATTTATTTTTATTATTAATGGACTAAAGAAAAAAAAATGTATGTAAATAAATAAAAATTTGTGGTTTGGTCTAATAAAAATGCAAAGAGGAGTTATGGCTCATCTTTCACCACCCAATTATCTCTTTATGGGTTACTGAATTTGATCAAGATTTTAACCACCCAATTATAACTTCGATTGTATTTATTAACAATAAATTCTAACAAAAAGGTAATAAATCAAATATTTCTTAATTTTATAAAATATTATTTTTTATTTAAATCTTTATTATTTAGACCTTATATTATAAAAATTAAAAAATACTTTTTTTTTTTTTTAACAAAACATCGTATAAACATATTATTTAAATAAAAAGACATAAAACTTCAAAATCTAATACAAACTCAAAATTTTATAAAATATTATTTTTATATTATCTTTTAATTTAAAACTTTATTATTCAGATATGATATTATCAGAAAATACAATTTTCTATTAACAAAATATCGTATAAATCTATTATTTAAATAAAAAGACATAAAACTTCAAAATCGAATACAAACTTGAGTTTGTTAAGTGTTTTGATCCGATTTTTTTAAAATGTAAAATATAGGGAATTATGACGGTAATATAAAATGAAAACATTATTATTTAAAAAGAAAATTCTTAGATTCTAGTTACAAAATTTTTGATACTCTTTATTTAGATTACTTTTTTTTAAAAAAAATATATATTATACTAAATATATATATATATATGATTTACAAATTATCACGAGTTGATCTTGTCATGTTTAAATTTGACTATGTTAGAGATTCGAGACTCAACTCATATTAGTTCGTTAAGAAATGTGAGTTGAAATTTTTATTTAAATTTAGATCCTTTAACAATTTTTTTTTTTTTTTTTTTTTGTGCTTGGGTCAGGTGGACTCATTAAGAAAATTAGTTATTTTATTTATCTAATTTTAAAAAGTTAAAATTTATTAATAAATTTAAATAAAATAAAATTAAATATAATATTTATAAAAATATATATATTTATTAAATGTAAAAAATACCAATTTCATTTTTTAATAAATGTTGTCGGAACAAACTCAATTTCGTTAACAAATATAACCCGTCAAAATTTAGGGGTATATTCAATTGAAATTTTAATGGATTTTTTTTATATTTTAAAAAGTCTATGGATTTATATGGATTTAGAAAATTAATTTCTACTGATTTGATTGAATTTTTTATGATTTATATGAATTTTGTAGGATTTTGAAATAATTTTTTATGAATATATTAATTATATAAATTTATATCAAACAACAAATTTTAATAATATAATAAATAATTATTAATCAGATAATATTTAATATTAATAAATAATATATATGTATTTACTTTTTATGTAAAATAGTTATATTAAAATAAATAAATAAATAATTTATAAGTTTTGAAAAAAATATTAAAATTAATAAATAAATATAAATTAATGGTTCAACAAAAAAATATATATTTAAATATTTATTTCACCTTATCGTAATGATAATATAGTGTATTCGATAATTGAAAAGAAAAGACATCAGTAATATAATAATATTATTTAAAATTATATTTATAATATAAAAATATATATTTAAAAAAATCATAATAATTTGCTAATATATTTTAGTTTTAAATTATTATTTTTATTAAAAAATATAATAATAGTAATCAATATTATCATATTATTGATCATATATACAATAATAATAATAATAATAATAATAATAATAATAATAATAATTTTAAGAATACATTAAAATCTGTGATGGCAATGAAAAAAATTTTTCTATACAAAATTTTCACAAGAATCCATTAAAATCTATAAATTATCTCAAAATTTTAAAAGATATATTGAATACCTAAGATTTTACGAAACTTTTAAAAGTCAATCCTACAAAATCTATATTGAATAGAAGCCGGCATATCCGTTTCAGCTCCTTACGCTTCTTGAACAAGTTAAACTTTATTTATTTTACAATTCTACCCCTATAATCTTACATTCAATGTAATACTACTAATTTTATTTTATTTTATTTTATTTATTTAAAAAAAGTGTATTTAAACAGCCACTTCAACCAAACAAACTCGAGCGTGAACTTGTTACTCAAGAAAAAATTTAATATATTATAAATTTAGAGAGAGAAGTAGACGTGAAAAATCTCGCACTCGCCATGGCTGCGGCTGTGGCTGTGGTCGCTCCTTCTCCGTTTCTAGGACGAGCTTCATTTGATACAGTGAGTGCTTTGGATTTTCTGTTTTCACTTGTTACTCGGTTAATTCTCGTTGCCAGCGTATTCGTTTGTGTTTTTTGCTTAGAGTTCTGTCATTAGAGTTAGCAAGTGTTTGATTCGCATTTGTGAGTGCTTCTCATTCGGTTGAGTTACTATCGGAATTTAGGATCATTATATTAGTGGTACTTGATGAAGTTGTTGGTTATTTGGCTCAGTTTTTTTACACTCTTTTAGTTTTCCCTAATAACCGCATGTGGTGTGTTTGAACTGACATTTTGAACTCATTCTTATCGCCTATCATGCTCAGAGAAGAAATAGAATGTTGTTTATCAAGTTATAGGACCTTGTATGTTTAATCTGTTAAATGTTCTTATTTCAGAATTTAGTTATAATAGCAGATAACTATTGTCGCACTACTATTTTATTTTTATTTTTTCTTTAATAGTTATAAGCAGGTGATTTCCATGGAAGATGGAAACATCAAGTACAGATTCGTTCAAAGCTTTGTATGCATTTGTTTTGAGTTGAAAGTACTTGATTTTTGGGTGTTGTTGTAATTGTTTTGTAATGCGGAATGAGTGTAGAAATTTCTCTTTGATGAAAGTTACATGGATCCATGGTTGAGTGAAGAGTTGGTTCATTTAGGCATTTAGCATTGGTTAAGGAATGTTGAAGATGTTTTTGAACAGGAGTTGGACAGTTTTGCAGGGTTTAGTCAGGAATTTATTTGTAATCATCACTGAACAATGATTTTTAAAAGGTTTTTTTTGTAAAGGATTAAAACAAAAAGGGAACTGTTGGCTGAGCTGAATATCTTTAGGCATAAATTGGATTATCATTGAAAGACTTGAGTGTAAGTTGACTTCCTTTAGCATAAATCACTTATCTGTTGTAACTATTTGGATTTGTTTGTTGCTATTGATATTTTAAGGGTGGGGTCTTATCCTTTACTAACTTCAGGTAAATGGACATGAAATACCCTGTAATTAATCCATGTTTTAGTTCCCGCGTTATCTATGTTTCAGGTGCCCTGTAGTTAAAAGAAATGTAGGCCTAGGAATGTTTTTACTGTTTTTGAAGTTTGTTGCTTTCTACTTTTGATGTTTATGAAATACCCATAATTAATCCCCGAATTAGTTCCCACATTCTCTATGCCTCAAGTGCTCTATAGTTAAAAAGAAATGTAGTGAAAGGGATATTCTTTACTGCTTTTGATTTTGTTGCCTTCTACTATTAATTTTTATGGTGAATTATTGATATTGATGAGCCATATCATACTGTTATTACCTGAAATCTAAGGCTTCCTTTACCTTCAAGGATACTGTCCTTCAGTTGCACTTATCATTCTCCAGTTGTTTCTCTTTCCACTAATTGTTTCATTTTGGCATCTTAAAATTATCTGCTTAATGTAACACTTGCCTGGTCCATAACTTATAGAGGAAAACACCGTTCGAAAGGTCAGATGTGAGAGTCAGATTCAGCATAAAGGCCATATTTTGGGGTCAGAGAAAATCTGTGGAGCCCACCAAATTGGAGAGATCCCTTGGAAACTTCAGTTTGACAGAGTCAGGGTCAGAGGTGTTTTTTTATGGTCCTTCAAATATTTTGATGTTTGGGTTGTTGCTGCCAATTTGCTGATGGTAATTGTATGCAATTCTATTCTATGTAGGGAGGCACTAGTAATGAATCCAGAAATTTATCAGTTCGTGTGGTTTCATCCATATTAGAGATTTCACCACAGGAGTGGGATGCTTGCAATCTTGATGTTACAGGCCTGGAAAAATTTAATCCATTTCTTACACATGGTTTTCTGTCAAGTCTTGAGGAATCAGATTCTGCAGTGAAGGTTGGCAAGTTCTCTTTATGTGCAAGTAGCTCATGATTTGTTTGAAATGCATTCATGATCATTAGCTATACACTTTATTTAACTAGATTTTCTTTCTTGCACGTGAATTGTGTAGGTCAGTTTAACTAAAATGTAGGTATTTATTAATTATTACAGAAAAAACACATGATTCTTGATGGACTAGATCACTAGAGATGAATTATGTTTCTGAATGATGCTACTTCTTTTATGCTGCACTTCCAATCGGTCTACTATAATGGGTTTCAATAAAGCATAGTATGTGAATCAGACTATCAGGAGGCGCACTTGCTCATTTAGATCATAAATAAAGTATATATTAACTTAGCTGTGTGAAGAAAAAGTCGTTAGTGGCTGTACATCTCTATCTGTTGCATAAGGTAGCTTTAGTTTGGAAATTTTGATGTTTTGAAGCCTACAAAGCTTAACATTAGATGCTATGAGGCCAATAAACTGGATATACACATCTTAAGATTAATGCTATATGTTTGCTCTACTCAAAAGTGCTTTTTTGCTTCTATTTGTGCATCTGTTGCATTTTGATCTCTATGGTTTGCTCTCATAATTGACATAAGGATTGTACTCCATTTCAGAATACAGGATGGGTTCCACAGCATGTCATTGCTCGGGATGACTCTAATAATGTTCTTGGAGTAGTGCCTCTCTACCTGAAAAGGTTTGTTTTTGTTTGCAAAATTTTTATAATGTATTTTTAAATGATTGGTTTCTTGTATTCTGTTATTGGTGTACCATATACCTTTTCTATACGAGTAACACATTTAATCGTGCAGCCATTCTTATGGTGAATATGTGTTCGATCATTCGTGGGCAGACGCTTATTACAGTTATGGATCGAGATATTATCCAAAATTACAATGTTGTGTACCTTTCACTCCAGTAACTGGCCCGAGGATCTTAGTACGTAATACAAAATACAGAGATCAAGTTTTTGACATATTAGCCTCTTCATTGGTCGCCATGACAATTGAGGTATATCCCCTGGTCTAAACTATCTTTACTTTAAATTTGGGGTGTACTTACATTTTCAGGAACATTCTCCCTGTTTCAATACTTGTGCCTTTTTAATTTTCCCTCTCTTTAACTGCAAACTGAAATCACCAGTGTGACCCTGTCCCGTTAAGTTTCTGTACTCCACACGTGTGTGAATGGACTTTGAATGCATACTAACTATTAGTGGCATATTCCTGATACAATGTTGATCACACAACTAAGAATGGGTGACCTACCAGCCGCTGCATGACTAAACATACCAATTATCACCAAATTGAAAGCAAACTCTAAATTTTGTCATTGGATCTTGAACTCTTAATAAGATTGCTTATGTGAGACACGTTGATATCACTAGATTTGATGCCGTGAATCCTGCAGCAAAAGCTCTATTATCAAATGTGCCTCTGCTCATAATAAGACCTAAGATTTGATAGAACTAAGTGCCACTAATCTGCAAGTGCTACATGTATGTGCATTATCTGGTTTCAGTTTTTTCTTCTACGATTACTTGGAATCTCCCTTTTTTTTTTTTTTTTTATATATATTACTACTTGTTTCTAATTTGTACCTGTGCCTTTCCAGCTTCAGGTTTCGTCACTTCATATCACTTTTCCCTCTGAGGATCAGTGGGAGAAGTTGGAGGAGAAGGGTTTTCTTCGAAGAATTGGAATGCAGTACCATTGGAAAAATCGAGATTATAAAAAGTAGGTGCTTTTGTTAAATGTTAGTTCTGGCTTAATGAGGGAAAAAAGTATAATTGGAAACCTAAAGAGCAAGTGAAATAAGTCACATTAAAAAGCAGAAAAATCACTGAGCGGAGTATAATTTCTAAAATTATTGAATGGTCAAGTGTCTGAGCTATGACTTTAAGAAAGTAAATATTATCTCAAATTTAGTATATACTGCATTATGGTCCTATCCCTTTTGAGAATGTATTAAACCATGTATCTTGATCTCAAATTGATCTTTGTACTGCTGAATGCAACGCAACAGCTTTGACGAGTTCTTGATGGACATGAAGCAAAGCAAACGGAAAAATATTCGTCAGGAGCGCAAAAAGGTAAATTTAAATATGATCTTTAAATTTTTTATTTCCTTCTTTTATTTATTTATTATTAGTTATTTTCTCGCTGTTAATCAATCAGAAGAGGTTTCAAGAACTAAATAGAGATTAGAGAATTCCCAAATAGGACATTTGTGTTTAGTACATTTAGTTGCTAGATTTCTATGCATTAGTGTATATCAAAAAAATTAGTTTTCAGTTGTCTGCTGATTAACATGCAAAACTTGTATTATACCTCCAAACTTTTGATGCCAAATTGTAAAAAAGGACTTTGATTGATTTAACCACAATAGAAAAATAAATTATGATCATTTGGACTAGAACCTACCAAGTTTGGAACTTGAAACAGTTATGTCCAAAGAAAAACTCAAATTCCAGATCCAAATTGAAGGTTTTTTTTGGTGTTTAACGGGACCAGAGATTGGGGACTGATTAGTGATGAATGAACTATCACGTATTCCATTTCAACTTGTTTGTAATTCTGGAATTTCTTTGGTCATTATTGGTGCATTCGAGTTGCTATTAGCGCCAATAAAATTCTCTCTTACAGATTTCTACCCAAAATCTGACCATGAAACGCCTTAGAGGAAACGAAATCAAGGTATGTCTAGAATTATCAGCATTCTATCTCTGTTGCTACATTACTAAAATTTAATACTGTCATCTACTTTTAAGTATTACTATTTTTGCAAGCTACCATGAACCTTAGATGCTTGCTAACTGCAATTGCCTCTGTCATATTGCCAGGCTAAACACTGGGACATGTTCTATAATTTCTACAGAAATACGACCGATAATAAGTTAAGTTTGTTCACCAAACCTCAAGTCTCGTAGTTTAAATATCTTCATCACTCCATATACACATATTAAAACATATCCATGGTGGGAGTCTATGTGAGTTTCATCGGCAGTATCTATGCAGGTGGGGCAGTGCATATCTAACAAGGGAGTTCTTCCACACTATGGCTTCGAAAATGGGCGATCACGTCCTACTTATTACTGCAGAAGAAGGGGACGAACTTGTCGCCGGAGCCCTTAATCTTATCGGTGGAGATACACTATACGGCCGTCTATGGGGATGCCTCCCTCGGGCATATTACCCTAGTCTACATTTTGAAGCCTGCTACTACCAGGTTCACTTTTTCTGAATCACCCAATGTATCCGTTTACTAAACTAGTGACGAGGCTCGTTAACAGAATGTTTTGCAGGCTATAGAGGCAGCAATCGAACTTAATCTTCAGACAGTGGAGGCCGGCGCCCAAGGGGAGCACAAAATACAGAGGGGGTATATGCCGGTGAAAACCTACAGCTGCCACTATATTGCGGACGATGAATTCAGGGGAGCCATTTCAGATTTTTTGGCACGAGAAAGCGCTCAGGTAATAAATACATTAATCGCACGCCAATATACTCGATATGCTTATGCTATGAATTTAAACTATTGCTTTTTCTACTCACAGCTCGAATATGTAATGAAGGCGTTGCAAGATTCTGGTCCGTTTAAGGACAACATAACTTGACAGCATTCTTCAGTAAGAACTATCTTTGCTCTCAAATGCATAGATCAATTATGCCTGCTTATTGTGCTGCTCTACAGCTAAATATTAGCATAGGCTGCTGTAGTTGGAATCAAATCCTGTATATAAATGACAATATGGTACAGTGATTGCAGTATTCAAATGCAAATACAAAAGAAGAAAATATAATCATCATTTTTCATGCATTTCCAATACATATCCAATTGTAGGCATTTTACATCTCGTATGTGGCTTTGCTTTTCCTCGTGTTTTCGCCTAAACTCGAATGTGTTGCACCTAAGTATTTGAAAGATGTAGCGAAAACCATGCAGTATTTCTGTAGATATTGCCTGTTTCCTTTGCAAGCTTATTTATTTTCATGTGAATATAAATACCAATAATAATAATAACAGGAGAATAGAGCATAGTTGGACAAACCGTAGATGATTGATAGATGAGTGATGGTTGAATTACTTTACTTTACTTGACTTGGGATGAGTGATGGAGCCCAGGGTAGAGTCCCAGCACGTGCTCCGGCATAAAATCGTGCCTCGTTAAGATCCCCACTATTGGTGGCCTCTGCAATTACATGAAAAATGAAATACTCAATGTAATTGGAAGACCAATTGACATCGGAAATTTGATCCTATGATCTAATGGTCATAAGTTCACCTAGACCACTAGTTTTAAAAGTTGTTTAGGCTAATTTGTGGTCACACATAGATATAGGCATAGGGATTGAAGAGTTCTTACCCCGGGTTTCTTCGGGACGACGCATAAATGTCTGAGACCGAGCTCCCGGAATAGGAGAGCGGCTTTGGCGAGCGACATGGTCTCAACCACCGTGTACGGAGAGGTGTTGGTGATGGGATGGAGGTCGACGAACATCTCCATTTCCTCCTCGCTCACCTCCACGTCCTCGATTTTGAGTCCCTTTCCGGAACCAGGCTTGGCGAAATCGAATGCATGGAAAACTCTTAAAATTTCTGATCCAGACGTCACCCTGCTCTTAGTGAACTTCTTCCTTTTCAGCACAACAAGAAGATGGGATCTCAAAACCAGCCCACAAAGCTCCGGTGCATCGGAGAATGGGGGCTCATCAATTACCGGGAACCCGTTGTGTTTGGTCATCCGTAGAGCGTCCACTATATTCCCGACTTTCTCAACCCCCGAAAGCGTGATCAACGGTCCGGAACAGACATCCCCGGCTGCGAGATGCCTCATGTACGGCTCCGCATGTGCTTCCATGTACGGCAGACCTTTCATCTTCACTATTTGGTCGTAGACGCCTTTGTTGAAGCTGTCAGCGACCGTTTTTGAAATGAGGAGGACGAGCATCACCAACGGGAGCATCAGGAGGTTATCGGTGAGCTCCAAAAGTATAACGCAGAGAGATACCGTCATTCGCATGGTGCCTCCGAGGAACGAAGCAGCTCCGAGAAGCGAAAACAGTCCGACATCAAGGGTGGAAATGTTACCTGTTGGAGTAACAACCAAAGTATGTGACATATACTATCCTTTTATAAACTAATGCTTCAAGAAGGAAGTACCTAAAAGCCTTCCAACGAGGCGGCCGTAGGAGGCTCCGGCGAGGATGACGGGGATGAACAGTCCGGACGGGATGGCGATCCCGTAAGTGATAATACCAAGGAAGTAAATCACAATGAAGAATATGACAAGAGAGAAAATCCGAAACTCCTTGTTGTTATGAGAACTGAAGAGGTTCCTGATCGCGTCGTCCTTGGTGTTGAGCAAGAGCGAAGCGAGATCGTTGTAGTATCCGCCCGAACACTGGAAGCTCTTGTAGTTGCCAGCGCGGTCAATCGTTGGGCACGCATCCTTGATACCTTCCGGGCACGGCGTGCACGGCGCAAGCCATGGAATACCGTATGCGCAACAAGAGGTTATAAGGGAAACGACGAGAACAAGCAGTACTTTGAAGGCAGGACCTCGCCTGCAGACGAAGATATGTTGTATTAGATAAATATTCCTAGCTAATAGAGGAGTATAAGGAGTCGATTCTCGTACTCGTTGATGATGCTGTATATCCTCAGAACCTTGTCAACGAGATAGTTGTAAAGGGAGCCGAGGAGGCCTCCAAGAACGCCAAGAAATATAATGGCAAGCAGATCGATTGTGTCGTAGTTAGGAGATGCAGAGTTCACGTCAAACATTATCAGACCGCCTTTTCCGAATAGCCCACAAGCGCCGCTGCGGCAGAATTCTATTAGAGATCGTAATATGACCGCTACAACAGCAGTTGTGAAGAAGGTCCTCCAAAGAAGAGCACTTCGCCACCTGAAACGACAAACATTTGAGTAGTAAAGATGTTAATCGGTCGAGCTAAAAAAGGGATGGAAGATGAGATATTTACCATGAGGCTGCTTCTTCGAGTGCGAATAGGACACCTCCGACTGGGGCTCGGAAAGCGGCAGCCACTCCGGCAGCAGCCCCACAAGTAATCAGATCCCTTCGGTCTCGATCATTTTTGAAGTATCGTAGCCATTTCCAAGTTAAGTGATACTTCCTGGAGCCTCCCTGTCCTAGTAAATTTGCTATACAGGCACCCGTGTGCACCATAGGTCCTTCTTTACCAACAACAAACCCCGCAGAAACACCAAAAACAGAACCAAAAATCTGTAGAAATTTTCGAGTTGTTGAGTTTGTTAATCAAAATGAACATAAACATGACATAAAATATACACAATCACAATAAACAAAGAGGGTATAATGCCATGGAAAAGATTAGAGAGAAACCATGCCAGATTCAAGGTGTGAATGATGAACGTCGATAACATGACAAAACTATCGATGAAAAGTAAGCATTTTTACGGAACAAAATGTTGACAAATTGCTCTCCATGGAATGCATTAGGCATTTTTGTTTCAAATTTGATTTGTTCCAAGGATCTATGATGGAAGCATTTCACACTCTGTTGGAAGACTACATAATGCATAATTAATGATGTATTTTTCTACTAATTTAAACTTTTAGTCGTTTAACAAACTCAAAGGTAGGATCCCTCGACAAAATACATAAAAAACTGAACAAGAATAGAAGGCTTATTGAGTTCAAAACAAGCTCATATTTTTTTTCTAATTCAGCTAGCATATCTTCGCAACCGACAAACTGCAAAACCATATAATCAGAAAAGAACCACAAAAAAAGGTTCAATAACACACCTTTACAAATAGGGTACTTGGAGCCAAAATGGAATGAGCATCTATACCATTAAGATAGGCCTTCACCTCCGGGATGCCAGACCCGGCTGCTGCAGGTGCGATAAATGCACAAAGAGATGCAGCAGAAATTGCAAGTATCGCATTAATACCAGCAAATGCTGCAAATGCCTGAAAGTACCTGCACTCGAATAAAATGTTTCATCTTTACTTCGAAAAATATATATATCATTAAAGTGGAAATCAAAAGGTAATGTCCTGCAAGGCCAGGAAATTCTTCCACCATATTTATAAGAAACAAGGGAGTGAAAATTTTAACGAGGCTGAGAGAACAAAGATAAAATAAATGAGAGCATTTTCAAATACTTGCTCCAAGTAAAACTCAAGCTGGAGAAGTACTTCCATTTGAACAGGTTGACTTATTATACACATTCAAAGAATTAGTCACCTAAATGCGACGAGAGTGTATCAAACTTCCATACCAATAATCTAAGGTATTGGCAAACACTAAAAAGAAATTTATAGAACTTAAGCTCAGAAATGATGATCTAACATTTTGCTCACATTCTCCATTTTGCGACAAATTGTTGCAACAGAGAACGGGTAATAAAAACAAATAAGTGACCGGTGCCAAAGAGTTATTGGGAGTTTATAGAGGATGCATAACATTAGAATACGAAAACAAAGTTATGCTTGGCAAGACATATTTTATTTGTGAAACCCAACAACCAAAGGACAATCATCAAGTTCATATTTTGCAGAAATTCTTGAGCTACAGATCAACTAAGTCATCAAATCCGAAGTTATGATTGGCAAGACATATTTTATTTGTGAAATCCAACAACCAAAAAGGATATCAAGTTCATATTTCGCAGAAATCCTTGTGCTACAGATCAACTAAGTCATCAAATCCAAAGCTAACTTAGTCACAGTTCAGAATCAGGCTTACTTCTTATCAAGCATCAGATTGCTGGTGAGCAAAAGCTTCAAACCAGCAATGTTTTCAACAGCAAGGTTATTGAAGAAACCAACTAGCCCCGTAAAAGATCCAATGAGAAGCACAAGTGTCCACTTGAGAACAACATACTGATAAATTTCAACTTTTTTCCTAGATCTCCAGTCCTGCTTAATAAGCTCATTTTCGATAATCCTGCAACAGAAAAATAGCAATGAACTGAGAAGGATTTACCTGAAAACAAACTAATGCAGTAAAAAATTTTCAGTTAAGGAATAAAGCACAATAAATCGGTAGTTCTCCAACTGCACTTGCATCGAAAATCGAAGCAGAGTTTGATACAGAATGCATAAATACACCAAATTAAAACTTGGCATTCTTGATTATCAGAACAGGCAAACAATCATGTTGGTGGGGCAGAATGTATTCATAGAACTTTTTTTATCATCAATTGGTGGTTCTGAGTGCAAAATCAGTAGCAAGTCAAGAGCTCCTTGGATAAATCCGTAGAGCATCGAGAATGAAATCGATCCGACAATTCAGTTAGTTATTTCTCATTTCGTGAAGATCTTGTTGTTTCACCGAAAGGAACAAGAAAAAAATCAATCCAAAAGTAGAAATGGACTCTAGAAAAGCAAAGACAAAGCCATACGATGCTGCTTCAACCAAAACTACAAGTTTCTTTTAGAAGGTACAATTACAAACCTGCATGTGAGAAATCAAACGATTACAAAAACCAAAACAGTCAGGCAATTTGAGATCGATTCGACAGCGGAGCAGAAGATAGCAGCAGAAGAATTATCCAAAGGCAGAAAAAAAAAGGAATTCGTACTCGTAATCGAGACTCTCGATTGGATAAACCTTGGAGCCAACTATTGCTATTTGAGAACCTGTGTTGACTCTGCTCTTGAGATTCAGAAGCGGCTCTCTGGCGCCGCCGCCGTCCCTCTCGTAAAACGACGACGCATTGCTCTCCTGTCTTCTCTCAAGCCACCGCTCCTGTCCTCCTCCGCCTCCGCCTCCGCCTCCGTCGTTCTCTATATCACAATCATTCTCATCGCGATGATCCATTGAAAATTGAATCGCGCTGCCGCCAAAATATTACAGCCAAGCGGAGGAGCTCAGACCGAGTACTCCTGGAGCTCTCTCTCTCTCTCTCTCTCTCTCTCTGTACAAACAAGTACAACAATGGAGACTCAAATTGCAGAAACAGAAACAGAAACAGAAAGAGCAACAAGTCCGAGATCAGAGATATGTGTTGTATAAGGAAAGAGGAATAGATTCTGGAGTGAGAAAATCGGTCGTGATCCGAAACGGAGCCCGCGTCGAGTCGAAGCTTTTGTACTTGGCATCCATGGCGCCCCGTGAAAGTCACATGCGGCTGTGGCGATTGCCAGTAATTTCCTCGCTGTGAAATTTCTGTTATGCCCTTCGCTTGCCCACCCATTTGTCCATTATTGGTTCGCCTTCCGTTTTCCAGACATTTGGGACTAATTCCTATCTTTTATTTAATTTAATAAAATTATTTATATCACATAATTCATGTGTGTTTTTGTTTGTTCCTCCCTTATTTCTGCATCTCATTTTTACTTTTTGTTACTTTTTTTTTTTTTTTTCCCGAAATGGAGTAATTTTTTTATTATAATTTTCAATATATACTACTCTTTCACGTTCAATTTTAATTGGCATTTTTTTTTGTTCATTTTATAAATAATTTTTATTTTAGATAACATTTATTAAATTAATAAATATAAATAACTTAATTAACTACTTAACATATAACATTCACTCAAAATTTTTTATTTTTATCTCTTCTAAAAAAATTATTTATATTTAAAATTTAATATTTGTAAAATTAGTTTAGGCTAATTATAAATAAATAAATTATTTTTTATTTACTTGTATTATAAAAAAATTTTATTCTCTATAAAATAATATACATATTGCATATATTCTTTATTACGATATAATTTTTAAAATATTTAAATTATTTTTTATTTAATTTAGGAATTTTTTTTTGTTCCTCTCATAACATATATATATTTTTTAAAAAATAAATTTATATATTTTAAATATATTTAATAAATATAAGTAAATTTAATTAAATTTAAATTTAAAATTAATTTATTTCTACCTTTGTACTCAATAAACAAATATTTTTTTCTATATTTAAAACTCTCCATTTTTTATAAAAACTAGTCTAAGTTAATTACAAATAAATAAATTTATTTTTTATTTGTTTGTATTATATGATATTTTATTATTTATAAAATAGTATTTATATTATTATATAATGCTAAAATTATTTAAACTTAATATTCTAAATTTTTCTTAATCATATATATATTTATATTTTTAAAATATCAACGACATTACTTATATAAAAAATAATAAAATAATAAAATAATTTATTATTAATAATTTACTAATTTATATTTTCTAAATAATTGTAGTCGAAATAACTAGGTCATCTATTATCGGATAGAGTGAGTATTATATAAAAAAATAATTTAAAAATAAAAAATAAAATTGTGTGAGTTAACTGTTAAAATTACATTAAAAAAAATAATAATAAAGGAAATCCGTTTAATCTTATCTTAATAGTTTGATTCTTAAATTTCTTTAATTTAAAAGAAATGTACATATTTTAAATATAATGTATATTATATATTATAATTTAAATATTAATAATTATAATTTTTAACTATCATGAAGTAAAATAAAATAATACAAATAAGAGTTTGTTTTTGTGGTGATTTCAAACCGAAATGTAACTATCGATATCTTTTCATTTTAGTTAAAATTTTCAAAATCAAAATATACTTAGGGTGTGTTTGTTTGGGGTTTGGATTTTAAATTGGGATTTGAATAGTAAAAATTTTAAATTTGAATAGTTGTATAATGTGATATAAATAGGTGTTGACGCAATGTTTTGAATGTAAAATTAATTTTTAGTATAATATAAAAAATAAAAAAAATAAGTGTTTAATTTGATGTTTTTTAGAGAAAAAAATATTACGAATAATGTAGTTAAAATTCAATATTCCAAACAAACACACCCTTATGCAAAGTACTTTTAACTTCTGCTTCTAAAAAATATTTATTTTTATTTGTATCAATTTTGTTCAAAAGCATAAGCAAATTTTGGACTTTAAAAGTGTTTTTTTAGAAGGCACCTCAAGTGCTTCTGAAAAAAAAAAGTAGAAGCAGTTTTACAATTTAAATTACTATTTTATTCTTATAATAATTATTACTTTTATTATATTATATTAAAATAAATTAATTTACTTATATATTATATTTAAATTAGAATGTAATTTTATTGTATTTTAATTATTAATTTATATATTATATCTAAATTAAAATTTTAAAAATATAATTTTAATCCTATAGTATATAATTTAATATCTGCAAATATAATCAATAAAGTTTAAAATAATTTATAGAGTAATTTAAATTTACTTAAAATTAATTATATTTTTTAAACTACAATCATATATGAAGTAGAGTATATCGAAGTATTTCAACTCACCCACCGGCCAGTTGGGAATAATGGCCTATTGGGTGTCTTTAGCCATATTTGACGTATTGTCAATAACCTATTTTCTTTTTCCTTTTTTTTTAAATGAAATTAAATTAAATATTTATCTTTTGTAAAAGATATGATTTTGTTTAGACAGAAAATTTTGAAACTCTTTTAAGTTTTAAAATTTTTTAAAAAAATAAAAAATTAACATTTAATATGATATTTATTTTTGTGAAAAAAAAATATCTAATGTAATATATTTTTCTATAATTTTCAATAGAGACAATTTTAAAGTATTGTGTAAATAAAGTCATATATATTAGTATTTTTTTATTTTTAAACCATCTTAAAATTTGTTTACTTGGAATATATACTGTTTTAAATAAAATAGTAATAAAAGGTCACATATTCAATAAAAAAATAAAAAAAAAAATTGCTTAATTTGCATTTTAAATTAGAATTATTGTTATTTTCAAAACAAAATACTTTATAATATTTGTTTTCTTTATAAAATACTATTTAAATAAAAATTTAAAAATTTTAATTTCAAAGCAAAATCAAACAAATCCATAATGTTTAGAATTTGTTTGTTTAATGTTTACGGGTGTGTTTGTTTGAGAATTTGATTTTTCAATTGAGATTTGAAATAAAAATTTTGAATTAAAATAGTTGTATGTTAAGTGTTGATGCGATCCTTTAAATATAAAATTAATTTTTATGATAATATAAAAAAATAAATATTTGATTTGATTTTTTAGAGAATTTTTTTTTGATAAATAATAAAAAAATTGAAAAAATATGTCAAACTATAGTTTTTAATGTTTATTTATATATTTATGAGCCCGTACATACTTATAAGGTGTGTAATTTTCTTTATAATTTTCAATTTGCCCCCAACAATACCACCTTAATCGGGACCGACCTAATACCGCAATGAGACAATTTCCAATTTGCCCCCCAACAATACCACCTCAATCGGGACCGACCTAATACCGCAAGGAGACTTTCAACACAAGGCACATCCGCAGGTCACGAGGTCGAGCCCACCACCGCAACCAATGTTCAGTGGAGTTCACTTTGAACTTATAAGGTGTGTAATTTTCTTCACAATTTCCGATATGAGACTTGGTTTTGCCCCCAACAGTAGGGTTTGTTTGGTTGTTTTGTAAAATATATATATTTTCTTAAAAAAAATTAATATATCACATAAATTTATTATTTTTATAAAAATAATATTTTTAAATCTCACGTAAAAAAAAAATATCATATCAAATAATTCAACAGAACAAACAAAATTTGGTGAGCAAAATAATTTATATTTATATATAAAAAATTATTTCATCCGTTCCATAACTAAGTATCCTTTTGCTTTTTGCACGAAGTTTTAGAAAGATTAGTACTCCCTCAGTCCCAATACAATAGTCTTATTTATCATTTTTGTCGGTCCCAAAATAATAGTTTTATTTCCATAAATAATCATATCATTATAAAACTATTCATACTTTTTCATTTTTATTACATAATTGCCACTACTTTTTACACTAATATATTCACAAGGGCAGAAATATCTTTTATCTATATTTTTTAATAACTACCAATATAATATCAATATTCCTTAAATCTCGTGCTCAATCCAATTAAGACTATAGTTTTGGGACGGGGGGGAGTATTATATTGGGATGTAGTTGAAATAAAATAGAAATTATTAAAATAACCTTATTAATATTGTGTGTTATAAAAATGACATTTGTGTATATATTATAAATTGTAAGGGTATTTGTAATGTTAGGTAGATAGTACAATTACTAAAAAAAGAAATAGATACTTTGTTATGAAACAGATTAAAATAAAAAAAATGAATACTTTGTCGTAGGACGGAAGGAGCAGAAAAAATTCATAATAAAAAAGTAAAATAAATTTCAAATAAGCGTCATTTATTTATTTAATATATATAGTTCGTATTGAATGCATTTATGAGAATTGAATACTTTCTAACTTTCGTGGACGGTTTGGATATGCTTAAAGTATTTGTAACGTAATAAGTTTAATCAACATACCAATAAATATTGGTGTCAAAATAGTTTATTATCTTATTAAATCAATTATAAAGTTTAAATTTAATGATGATTATTATGGATATTTTGATTTTACAGTGAATAAGAAAAAATTATTTATTTGTAAATTTAATTATGATATAATGTATGTTTTGATTAAAAATGAATCAAAAGTATATTTTCGAAATATCTTAAAATTATATGTCAATAATTTATACCCAAGATGCCATTTTATAAATGATTTTTGATTGAATGTTAATAAATAAAACATATCTACATAATCAACATTTATAAAGGATAGCCCATTTAATTTTAAAATGTATATAAACAAATTTATTTATTTTAATGGAGATAAAAATATAAAACTACACATGAATCTCACTTTTGAAAAACCAAAATCGAAAAATAATTGAGACAAAAAAACATATATAAAAAATTGAAGTATACTGTCCTCCAATTTGCAACCAAACAGATCTCAGTTTTAAAGTTTGACTTTTTGCCTTTTGTTATTCACATATTCAATAATTGTTTGATATGATATTGTCTAATAAAATAATACCTCCGTGGCGAATGATAGGGTTTTTTAGAATTTTATAATAGATTAAAAAACAATACTCTTTCCGTCTTTCAAATATATTTTTACTTATTTTTCTTTTTGATAAAAAAATCACTCGTTCTATTTTTATTTTTTTACCCAAAAAAATAAAAGTTTTTATTTTTACATTTTTTTAAAAATTCGTGTTCGGTCAAATTAGCACACAATTTGACGACGGAGAGTAATATTTTATTAGTCAATAAAAGTGTGTAAAAATTTTTTACATTTAACTTTATA